CCCTAACCCATGATTCGTTCCCCTTCTGCATCGAGTCTTCGACAACGGCTCGTTTCTCGGAGACCACCCATGATTCGATTATTTATTATTTGAAGGGTTAGCCGAGTAGTTTAATTATTCAGTCTTCCCCCCCCCCCCGTCATCAAATCTGGTCACCCAGTAACCAACTTCCCCCCTCCTTAAAATTAGAAAATCATAACTCCTACAGTTATCATCATATATGACACTGAGGGAAAGAAAAAACTAAAATAAAATAGAAAAGGAGAAGAAAAGGAGAGAGAGAGAGAGAGAGAGAGAGAGAGAGAGAGAGAGAGGAAGAGGAAATATTCCGCATTCTCATCCTCATTCTAAACCACACGACATCCCCTCCAACAGCCACCATACGCCACCAAGAGTCAACCCATTTGTAACGGTCGGCCAGATACGATGGATTCAAAACAATTCACCCCAGGCTCTCCCCTTGTACAACCATCATCATTCTGCCTTTCCCAAAGAAAGAGAGAAAAAATACCATTCTCAAAACTTTTTGGAGAGCGTTAATTCCGTAAGGCCTAGAAACCCCCGGGAAAGTTTGTCAGAAAAGAAAAAATGGGGAGAGCTGAAGGTGCATTCCAGCGATGGATGGGCGTGGTCGTAGTTGGACTAAATTGCATTGTTTGATTAGAACTGGCAGCCACTGGGGACGTCACCACCCATGCAAACAGCGGGAAGCTGTCTCGTTGTCCCATGGAACCGCTCCCGGTGCCAGAAGATCGTTGCTCACTTGACCTTCTGTCGCCGCCGGTTCTTGGGACTCTTTTGGAAGGAGTTGGGTTCGGGTATAATTCACACAAAGAAGGTTATGGATTGCCGACACAAAACTTGACTGAATCAATGTCTTGAGAGACCAACATGGCAGGAGGCTGCAGGTGAACTGAACTTAGGAGATTGACCCTGTGCATATGCCCGTTGGTAAGCGAATGGGTCTGCAGGTTGTTGGAGACCGATGCTTTGGGTAATGACTACACTACAGTACAGTAAGTACTACGGAGTACATTGGACAGGTTTTTCTATGTGGGTGGGAAGGAATCCAGACGGTTCCAGATGGTTATGATATCGGAAATACGACCTAGTATTTACTCTTTGGGGTGGTATACAGATGGTAGCCCCAGAAACCCGGCAAATGCTTATGGATAGTACTTACATGTATCATTGTTATTGTTATTGTTGTTGTTGTTGTCAAATTATATTACTTTGGTCATGGGTGATGGGAGAAAGATTGACCAGTCAGAATAAAGAGCCCAACACCAAAGCAGTAACTCATCAGGAGACCAAAGCTTTTTCTTTTCTCATGCCCTTAGGTAATAATGGTCGAGAGCTGAGGTATTCTGGAAATCTTACAGTTCGACTGTACTGTACCTTTGGCATGCCAATAAACTTTCCCAGACATTCAGTCACCAGGACCATATCAAAAAATAAGACGAGGAATCCTTTGCGGGGTAAAGATTAAAAGAAAAGAGAAAGAAAAAAAGAAAAAAAAGAAAAAAAAGTCCCACTAGGTGAGGGACTCGTTCGATCTTTTTCCATCCTGAAAATCAGCGCATCGCTCATGCATGGATCTAGGACAGACATCACCGAGTGCAGGAGTAACTACCGTCTGCTTATTAACCCAAGACCCGGAAACATCAACCTCCTCCCTCCTCCTTCAGGTAATGATCGTTTCTTCCACCATGCAAGTACTACAGTAGAATCCAGTCTTGTAGAGTAGTCTTGAGTATGGAAATGACGATATATGAGAAACAGCAACGAAAGCTGTTTCATCATCGTGGGTCAACTCAAAACCACCCCTGTGCAACCTGACGTCTTCATCAGTCGAATCAACATTCTCAATCTCATCATCCGGACCACAAGGAAAATCCGGGGAAGGGGTGGACAAAGACAAGATAGAAACCCAAAAAAAAAATAAAATAAAATAAAATAAAATAAAATAAAGAACATCCTACAGGTTCCAGTTTCCCCTCCCCTTCCTTCTCGCATCCATATTCCATCCACCCTCCAATTGGGTTCTTCGACAAAAAAAGCACTCCCCACCACTTCCAGCTGGAAGCCAAACCCAATTGATCGGCATCCAACCAACATTCTGCGATTGCGTCTGATCTTCAGAATCCACTCCCTTAACAAGCTCGAACATCCACTCGCAGTGGAGTGGATTTGGACGGGGAGGACGGATGGCGTGGTAGACGATAGTTCAAATCCATTCGTTTCCATTCATCCCTCCCACCTATAGCACAAGCTCGTCAGAATGATTTAAGTTAAGAGATCCATGAGGGTTGAACTGTTTGCGGAGATGAACTCATATTTGGGATCACTTCCGCCGATACGTGGCAATCTGGGGGTCATCTGACGGGTAGAGACCTACTTTGTACATACATCACTTTTTAACCCACGCCATACATGATGCAGGATGCATGCTCCAGACGGCCGACTATGACCAACTTGGATACAATCGTAGTACCGATCATTTTATTTTTATTTTTATTTGCCCCCTCTATTGAATCACCCCCGCCAATATCATCTGTCGTACGCAGACAAAAAGTCGGCAATGAAGTAAAAAAAAGAAAAAGAAAAAGAAAAAGAAAAGAAAAGGTACGGTAACGTACTTCGCTTCTCCACTTGAGGATTAGCAGGTTTCCCATACGAGGCCAACCATGGAATGAAGCGAATTTCCATCCGAGCTCAGTGGGAATGAAGTCAGACAGGGCTGGGCTCCACCGTAGAACCTTCGCGATAGATTGGCAATCAGCCCTCAAAGCACTAATCATGGATTATACTTTCTTTTACCTTTTGGCTCCAGTCGGGGGTTTCCTCACTTCCTGATGAGGTTCTCGAAAGAATCTTCGGCTCAAGGTACCTGATGCGAAGGTGTCGACAACTCGGGTCGATGCGATGGCATGCTTCGCATAGTTCGTATGATACTCTTGTGTTTGTGTTGCAATGCGTTCATCCCGACCAGCCCCCTACATCATACGTAAGTCACCATGGGTTGCACTTGTTCGATGGCTCCATGTTCGCTTTGCAGGAAGGCCCAGGGTATGGGTTGGGGTTCTGATTGGTGAGATTGGTTGTATATGCTAGGGTTGGAAGCCGACCTGGGGTAGTACATGTGTGGATACAGCTTATGGGCTGGAATGTTTACGATGGAGGTCAATCAGCGGTTGATATCGTAAGATGATAAGATTCGTTTGTGTGCCACATAACACTACCACTGATGAAATAGAAATAGAGCACCTGAGAGCAATCGCTGAGCTCATTCAATTTAACCACATCCCGTCACGGTGTCAAGCTCTTCTACTCAGTCCCAGGAGTTAAGCACACGTGCTATCCCGTATCACAAATTCAGCCCCATCTCGTTATAAAGTCCATCGTCTCTAGAGCCTATAATATCCGAGGCTATCTTCTCTGCAAGCATGTCTGCAGTTCGAGGGTCAGCAAATTCTACAAACAGACAAGGACGGCACCGAACATACAAACAACCGATTGTGGATGACCAGGAGGAAGAAATGGAAAGGCACTAGCATCGACCACCCTCAATCTCTCAACTCCAAACACCCTCGCTCGGCTATCAAGGACCGCCATGCGATCAGAACGCGTCCCCATCTTGCATGTGCAGGACGCGTGCCACGGAGCCATGACTGTATCCCGGATGACCTCAAGGATTTCACGATCGCTTTGATACTCTTTTCCTGGGAAGTATTCCTCTCCGACGACGACGGGTGCCATGGCTTCACTGCGGAACATGTCACGGGCTCTTTTATATGCTGCAACTAGAACTTGCTGATCTGTTTCTGTAGTAAGCCAGTTACCGTTGATCACGGGAAGGTCTTCCGTATCAGCTGAGATTATAGTAACGTTCCCACGAGATGTTGGGGTCATTAGTGTAGACAGAATGGTCGCATATTGCCTCCCATCTTGCGGTTGCATAGTAATGGGATCGGAAAAGTTGCCAGCGAAAAGTGGCACAGCGATATACTATTATATCAGATCCAGAAAATAAGCATCCTCCGATCTTGTAAAGTGCAGGGGCGAATAGGAAACATACCTCGATCTCTGGCCAGTCTTCTGGGAACCAAGAAAGGTCATTCTCCGTATGTTCAGTGAACCCGGTCCGCGAGTTACCTGGGAGCTTTTCGAAACCGACGTAGTCGAATCCATGATTGGTCAACGCTCCAGTATGAGATGTTTTAAACTCCCTTATCTGACTTATAAGATATTGTAAATCTGTAGCCAGCTTATTGAATGTCTCCACAGCCACTGGGTACGTCGGTCCAGAGAAGGGCTGGTCCCACAAATTTTGGCCGACTCCTGGTAGATCTACAATAACATCGATTTCGTGCTCTTGGAGGACATTGGCCGGACCAATCCCAGAAACCATGAGTAGCTGAGGGCTCTGAAAGGCACCTGATGATATGATGACCTCGTGGGTCGCGCGGAGAATATACTTCGAGCCTGCAGTAGCAACCTCAACCCCTGTTGCTCGCTTTTGATCAAACAGAATCTTTTTGCCCATTGTGTTCTTGTATAACGTCAAGGTTCGTAAGTATCTCGAAGACGATGGTGACCTAAAAAATGCAGATTCCGAGCTGCTTCGAATCTGATCGTCGGGTCGTATAGTGAACGGACAATAAAAGGAACCTAACAAAGACCCACTGTTGAACTCGGAGGTTACTCGAACCCCTACCGATTCCAGCCCAAGTTGGAGCCAGCTAGAAAATGACGAGGCAGCATGAGGATAAGTCAAGTCAACGGGTTGGCCTTCTCTATCGTAAGCATCCTCCCGATAGCTCACGGTGGCGTTTGCAGAACGAAGCTCCTCATTGGGTGCGGTGAAGTTAATCGTCTTCTTGAACAGAGGGAAGACGTTGTCGAAGATGTAAGTTTCATCATCAACAAGCTCAGCCCATAGTTTCATCGATCCTATTGTCGGTCTAGGGCCAGTCAATTTTTGGCTCTTTCTCTCGGGGATGATGGGAATCAACTGACCTGTGGTATATCATAAAATTGCTTGCCGTTCTATGTAATGATAAATTAAGTCAGCCAATCTATAACCAGAGGCTCACTAGTGGGACATACGCTCCTCCAATACATCTGGCTTTCTCATAGTGAACAGTCCGAGAGTTTGCACCTGGTCCAGTATTGACCAGAAAACCCCAGTCAATAGTCGTTCGAATGGCCATTGGATCGGTTCCAACACCAATGCCGACAGCCCCAGGGACTTTCGCTGGGGGGTATTTGATTTCATAGAAGTCTCCGGCTTCAACCAAAGCAACACTGAAGCTCTGTTCAGCCAGGCGCGCCGCCAGAGTCACGCCAGCGTTACCACCGCCCACCACAACATAGTCGAAGGAAGCGTCGATTCCAGGAATTCCTTCCTTGCTGCCGGTTAATTGTTCGTCTGCAATCGACGCTGGCAGGCCAATTAGCCAGATCAAAACCAGAAGTATTCGACAAAACACGTAGGGAGAGTTTAGGTTGAACATTGCGGGATATTCCATGGTATTGTTCTCAACGTGTATAGATCAGTCAATACTCCTGCTGTTGTCTAAAAAAAAAACATGTGTGTTGTCTAGTAAATATGTGTTTCTTGTGCATGCCTTTGGAAGAGAAGAGGAAATGAGGGCGGAAAGGGAAAGGGCGACAAGACACGGCTGATTTTAAAGATCATGATCAGGTGCGATTTAGCCAGGATGCATGTTGTCAATTGATGACATACATGAAACACTGGGATTCTTGGAAGGGAATAAAACAGCGCATCAGCCTTTGATAAACAAGCGTTGGGTGTCGTCTACGAAAAGAGCGTCATTTTCACAGCTCTCAAGCGTCACATACAACCAATCCATGTGGTAACTATGTACGCTACGTACCTCTTTCAGTTCCTATAATTGCTTTCAGCATGGTTCGTCCTGGGAAGCTTGGTAGAGGTAACCCCGATTAAGATTATAAAAACAATGGAATATAAAGCAAGCTTAGTATACCCACAAATCCCGGTGTACCCTCAGTTCACTGTCATTGTTGTGGCTAATCTGCGCAAGATTCGAATATAGAGTATATTTTTATCCAAAGGACTACCTATATCCATGTTCATTAAGGTATATGCTTGATAGAAAGAAACCAGGTGACAATTCCAGAATTACCTATATTACATCATGCCACTGTGTGCATCCTCCACACGTCTTCGATTGCATTATTTCTCCAGTATCTCCATTACTGTCCCTTCTTCTGACCCTCCTGCCGCTCTTGTTCTACCACATATCCGACTGCACGGGCCAGACCCTCATCAACTGGAACAATGGGAGTGTATCCTAGGCGCGACTTGGCCTTGTCACACGAATAGTAACGAGTCATGCATGAATACCGGACTATCCGCCTGGTCAACCGCGGCGTTTTGCCAAAAATACCCAGCACTGTCTCCGCGATGCCGCCAATAGGGCCGAGGAGCGCCTCGGGGAGTTCCCACACTTGATTGGGCTCGACTACCTTGCCGGTCAGAGCCCATGCAGCACGCGTCATATCCCAGAAATAGACCGGAGAATCATTAGTAATGTTGAAAGCCTCTCCATCAACTCGCTCATGGTCTAACGGTTCACTTTGTTTAGATTCAATACGGGTCTTGGTGGCAAGCAAGCGGAACGCAGCGAGTAAGTGGGCATGCGCAATATTTCCAACGTAAGTAAAATCGAACAAATTGTTGTTATCGCCCAACTGCATTCGAAGAACAGCTGGCGAGGCCTTGGACGAGTGTTCCAGAACCTTGTAGGTAAATGTGGTGTCCTTCTCTCCATAAATACCGGCTGGACGAACAGCACAGGTCACCATACCAGAGGGTGAGGTTCGGTTGTACTTTAAAACGAGTTCTTCTGCGTCCGCCTGCAAATTCTCGTGAGCAAATGTTGACTAGACAGAAATGGAGTCGGCACCACCTACCTTGGTCTCCGAGTAGTACTCCAACTGCCTATCCCCTCTAATGTATGGCCACTCCTCGTCCACATTGATCAGATCGCTTTGGGTATCGTGTACCACTGAGCTCGAGCTTGTGTACACGAAAGCTTTGCACTTGCCACCCCAATCTCCGCGATCGCCGCCCGCGACCTCCAGTAATGTCTTTGTTCCGTCCACATTCACTTTGCGCAGCAACGGCTTGTTCCCTTCTAGGACGTTTGGTGTGGCAGTGTGGATAACAACATCCGGCTTAACTTTGCGAAAGACCTCTAACATGGACTCTGCCGACGTGATATCGCCATCGTAATACTCGGCACCGGGCAACCGATTGTTGGAGGTTCGCAAGTCGACTACCGCAACCTTCGCCACGCATGCCGGATATCGGCCGGCCAGCGGGGGGTAATCGAATCGAGGATCATCTTCGGGCCTGGGGAGAGCGACACTGGCATCGGTTTCCGAAGGGAAATTGAGCAAGTGATTGACAATGTGCCAGCCCACGAATCCACAGCCACCAACCACCAAAACCGTGCCTAATTGCATAGTGGGACGCTTGTTAGACATTTTGGTGCGTTGCTGGTTGACTTGAGCGACTGGAGACGGTAGATGGGTGGAGATGAGCGATAGAGACTGAAGGGCGAAGACGAAAGTGTTGATCTTAAGTTCGGGGGGGGATGATAATTTAACTGGGTTCCGCTCCGCTCTACGGAGAAAATGTCTGGGGCTGAGCTAAAATCTCCCGGGCCCCACTCGAGAAGCCACATCGCCTTCATCTTTTGGTTACCAGCATTGCACAAGGGCAATAGTATACTAAACCCACCTTGACTCATTCCATCTGATAACGACATCTACAAAGCAATTGTCTCTTATTTATTACTTAAACCGCCTACTTGATGACTGCATCGATCGCATCAATCCATAACATAGCATTATCTTGATTCTTAGTCTAGAAATGGTCCCAACCAGGAAATGTTAGAAGCCATTGCGCTTAACACCGAGTGAGATACGCTCCGTTGTATGCGAAATCTTACAGTCATGAGCCTGGATGTGCAGTCAAGAAACAACAGGCGCAGACTGACAATAATCTGTTAAAATAATTATTAAATCATCTGGAATTAACCGGGACCATCGCCAGCGCTTATGGACCATTCAATGCTCAGGTGAAGAGTGGATAAGCGTCGACAATAAAGGGGGAGTTCTCATGTGAACGTTTCCCTAAATTATGATATCAGGACTTGAGAACATCATGGTTTTAGTGGTAGCTGGAAACTCACTCGGCGCTTTTTTCAACAGATCGCCGCAATGCCCTGTGATATCTCTTGCGATCTTCAGGGCTTCCCCAGAAAAGCTTGGTCGCTTCAGGATGAACTGTAGTCCGTGGATCATATGGCGGGGATTCTTCTTCGAGTGCCGCCACAATCGCTTCGATATGATAACGCATTTCATCTGTTCTACGTGGGAAATAGCAGAGGACTCCTTCTCGGGAGACGCGAATATGAAATATGGGCGTCTCCACAAAGACGCGAGGCTGTTCTTCTGGGAAACGTGGGCTGATGTAGATCTTAAACTTGAAGATACCACCGTCCAAGTGGCTCATAGGCCGACCGAAGTATGTAAATGCCCAAAGGAAAGGACTCGTGTCGACAAGCTCAAGATCAACAGCGAAATTTCTCTGACGCTTGAGATCCTCAACGATATGTTCATACTGGCGCTGCAGATTTGATGCGATGCCCAGGTCTTGTTCCTTGACACCAATTCCCTCGAACAACCAATTGTGTGTCTCACAAATGATTTTCTCTCTGAGCAAAACCATCCGCCGTCTTAATTCGGGGTAATCGAAGTGACCATCCATAGTATTGCCCTGACTTTCGAAAGGCATTCTCTGGAATCTGCGTTTCCGAGAGATATCCGAGTCCGCAGTATCAATCGTTTGGATGTAGGAACCGAAATACCATAAGAATCGTCTTTTGCGAAGGTCTGCGAATTTATCAACAACAGGTTTGTCATTTTCGCTCAGTTTTTGATCTTCTTCGTCAGCTTCATCGCCCTCAGATGCTCGTTCTGCAATTATCTTTGCACTTCCATTTGGCAAGATACCCAAAGACAACTCCAAAGGCTCAATGACTGCAATTCTGAGGTTTTCATGGCGAATCTTGGCATACAAAGAAAGCTCTGTTAGCATGTCCTCGGGCAGATCGAGGGGTAAGTCATCACCTTCTCTACGTAGGATACCTTCCACTCATTATCCTGTGCTGTGTCACTGTGCGCCTTATTGTACCCAGGTTCATTCTCATAGGGGTTGTTAGACAGCAGACTTTGAATGGAGATCAAGATAGACTCCAGGCCTTGTGCAGATGACCACTCCTCTCCAGGTTCCCCGCGCCAAGTGCTACGCCAAACCAGTCAGCTATAGCTACTCTGTAGGCTTTTGAAACGACTTACCCCAGGATTGACCTGAATTTTATCAGTAAATGAGCATGCTTGTCCTTTCAGGTTTTGTACTCACAAGCAGACTTTGCCCGAAGCATATATATTAGGATTGAACCGGCACCGTCCTTTATTTGTAGTCAAAGCTCGGACACTAGGGGGCGTTGCAGGATAGTCTGGAGCAGCCGTGGTGAGTCCTTTAAGCAAGTGCTCTTGTGTTCCTCTCACGGGACAGATTCCTTACCCTTTCCAAATGTGATCATAAACTAGGGCAGTTTCTCACCAGTCAGTGGACATAGGCTTGCGGTTTTGTTGTATTATTATGTGGAGGGCAGCGAATACGAACCTCGAAGAAACCGAACTGGTAAGGGGTCTCTGGCGGTCCGAGAATGAGGGCGCGGACAGTTCGGATGTCAGAATCATCGTAAGTCACAGCCAGAGCTTAGAATCCGAGCCGAACAGATAATTGTAAGCTTAGTGAAACAATGGAATTCTTCCCCGGACGGTATGAATGAAGTCTTACATAAGTCTGCGCCTTGTTGTATCTGCTTGATTTCCTAGTATCTCTCCGGAAGAGAGCTCTCGTCAGTTGAAGAGGACTTTACAGGACACCTGTGGATAGAATAAAAGAGTCAATGTACCCTTGTAATACGAAGGAGCGCTTGATCGGACATTCTGTCATAGAAACAGTAGACAGTCGAGCTCTCATCAGCGGGGTTGATCAATAGATATGAAATTGAGCAGAGCGTTTAGGTTGGAAGCAGATGACGGAGGAAGACAGGCGTATGTATGATCTTATAATGATCATTGATGGTCCAGCCCAAGGCAGCGCGGGGAACGACAGGTGCCTTCTCAGTGTGGGCGGGAGACTGTGTGAACAGTTATCGGGTGCGTGAATAGAGCATACAAGTCCATTATTTTCTTTTTCCAGGCTTGTAAAACATTTTGGTTATTGCCCAGCATCCATTGTCTGTCAAGGAATTTATATGAAGCTAACAACTGATGGCAGGTACAAACAAGCTGTAAGTATACCATTCACAGTGATGTAGTATGATAGTATAGAGACTAACATAGCAAGCATCTCTGTTAAGACTACGCTCTCCTATATGAGTCTTTGAGGTTGCGTTGGAATACCGCTTCTTTGTCGCTATTTGTCTACAAGAAAATGATATAGTCCATGCACAGCAAGTGTTCGACACAGATACTGCAAGCCTGTGAGTAAAACGGTCAATAGATACTATATATTTTTCAAAATATCCCTTGTTTTATTGTAAGAAAGAGAGAATAGCTCTGTTCATAAAGGAAAAAGAGAAAAGCAAAGTCAAGGCGCCTAGTACTTTTCTTTCTTTTGCGGACAAGTGTGGAGTGGCTTATGATGTTGCTGTACGGAGTTACATATGCACATACAGGCATACAGAGTTTTCGGTATTTCAGTTTCACACTATGAAGGACTTGTACTCCGTACTGTATCTTAGCTCCGCACAAATCCACCCTCACCGCCTTCTTTGTGCGTGTAGATCAATTGTTGATGGGCCAAACAACCGAGATCCCCTGATAGCGCGGCATATTTCTCCTTAACCACATGTTGACGGAGCATTGCTAGGCGACGCCACTGACTCCGTTAAATACCCTATTCTTCTGGTGTAGGCATTAGGTAGCTGTCTACAGCAGCCAGCTCTCTACAACTCTTTATCATATCTGTCCTAAAAGTCTAGGGTACAACCTAATTTCTATTTAAAGACTTGGTCACTATCTGGACCCCTGAGGATTTAGGGGGGCATTCATTCCAACATTCCTAAACAAGACTAGCTTGACAAAACAGTCACCCCTGCTCTTCATACAGAGTATGACATCTTCGAAGAACGCTCCCCAAAAAGCAAAACTAAAACAAAACAAAAAAAGTAAGCCCAGGAAAAAATATATAATACTATCCTGGTTCTAAAGAAACTATACAGCTTGAAATGTATCACAATTGAACACACAGTATATATGATCTTGAACAATTGTTCTCATGCCAACCTGGAAGGTGGCTCTAGTTAGTTGCATACTTTAGACAATGTCAAGGGTCCCAAGCTGACAGCAACTCCACTTGGCAACATACTTACTCCGACTGTCATTGTATGGGGTCATGACTAGTTTCAGAAATACCAAAACAGGTAACCCGCTGGCTGCCCCGCAAAAGAGAATAAATAAGGGGTCAAAGATAGGGCTAGTGTATCAGTGACCTTGTTTCCTTTATACCCTTACTCATGCAATGTTCTGATGAAGAGTTTTTCTACTTTCCTTTTTTTTTGGGGAGCTAGAATTACCTGCCGCACTAATCAAAATAATACAATATCTACTCTGTCCAAGTATCAGGTTAGGTTACTTCACTCTTACTCGACTTTTCTTCCCTTTTTCCTTCTTCCTTTGCTCCCACTGTCGTGTCTTTTCATGCCTATTTTGGTGGTCCTATCTTCTTAGCAGTATTCCCATCCAGTATCTCCTGTTGTATTGTTACCGTGGACGTAGTAATCAGGCGCCCTGTCATATGTAGATACCTTGTACAGTAATTGATACACAGACTACAGGCGGTAGTCCAGGCGGTGAGCGTATTTCACGTGACAGACCCTAGCGGGTAACCAGCAACATGAAGCATAGGGGGGCACAGCGCCAACTACCAGCAGGACAAGACACCCACTTTGTCAAACACGCGATCTCCTAATCTCCTATAACCCTCTCTCCTTATCACTCTCTTGTTTTGCAGTACTGGAATCTGTAGTTCACTATCTTCCGCCCCCCTCCGTGTTCTGAGTTTCCCAGGGCTTGGACTTATCGACCCTCTGTTGGTGTTTGCAGGGAACCAGGAATGGTTGTGATTCCGGCCAGTCTACTACTCCGCCGCTTGTTGGTCTCACTTTGAGCTTCAACGTTTTCAATCTCGCCGCCCTCAACACGGGCGCCTGCGCTTCTAAACGTCTCGATTTTAAATACGCTGCTGCATAGGCCGGTGGTATTGTGGAAGGATATATTTATCAGGTCGATCACGCGCTCCCATTCCGATTCCTCGAGTCACCACTAGAAGTTCCCCGCAAGTTTCATCTACATGGCGTGAGGTGAGTCGTTACGGAAGGCCCCCCAAACAACCTTAAAGATCCCCGTGAAAGAAATCTCACCGTTGTCTGACCTATACTATTACTCCTGTCAAAGATGCGATAATCCCTTCATGACTTGTTCTTAACTACCCATTTCTGCAATCTCCCGAATAACTCTGTTTATTCCCGCTCCAGTCCCTTGTCACGATAAACCAATTCTCTCTGATCTCGGCGGCAACCACAAACGCGACCCTTTCACGCATTGAAACGCCCAATATCCTAAATTACTTGCAGATTCTTTGCCAACAACTGCGGAACGGCGTAGTTTCATACGGACATGCCTCCCGGCGACGTTCCTTTGCCGGATAGCCTCGTGCCGGGCAACGGGGCTGTCCGCCCCACGTTGAATACCAGTGGCTATGGTGGAGGTAACCAGATGCAAACCCCTACATCGCCGGCGGATAACAGTATTCCATTCGACTCTCCGCGTGCAATAGCCGGGGGTTGGAGTGCATCCGGAAACAGTCCTGTGGATGGAGCCCAAAACCCCGATGGCCGTATAGGTCGAAGATACGAGTCAAGCAATTCCAGCCCAAGGGACCCCTCAACTCCGCGCGATGCAGCTGGCTATTGGGACCGATCAACTCCGCGTGATCGAACACGCCCTAGCGCTCGACCAGTTACAAAGTCACCAGGTGGCTCGTCAAGAATTTGTAAAAAGTGTGGTGAGCCCCTCACAGGTCAGTTTGTGCGGGCATTACTTTCGACCTACCACCTGGAGTGCTTCAAATGTGAAGTGAGTTTCTGCCGCTACTCTTCCATGTATTCTGTTTTCGTGACTAATATATCACGGCGTAGGATTGTGGCCAAATCGTAGCTTCCAAGTTCTTTCCCGTTGATGCGGAAGATGGGAGTGGGCAGTACCCTCTATGTGAAACAGACTATTTTCGGCGATTGGACCTCCTCTGTCATGAATGCGGTGGTGCCCTGCGAGGCTCGTATATAACGGCCTTGGATCGAAAATATCACATTGAGCATTTTACCTGCTCTGTTTGTCCGACAGTCTTCGGCGCGCAAGACTCTTACTATGAGCATGAAGGCAAGGTATACTGTCACTTCCATTACTCGACTCAGTTCGCACAGCGGTGTCACGGTTGCCACACATCAATCCTCAAACAGTTCGTGGAGATTTTCCGTAATGGCCAAAATCAGCACTGGCACCCCGAATGTTATATGATTCACAAGTTTTGGAATGTTCGTTTAGCTCCAACTGGCCAGCCACTGGAATATCCTGAGGTAGAAGCCGATGCTACTGACGAGCAACGCAACCAAGTGCGGGAGGAAGAGGATGTGATGGAAGAAAAAGTGTACAAAATATGGAGCATCCTCTCAAGTTTCGAGGAATCATCAGCAGCCTGCATCTCAGATATGCTTCTTCATGTCAGTAATGGTACTTATGTGGACGGAGTTCTTGTTGCGAAAAAGTTTATTGCACATGTCGATGTTCTTTTCTCCGCGATCGACCAACTTGCAGCAAACATCAAAGCGCAAGGCATGAAAGGTGAGTGGTATATTACCGTGAGTGTCAATTCATGATATTGTGGAACTAATCTCGTTATGTAGACCTCGCCTATGGTCGTGAAGCAAAACTTCTGTGCAAGAAGATCGTCGCTTTCTTTGCATTGTTATCGAAGACTCAGGAGACCGGCGTTCGAAAACTTGGTGTCACTCAGGAGCTTCTGTCTTTAGTGACAGGTCTTGCCCATTATTTGAAGCTCCTCATCCGTATTGGTTTGCAGGGTGCTCTTAAGCTAGAGAGGGAGAAGGAGACGCCAGAAGGCCTGCATCAGTTCTTAGATCATCTTGGGGATCTTGAGGCACTTCGGCCTCTTGAAGAAGAAGTGACTACAGCAGACTTAATGGCTAATGTCGAAGTCCTTGCTGATCAACTCTCCGACTGCTGTGCTGCATGCAAGGAGCCCATAGATGACGAGTGCATCAAGCTTGGAGATAACAGGTGGCATATAAAGCAACCTCACTTGACTTGTACAACTTGCCAGAAAGATTTAACTGCTATACCTCAGGATGCGTTGTGGAACCCTAAGGATAAGCGCGCTTTCTGTAACAGTTGCGCATCTGAAAATGGCTTTGCGCATGAGACACAAGGAGGGTTCACACGAGTGACTAAACTCCAGCAGTTTGTCTTCTTGCTGCAGGTCGCTCTTGCACGGCTCCTTACTGTCCTGCGAGCTGGAGGTACTATTCCAGCATCAGGTATGTTGCTAATGGGAAATTTCTCTTCATAATTCAGTTTACTAATCAATTTCAGATGACGCCAATCTAAAGTCGCATGATGGGAGTGACAGCCAATCTACTCCTGGAGGCGAATTGCGTAGGTCAACGACCAGGTCGAAGTCATACTCGCATGCGAGTAAAGAGGGTACCGAAGAATCTTCCCTTGAACAAACTGTTGGTGAAATGCGACGTCTAAGGTCGATCCGAAACGAGCGCACTCTATCAACGACTTACAAAAAAGCACGGGCGTCACGAATCATCGATGGGCCAGAAGGACGAAGCGTAAGGCCAGGTTCATCAGGCGGTGAAGGCACAGATCCTCGTGGTCACGGATTCCAAATTGTAGAAGAAAAAGACGCAAACGGCGAGACGGTGACTGAGCTGACATTTGGCAACCAGGACGCTCTCACTTTGGATGACATTCCAAGGATCGTTGCTGCCGAACAGGCTAAAGAGCAACGCCCCAACGCATACAAGCATGCAGGGACCAGGCTTGTCGGGACCACCGAACCTCTTCCGAGATACAACTATGGCCATCAACGCGGTGTGTCCGGGGCTGGTTTGGAGCGGCATCTCATGGAACAAGGTGGAAGGGCCAAGAAGTACTTCTCAGAACTATCTGCGTTGGAGTATTTTATCGTGCGCCACGTTGCGGTACTGTCTATGGAGCCTTTATTGGACGGGCATTTCACTTTGGAGGAACTCCTTTCCTTTATTGAGTCCCGTAAGCCAACAATCTGGAATATCTTCGGCCGTGCCTTCAATAAGGAAGCCAAGAAAGGCGGGAAGAAGAAAGGCGTTTTCGGTGTCAATCTAGATTTCCTTGTTGAAAAAGAGGGCACAGAGTCTAGTCATGGTGTCGGGCCAGGCGCGCTTCGCGTTCCTGCTCTAGTTGACGATGCCGTGTCCGCCATGAGACAAATGGATATGTCTGTGGAGGGTGTTTTCCGAAAAAATGGCAACATTAGAAGGCTCAAAGAGCTGTCTGACCTGATCGACAACAAGTACGAGCAGGTGGATTTGACAAAGGAAAACCCTGTGCAAATCGCAGCCCTCTTGAAGAAATTCCTCCGCGAGATGCCTGACCCGCTCTTAACCTTCAAGCTGCACCGCCTATTTGTAGTGGCACAAAGTGAGTTTTCCCCCTTGCAATTCTCCCCCCACAATGGATAATATTCTGACGTATATTACAGAACTATCGGATCCAGAGAAGCAAAAGCGGGTTCTTCACCTTGCCTGTTGCCTGCTTCCCAAAGCTCACCGAGATACAATGGAAGTTCTATTTGCCTTCTTGAATTGGACGTCATCTTTCTCGCACGTCGATGAGGAGTCAGGCAGCAAAATGGACATCCACAATCTTGCCACTGTGATGGCCCCTAACATTCTGTACCCGAATACTAAGAACGGCACCGTTGATGAGAGCTTCCTAGCAATTGAGGCTATCAATGCGCTTATCACATACAATGATACTATGTGCGAGGTAGGTTGTTTACAGCACGTTCTCGGTGTGTCACAGATACTAATTCCGGATGATCCAGATTCCTGAGGATCTGCAGTCGGTTCTCACGGACACCAACTTTTTCAAAGAGAATTCCGAAGTCACCACAAAGGAGATCCTGAAACGCTATGGAGATATCGCGCGCGGGAGCTTTTCCCAGAGGCCAGTCAATGGCGGCGAAACATTCACTATTACGAATCAAAATCGGGGAGCAAACATCCCGACGTCTGCTCGTATCGAGACGGATCCATCCCAAGATGCAGCGACACAGTTGCAAGGCTCTGTACGTCACGTACAAGGTCCTCCCGGTCATGCCCATTCGGCTAGTGGTATCCCACATGCAGAATTAGTGCCGGTGGCGACAAGCGATAACCGTGAGCGCAGCATCAGCAATGGCAGTCAACAGAATCCGGTACAACCAGATGCCCAACCTCAACAGCTGCCCTATAGAGCTCGCCCGGGAGCAGGGCCGATGGGAGTTGCCAGTTGATAATTATGCTACTGTCACTTGCTTCAAGGACGTATATCGATCAATCCTCGTTTTCCCTACTTCTTGGTGCTCTGAGTACTGTTGGTGTATCATTGGGCCGTTCAGCGTTCTTTAATTTTTGACAGGGTTGGGTTCTTTTTCTTTTACATATATCCTTCGTGTCTCGCATCGCAATAATTCTCAAGACCTAAGCCAAACAGCCCCACGCTTGCTGGCTATCACTTCCGCTAGATGCCCTCACCTCTACCCTTTCTTGCCTATTCACTGCCTAAAAGTGCAATATCATCATTATAATGGTGGGCCTGACTCTTACCTCTTTGCATCTTGTTGTCCTTGGGGAACCTATTGGTTGTCCAGAGTGTCTTGTCTATCATTGCTTACTACACACATTTTGGTACCGGAGCGTCCCTATCCCTGATCTCATTGCATTCCAGCTGAAACCTAGCGTGAAATGTGCTCGACCTTTTGAGTGTTTTCTTTCCATTCTGATCCGTTCTACTCTGGTGTTTCGTTTCTTTTCTCATCACAGTGTTGTGAGAATATTGTTTGGTTTGTTTCGTTTTCCAGCCAATTCAGAATGGCTGCAGAGATACCTGTGCTGAGTTTTCTTTTCTACCTTTGACTTGCTCACTTGCATCTTACTTATTCAGCCTACTTGCGCTGATATCCCGAATTGTCTGTGTTTGGTCCAATTACATCCATAATTCCATGAGATGTTTAGATTACATACAGTTGTGAAATGACGGGAATTCTTCTATTTCCACCTTCATTCTTAATCCTGAATATTCATAAATCCAATTTAGCGGTCCTTGTGTAACTTCGTTCTGAAAGATCAGAGTACACATTCTTGCGGCTGCAAAATAATTCAATCATGACCAGCACGGGATACGTGCTAACAAAGCTCAATTCACGAAATCACATCCAACTAGCCGGAGGACGATAATACCAAACTCCAATGATATAACCCTTAATCTAAAGAACTCGTCAATAAAAGGAGTTCAACCTATTTTAACCGTGCCTATAAAGCAGCAACAAGAACCCACTACGAAGCCAACCAATTCTCTAGACCCAATTATGCAAGGCAAGGTAGAAAACGCCAATACACCCGCTCCAACTCCAAAGCATCAGAGTTCACACCTGTTTCCGTAATGAACTCTCATGGCAGATTCCAGGGAATGTCAAAAGACTATAGGTGATAGGTCCCTTTCTGAAAGGGGGAAATATAGAGCATTTAAGCGCGTTTGCGCAGGACCCTTCGTCCCGCTGTCGGAGCTTCACCTCCTGCGGGGGCGGCGGTTTTCCTGGTAGCTGACGCGGTGCTACGTTTGGCAGTTGCGGAAGTTGCTTGGCTATTTGCGACGGCCTTCTTAGCTGTGGAGCTAGCGGTTGATGCGGCTGTCACTTTCCTTGCGTTTGCACCCGTTCGCGTCGGCTTGGTGACGGTTGTACCAGATGATGTGGAGGACGAGACACTGCCTCTGCGCTCAAGCTGACGGGTGGCTGGTCGTGGCAAGGGTGACCGTGTCGTCGTCTTAGATGCCGTAGTGGCCCGACTTGCTGGTCTCCTGGATGCTTGCGAAGCGGGTCTGCTTGCTGTTGCTGCAGACGGGGTGCCCTTTGTGGTACGAAGGCGCGCACTTTCCAGGGATCCGGCCAGGCTAGCTGGCGCCGCCTTTAGCGGACTTGAAGGTTTTAGTGATGGCATCGGCCGCGAGAGGTAAGATGAATTCTGAGGTTTTTCAGGGGACGCGCGAAGCGGTGATTGTGGATATGTCCTAGAGTTTGATGATTTCGGAGAGAGAATTCTGAAGTCTGCCCCTCTGACTTCTTGGGAGACAACCCGCGAAGTACCGGCAGCAGCGCCGGGCTTAGCGCGTCTCTTCGGGTTTTTGAGTACATCAAGCTGTTCTCCTGCAGCAGGGGCATTCTCCTTATCGGAGTAGAGACCTTCGTGGCTAGATTATCAGGTTAGTAAAAAGCTCGTCCGGAATATCGCAATGTCTGCGTACCTCTGTCTCTTCGTCCTGCGCGGACTCGGGCTTGCAGCAGAAGCCTTCCGCATTGCAGGCTTGGCCGAGATAGCTGCAAAACGTGACCCTTTAATCGGGCTAATGAACTTCCTCGGTGAGGTATTCTCTTGCTGCGCCCGGAGGGCGGCATTGTGCTTTTCCAACAACTCGCCCATGTTCACCTTCCGGAGGGCGATGGGGATCCGATTAATGCGTCTTTCAATCCGAGCCCGGAGATCATTTGCTTGGAGCGCATACTGCGCGCGAAGTTTACGAGCCCGCTCGGTGACTATGATATGTCAATATCGGCAATCGGGGAATGGTACATATTAAAAACGTACTCTCCAGCTGCAGATTATCAATAAGTGCCTGTTTTTGGTTTCGGGTTACCCGGAGCCTCTTTTTAGGAGGACTGCCGGTAGGCGTTCTAACTTCATCGACGGGGTACGCGTCGTCGTCGCGAGACTTCCGCTTGGACGTAAGGGAAGCCATGATAGTGGAGTAGCTGATTCAATTCTGAGGGTTCGAGAGTGCGGACGAGGAAGTCGCTAATTATGGTAGAGAAATGCAGTATTTTTGTGTTGGGTGGAGTTGTCAGAGAGCGAAGAGGTGGCGTGCGTTGAGGTGGGAGTGGAAGGAAAGCAAGTATGCGCTTGTTTTATGGGGGATAAACAACCGCTGACTTAATTTGTGGTTAGTCCCGATGGGGCGGGCAGTGTGACATTGATCTCTCGTTCTCGAGCTCCAACTCTCCTCCCCCCATCACCGCCATCATCATCGTCTTGTTACCCCATCTTCTACTGCCCCGCAGACCTCTTCAAGATCGAGGAGAGCTTCATTAACTCTATCTTATTCTCTCTCTTTCATTCCCTTCTATTATAAATCTATTGAATTCCGATAGACCGCCGCCAAGATGTCGTCGCTCGAAGCAACCATGATCATGTTCGTCATCTCCCGTTCAACGCTCTAGCTCCGTACAACCCAACTAACTCATCTGCAGCGTGGATAATAGCGAAAGCAGTAGGAATGGGGACTATACGTAAGGGCCGCTCTTCGGTCAACCCGTTGTTTCATTGCTAACAGCTTCCAGCTCGACAAGATGGCAAGCACAGATCGACGCCGTCAGCGTCATTCACACCGCCAAGATGCGCGTACATCCCCAGTCAGCCGTCGGACTTATGAGCATGGGTGGAAAGGGTCCTGAGGTTCTGTCGACGTTCACCTCCGACTTTGGTGCTATCCTGGCCGGTCTGCACCGCACTAAGATCCATGGCACTACCCACCTTAGCTCCAGTATACAAGTGGCCGGTGTATGTCTTTACTCTATGAACTTTGACAGCGGGGTCTTTGGCGATAAGGATACTAACCATACGCTCTGCTACAGCTTGCTTTGAAACATCGTTCCGAGAAGTCCCAACGCCAACGCATCATCGTGTTCTCGTGCTCTCCTATCGAAGAAGATGAGAAGTCATTGATTAAGCTGGCTAAGAAGATGAAGAAAGTCAACGTATCTATCGATGTTATCGCCTTCGGAGACCTCGAATCCGATCAAACCAAGAAGCTGGAGGCGTTCGTCGAGAACGTCAAGGGTGGCGACGGCTCACACCTGGCCATCATCCCTCCTGGTCCGAACCTGTTGAGCGAGGAGCTTCAAATGACGCCCATTCTGGGCGGTGATGGTGCTGGAGCAGGCGATGCAGGTGCAGGTGGTGAAACCGGTGATTTTGGATTCGAAGATGCCGCAGAGAACGATCCCGAATTGGCGTTCGCCCTACGCTTGTCCCTGGAAGAAGAGAAGAACCGGCAAGAAAAGGAAAAGCGGGAGCGAGAGGAGCAAGAACGGAAAGCCAACCTGGATAACATTCCGGAGGAAGGACAATCAGGTGAATCGAGCGGGAGCAAAGATAAGAAGGATGACGGTGACAAGATGGACACCGCGTAGAGAAGGAAGCTTGAATAATTTCTGGAGGACGAATCTGATGCATACCCGGCGTTTTATCAATGTGCTTTCGTATTTTCCTGTATTCTAGAAAGCGATCCTAGGTGATGCGCTTTTGGAAGGATGTGATTGAAGTCTATCGTATGTTTCATGACCAACAAGCACGAAAAAGAAAATATGTAATTACAACCAGGACAATCGTCATCAAAATGCGTCATTAACGTCACCACAAATCGACCTTCCAGCAGTCTATTGCCTCCAACACGATCAAGAGAAGAAATCAAAGGAATGATCAGGTCCTCCCCCTCAACCACCCCGCCAGATGTCGATCGAACGCCTCACACCTGACCGGCATTTCGAGTTGATAGAACGGGTTCTTCATCACATAGTCCGCATACAGCTCGTATACCTTCTTCATAACAACATCGATATTCCCCATCATCGGATCCGTGAATAGAAGGAACTTTGTCCCCGTCAACGTCTGGAAACATGTCAATCGGAACTTATCCGTTTCAAGGCTTTCGAGACCCGTCGCTGGGATCCCCGGGTTGGGGAATGTGAACGCTGATGCCGGAGTAGTGGGAGTGGGTGTGCCAGGGGTTGAGGGGATATTGGAGGAAGTCGGGGTAGTTGCTGTCGTGGAAGCCGTCGAGAGGGGGAGCTTGGGAGTTATCGTGCGAGTAATGGCATGAACACTACGCACAACACATGGTCAGCGGTCCAGTTGTACATAATTGCGTGATCGGGGATTATCTCCAGCAGGATGGATTCAATCCAACACACATACCCGTGAAATGTACCAGCTAAGACGAGATAATCATTTGTAGAAAGCTTGCGCAGGCCGGGCTGGAATTCGCGCTGGTAGACTAGACCACCGGCTTTATTGATGATGATGAGTGAGAAGACGGCCCTGGATCAGTTGTCAGATTTCCCGTTCGTTTTGCGTGAGTCGAGGGAGCTTGACGGACATGGTGGGTGGGGATTAGGTAGACAGGTATATCTGAGTTCGGTGACAGATTGCTATTATTTGTGCGACATCGCCTGGGTGAACCAGGGGTCTCAGGGAATTGGTGATGGTGGGATTAGGTTTCTGGAGTGTTTATGGCATCATTATGGTTTATCTGATCACTCTGAAATGTATGGGCGGATAGGATGCGGAGGTGGAACTGCCTCAGTGTAGGGCCTTCGCCCAGCTATCGATTTTGGTTTGTAATACACTACTTTTAAGCTAAACTTCAACAATTGGGGTGATAGCTCAGTTGGGAGAGCGCACGACTGAAGTTTCAACTCAGTCACCATCTGGTAATCGTGAGGTCGCTGGTTCGATCCCGGCTCGCCCCATATCTTTTTTGTATTTTCCTCTCTCTGTACAGGAGGTTCTACAAGACAGTGCTGCATGAGCCTTGAATCCTCATATGGTCAGCATTTCTGAGACCCAGTTACTCTCGTACTACGGCTCTGGAGCGCTGAGCCATTAAAATTCCTGTATATATTTTTAAGACCTGTTTACCACGATGCAAACATAATAACCTACTTCAGATATTAGTACCTTGGGAGTCCCTATATAATTATGAAGCTCCCTCCTCGGAAGCCCTCTCTCTCATGAAATTCAAACTTATTTCTACCTCGAGAAGACCCTTATGGATAAACTCATCCGAAGTGTATTTGTGCATTAAGGCCTTACTCTATCGCCAAGGTAAAGTAAATAAGGACCTTGGTGGTAACGTTCTTTGCGCTGAGATGGAAGCACCGGGCTGATGAAGAGCTTGTATCGTCAGATAGGGAACCTGTAACTGCGCGGATATATATACATAAGAATAAAATTTAGCAGGAGCCTCCTATGGCTATAGCGGCCGCATTTTCTCATGAGCTGCTAGAGTATATACGGGCAAGTGATGCAAGCGAAGATAAAGCAGTGAAAGACATACTCAGCCAGGGGTCAGTAATTCAAGCCGAGCTAGGTTCACGTTTTCTCATTGTAGCCGTTCTTGATGCCGAATCCACAACTGGAGACAATGTAGTAAAGATGAAGTCTAGGTGGGACAGCGATGAAGATATTGAGATCCTGGGGGGACTTAACCCGATCGACTATGCTGCGGAGCGGAGCGACCGACCCTGTTTGCAAATAGCAGGAAGGGGTGGTGTGATGGCCGCTGGTCTCATGTGAGTTGTAGGTTTCAGTGATAGACGGACTACAAAAACCAGACAATTTTCTGTCCCAGCATGCATAGAGAGAGATCACATCTATCGGTATTGGCCACCTCTAGATAAAATTTCCGAGTGATAACGGCATCACCGTTGCATACATATATTGCTTCTACCAGCCGCAGAAAGAATAAACTTCACGAGGATGAGTCTGCTTTCACGCCTCCTAGAGGAGCTGGCCAAAACGGTATCTAAGCAGAGGCGCCCAACCTTCATTTGACGAGATTTGGAGGGCTCAAACTCAACCATAGGATTACTATCCAGGTGGTCTTTATTGCTTTGGACATATATATCCCCTAAATAGGGTAATTGAGGGTGGTTTGTCTCCAGCACCAAGTCATTTGGGCTTTCTTACAACGTGACTCTTTGGAAGCGAAAACTGCTTTACGGTTCGAGGGTCGTGGGCCTGGTAAGGTAGACAGATTAACGTGCATTCAGATTCCTTCTTGCCCGGTTGAATTTGTTATGAGCCAGCCCACTTTGTAGAATCTCATTCCAGCTTAGATATATATTTTTCTCCGCTACCAGGACGGTCAGTAGGTTCTGCCATGAGCATACTCTGATCGAACCAAGGATAAGTAGCTTACATATAGTCAAGTTAGTTAGTAAGGGCGTCGTAGTAACAAGCTATGTACCTTTGTATACTACATCTGGTAGCCATCGATACAAGAACCTATGTCCGTGGAGCAGGTGTAAGCATAAGACTCTGCATTATAATGCTAATATGAAAGCACATCTTTCATCAAATGGGGTGATAGCTCAGTTGGGAGAGCGCACGACTGAAGTTTCAACTTCGTCCCAACCACCACATGGTGATCGTGAGGTCGCTGGTTCGATCCCGGCTCGCCCCATTACTTTTTGCTTTTATACGCCTTATTTTTGCTTCACCCTCAGGCACCGAACCAGGGTATACTATCTGCTGCTGCTTCATGAAGTCCTTCTATCGTTTTCCTGAAACCCTCTCTGTTCCGTACACCCGTGGCAGCCTCCCATTCTTGGAACGTCGGCTGGCGACTCTCATATATTGCGGAGGCCATTTCATTTCCACAGGTAGTCAGCAGCAACAAATCGGCACAGACGGGCAATAGAATCCCAAACTATAGCTAACCAGTGAGCCAACGGGTCGTCGTTGCGTACGTCGCAGATGACGATCCAACACAACAGTTAAGGCATTCAATCTGTCACGCGCTTGACATATTGGAAATGAGCCCTAACTAGGTGTGGGGTATGCTACATTTACAGGATCAGTAACCATTTAATTTTGCCCTACTGCAGAGACTACACCGGTGTGAGATGTGTACAGTACCTGCATACCCATACCAGCTGATAGGGAGTCACATCTCATTTAGAATGCGCAAATGTACATATATTCAACTAGCAAAGTCTACAAATCACAGGTGAATCGACCATAAGCAGACAAGCAACGAACCAATCACTGGCCATTAACAACACTGCTAACCTCAACAATGCTCTGGAACATAATCAGCACCTACGACCACACAGATATTCAGGTACAGACAGGGTAACTTACTGGACCACGGTCAGAGGCAGTCTTAATCGACTCAGTCTCATAACGATAAGACCCGCCCTGCCTTCCACCAGATTTCACATACTCAAGATAGGCAGGAGCACCTGGGAAATCTGTGTTATCAGCAATGACCTTGGAGCCCTTCCTGAATAAGCCTAGATCCTCGCAAAGCTGCAGATCCGGGAGGTAGAATTGCTCCCAGTGGTCGAAAAAGGCTACATCCACGCCCCCCTTGTTCAACTTCCCCTCTTTGAACAATATCCTCAGTGAGTCTGCAGCTGGTCCCTCGAGAACATGCACGGTGCTCTCCAAGCCAGCTAACCGAATGAGATTCCGCGCAATACCGGCGTTGACCGGGCTCAGCTCAAATGTGTACACATTGACATCAACTGCACTATCTGCAGTGTTAAGCCCTCGCAAAATGGCGCCCCAGGCGATGGCCGATGCTCCAACATATCCACCAAATTCAATTAAAGTTTTTGGGGATGGTTGAATCTTTGCTATTTGCTGCCTGGAAGCTTCGATCTTGGCGTTTTTGAAAGTCATCATGCGGCTCTCGTCCGCAAACTCGTTGATAGCTTTCACCAGGTCCCAGGGCTTGCCGGCGTAGGTATCCTCTGGCTTGGAGAAGATGTGCTCATGGAGAGCCTTGGCCTTGGCCTCGATAATCTGGCGTCTATGAGGATTATAGTACTATACGGGTGCATGAAGCATTGGACCTACTTCTTCCTTGGACATTATGGATGTTGCTATTGATGACTGATGGGAGTTGATAGATAAAATGGGATGATTCTGAAGGTTTTAAGCCAAGGTTCTTCGTTCTCTCAGGGAAGGCCATGTATTTATGTCACCAGAACCTCATACTTCGGAGTTTACAGACTCACACCAGCATATTCAGGCTCGGACAATATCACCAAAAGTATACAGAGTCGAGTCGAGTCTTACGTGTGCAAGCTATAGCAGTGATGACGAAATCTCCAGGTCAGTCCGGCAAGCCACGGGCATAATATAATGAAGCCCATAACTCGTGCCTCATGGAACAGATGAACCGAGAAAAAAGACGGTCATAGACAAGGATTCCAGCATTGCTTTGGCTACCTACCCGGCCTCCGTAGCAGCAGAGTGACAATGACTGTGCCCCGAATACAATCCATAAACTGACCAGGTAGTAAGGTACTATCACTCCTGACAATGAAATGTAGCCGGGCATAGAGATCGCCCAAGTGGAGCATCTGATATCAAGTATCTCCGAGATTTGCTTCGGCTTTTCGGCTCCAAAGGTCGTGACTTCCAAGGTAGTACTAGTGTCGTTCGGTGTCAATAACCAGATCGGATCAATGGACCCTTTACTACTCTGTCGTGATAGGGCATATCCAACATGCCTAGGGTCTTCCAATCGGGACTATGTTCCACGATTTCCAGCAGGAGCCTTGGTGCTATTAGGCATATAGGTATCGAGGTTGTCTTTACTCATTTGCTGGGAGACAGGAGCTTTCTGCCGTAGTACGAGTGGAAGTAGTGTATCGAGTAAATGTTGGGTATCAATACTCAAAATGATATGAAGAACTACTAAACAATGACATAAAAAGTACATAGAAAAAGAAGTAATCTTTCAACTATTGAGTAGAGTGAAGATAGCCTGTACAGCAAACGAGCCATGGGGGGCAAGCCGGGTTACCGATGAACTCCTTATGCCTACCTAAAAGGTAGGTAGGGAAAAAAATGGGGCGAGCCGGGATCGAACCAGCGACCTCACGATAACCAGGTGGTCTTTGAGATGAAGTTGAAACTTCAGTCGTGCGCTCTCCCAACTGAGCTATCACCCCAATTGATGGGATTTGGTATTAAATAAGTGTTACACAAAGGACAAAAAATGTGAAAGGAGGAAGAAATTACGAGAAAAACGTGACGCAAAAGATGCAAACAAACTACAAGCATGTGATAACTACCGCTGTCAGTTGATTATTATACTTCCGAGGCTTTGGAAGACATCGGCTATTCTTTGGGGGAAAAGTGTTTCAACAAGAAATATCCTAGAATCTACATGTTGTATATAACTTTTTCAAAGTCAATCTGTTTCAAGTACATATTCAGTGATATACAGCGACCATGACGACCCTTTTTACCGTTCCAATTTCGTCTACCGGCGGCAGCTTCGTCTGCTCCAACCCCACAACCTCAGAGAAGGAGAAGAACATTTACCTACTCACCTTCACATCGCCGAAGGATAACAGACTCACCCCGACATTTATAGAGGCCTTCATACTTGCATTGGATATTATCGAGCACAGATACCCCAAAGGCGTGGTGATTACCACCAGTGGCATTCCCAAGTTTTATAGCAATGGGCTAGATCTCGAGCTTGCTCTCAGCACGGAGGGCTTCTTGGATAAGTGGTTGTGGAAGCTGTTCCGCCGATTCCTGACGTTAGTAACAGCTCTAAATGGGCTCACTGTTTCTTGACTGAATATCATGTTAACCGCAACAGATATCCCATGCCTACCATCTGCCTGTTGAATGGACACGCTTTTGCCGGCGGTCTCATGCTGGCCATGTATCATGACTATCGGATCCAGAACCCCTCCAAGGGTCTTCTGTGCATCAACGAGTTGGAATTTGGAGTCCCCCTCCAATCACCCATGATGAGCATATTCCGGGAGAAATTGACACCCTCGTCTTTCCGGAACCTTATCCTCGAAGCCAAGCGGTTCGGAGGTCCCGACTCCGTCAACGCCGGTCTTGTAGATGGTCTGGGCGGCCTGGAAGAGGTTTTGACGCTTATCCGGGAGCGAGGACTACAGAAGAAAGCGGCCACTGGCATCTATGGGACCATGAAAGAGGAAATGTACCGCCACTCACTGGATATCCTGGATGGTCATGCTGCCAATCTGGAATGGAGGGAGCAGTTGGAGGACAAGAAGGATCAGGCGCAAAGGGATGGTCTGAAAGCTGTTGAGGCATTTGAGAAGCAGAGGAGTGCGAAGCTTTGAATCTGCGAAACTGAGAACCATCAGATAGAGGGTGATGTCGGTATATAGCTTATTGTATTTACGTTCATAGCTTCACCGATGTTAGAATTTAATTGTATACAATTCTCCCATTCGAGATTTTGACACCTGCATGATGGTGGATCACCACGTGAGGCTGTGGCAGTTTGGTGAAGGCACAGCCTCTTTGCCACGGCATTGGTAGGGTTGAGCCACGCCAACACATATTTATAGTAGTATTAGGCATAGTGATTTGGCAATTGGTGTCAGTGACCCAATTGTGCCTAATGGAGATCTCTCTTGCCAGGAATGTTTGCTAATTTTAAGGTGGCCACCAGCCTTTTTCACTGCACACGAGTGACGATACTCCCTCCAAAAAAGAACTTGTTTGACGGGACGGACTCTTTTCTTTATTCGAACCCGCATTTCTTTGTCCCGCCATTGGTGTTCTTATAAAAATAGCTGCCTGGGCGTTTCTTTGCCAATAACTATTGAAAGGACAGAATCACGTGACGGTTTCCCCGACAGAACCGAAACAACCGTAATTCCAAAGGCGGGCGGCGATTCATCACACCCTGTCAGCTTCACGCCAGTAACGTTTCCTACCCTTTCCTTACATCCATCATCCACCCGACTCCCAAAAAATCCGGCCCGCTCACCCGAGGCTCTCATCGCACGCCTGTTCGCGTATACTACGTCCTTGATATTTCCTCATCTCTCGCACCTCCGTGAAAGGAGAATTCAGCAGACTCCGCCTTCCTCCCGCTAGGCATCTGGTGATCCACCAGGTTCCCCGATCTCAGTTCTGAACGCCTCGCATTTATCGCATCAAACAACCATGTCTGAACAACCCTACGACCCCTATATTCCTTCTGGCTCTACTACCAACGCCCCGGCCGGGGCTGGTGCTGCGCAGAATGGCGATCCCAGGACAAGGGAAATCGACAAGGTATGTTGATTAACTGTCCCTATCACCTCCGTTACGGGAATCCTTCTCTCTAGTGGTACGAGGGGTGGATGGCTGTCTATGCTCAAGTCTCCCTTCCAGACTTGCATTCACAATGATCGCATACAGCATACAACCCTAATATCTGGCGTTACACTTATTCTATCGGAATGGAACATTATAGAAACTCATGCTAACATTAAACTTCCGCTGTAATAGAAAATCCAGGAGACTGTGGATACGATGCGGTCGAATATCTTCAAGGTTTCCGAGCGTGGTGAACGTCTAGACTCCCTACAAGATAAGACCGATAACCTGGCCGTATCGGCTCAGGGTTTCCGTAGGGGTGCGAACCGCGTGCGGAAGCAAATGTGGTGGAAAGACATGAAGATGCGCGTATGCTTGGTGATTTGTGTCATCCTCTTGCTTGTGGTTATTATTGTGCCTGCCGGTAAGCCCTACCTTCTGTCCTCCCACCCGGTGTATTTCCTGCACGGAAAATACGATTGAATGCGCTAACTGGTGTACGTTTAGTTGTCGCCACCAAGCATTAATGAACACAGTGACGGTCACGTTTGTCTTGGGAATGGATGTTTTTTTCAGCTGGTTTATCTGTATTTGAGACGGTGAAGCTTCGATTTCAGCCACTAATACCTCCTGTTTTTCTCGGGCGTCCGCCATGTTGGTTCTCACGACTAAACTCTTGTCTCTATACGCCATTGACGCTATGAGCCGATTGAATATCGGACGAGGCCATGCCCTATGATACGTCGACGGTGAAGATGTAAATGATACTCTGCTGTTATCTCGAGCTCGAGTATGCGAGCGCGATTTTTGTTGTTTTTCCTTTTGTTTTTTTCTTATGTGACTTTTCCTTTGTGTGTCGTTCCTAGCCTTTAATGAATAACCCTGTGTGTATTTCCTCTCATACCCATGGATTCATTACGTCGTAACAGCTCGCGTGTCTCGGTTATTGCAGCACCGGTCCTGAAGTAAAGACCGAAGTATATTTGCTCTAGGTTGCTAGTGACGTTTAGGGTATATACTCCCGTGGGTACGGAGTGCAAGGGTTAAATGCTAGTTCACGGCTGGGGTCTTCGGAGCAAAACTTGCAGGTTATTGACCTATTGACTACGGAGTAGGGAGGAGTGGATCAAGCTGCTTAGGCCAGTTTGATATATTAGGTAAACGATCAGATAACGAAGGACCCAGTGCACTACGGGGGACACCAGAAGATGGGACATGAATCGAGCTCCATTCTGAGGGGAAAGAGCGACGTTTATTCGCTGTGGGACGTGAAGAACCGAGTTGTAAAACACCCAGGCGAGATCTGATAATCCTAATAAAGTCGGCTGGTGCTAACTGATTGGGGAGAGATCCACGGCATCCTGCAATATCATGATTTTCATTACGTGGGATGGAGACCGTTGGGGCCCAAAAAAAGAGTGAGATAGAACGCTTCTGTGATTCATTGCCATTTTCGTTTCTCTGAGTCACGCCGCTCACATAATAATCATCGGCTCCGAAAGTCGCAAAGCCAATTCAGGTACCGGGCGTGCTAGTATTGACTTGCCGATCGACCAATTTTCTCTCCTTCCTGCTGACTCTCACTCTGCTGCCACCGGGTTCTGCTCCTTGATTACTCTGTTCTCCTTCAGTGGTTATTGCAAACCCCTCAGTGTCAGCACTGGCGTTTTCTGTTGGCTTTTGGGCACGGAAATCTCGTGATTGAGGGAAATACCAGGGCGTGACGAAGGCCAAAATAAAATACGCTAGTGAGTGACCGCCCCCGAACATGTAAGGACCCAAAGCAGCAAAAAAGCCACTCCGAGGGCGGATGGCCGACGATAAAGTCTTCCCATACAATTGATTTCTTGGGACTTGGGGTGCGGCAAATTCCTGAAAGCCCGCAGCAACTCCACTTTTACTTTCTTTTTCCCTCACTACTTATTACTCATAACACCGGCCTTGTCTTTCGTCTTCTTGAAATACTGACCTTCTCGCCCCCCCTTCCTTCCCCAGACTCCCAGACATAGGCCTTGAAGCTGCCGCATGCTGGTTGGCAAGATGTTCTCCCTTCGTACCGCCGTGCGGAGAGCTTCAACCAGCAAGCCCCTCCGAGCCTTCTCCGCACCACACGCCGTTTCCTCCGCGAGACTAGGCGCTCGTAACTCCCTCAAGGCTTCCGCCGTCCCGTTGCTGCAGGGTCGTCATTATTCCCGCGCCGCTGACCCCCAGCTTTCGTCGACTCGCTCCACGGTCGTCCAGCTGTTGAGCAATATCGGCTCGAAGCGTGAGGTTCAGCAATACCTCTCTCACTTCACGTCGGTTTCCTCTCAGCAGTTCGCTGTCATCAAGGTCGGCGGTGCCATCATCACCGAACACCTCCAGACTCTTTCCTCTGCTCTCGCCTTCCTGAACCATGTCGGACTTTATCCGATTGTTGTCCACGGCGCCGGACCTCAACTGAATCGCATGTTGGAAGACGCCGGTGTGGAGCCGCAGTTCGAGGATGGTATCCGTGTGACTGATGGCAAGACCCTGGCTCTTGCTAGGAAGCTCTTCTTGGAGGAGAATCTGAAGCTGACCGAAGAATTGGAACGCATGGGAGTGAGGGCCCGCCCTCTCACTGCGGGTGTCTTCTCAGCCGATTACCTCGACAAGGAGAAGTATAACCTGGTCGGCAAGATCAATGGTGTCAACAAGAAGCCAATTGAATCTGCTATCGAATCTGGCTGTCTCCCTATCCTGACCTCCATGGCCGAGACCCCAGATGGTCAGGTTCTGAATGTCAACGCCGATGTGGCCGCCGGTGAGTTGGCGCGTGCACTCCAGCCGCTCAAGATTGTCTACCTTGCTGAGAAGGGTGGACTCTTCAACGGTGACACGGGTGAGAAGATTTCCGTAATCAATCTCGACGAGGAGTACGACCACTTGATGACCCAGTGGTGGGTGCGTCACGGTACCCGTCTGAAGATTAAGGAGATGAAGGAACTTCTCAGTGATCTTCCTCGCACCTCGAGCGTTGCCATTATCCACCCAGCTGATCTGCAGAAGGAGCTCTTCACGGACTCTGGTGCGGGTACCTTGATCCGCAGGGGCAACAAGGTACACATCAAGACTTCTATCTCGGAGTTTGAGGACCTGGACAAGCTGAAGGATGTTTTGATCCGCGACCGGGAAGGCTTGGATGCCCGCGCCACCGTGGAGCGCTACGTTGAAGGATTGAAGGAGCGCGATTTCAAGGTGTACTTTGATGAGCCCATGGAGGCCTTGGCCGTTGTCTTGCCTCCCCAGCAGGATGCTTCTTCCCCCTTGGCTCACTTGGCTACTTTCACCATTACCAAGTCGGGATGGCTGACTAACGTGGCCGACAATGTTTTTGCCTCCATCAAGAAGGACTTCCCCAAGCTTGTGTGGACTGTTAAGGAGGACGACGAGAACCTGACTTGGTTCTTTGACAAGGCCGATGGTAGCCTGAGCCGCGAGGGAGAGGTCCTCTTCTGGTACGGTATTGAAAGCGGTGAAGAGGTTAAGCAGTTGGTCCAGGAGTTCAATGAGCATGGCCGCCAGATGTTCGGTGATATCAACCTCGAGTCGAGGTTGCACCGCGCTGCCGCGGCCGCCACCAACATTGGCAAGGGCTTTGGCGCCAGCGGTGCTTCCGCTGAGCAGAAGCGGGCATTCTCCTCCAGTAGCAATGCCCTGCGATCTTCTCGGTTTGGACGCCCTTCGGTTTTCAGCAAGAACTCGGCTCGGGCTTACTCCACTAACCCTAACCCACCCCTTGGCGAGAAGAACATGTCGAACACCCAGCCGTCCAAGGTTGCTCTCATTGGAGCCCGTGGCTACACTGGTCAAGCCCTGATTAACCTGCTCAATGCCCACCCCCACATGGATCTGCGCCACGTTTCTTCTCGCGAGCTGGCTGGCAAGAAGTTGCAAGGTTATGAAAAGAGAGAGATCATCTACGAGAACCTTAGCCCTGAGGATGTCAAGCGCATGTCTGCAAATGGCGATGTTGACTGTTGGGTTATGGCTCTGCCTAACGGTGTCTGCAAGCCGTTTGTTGAGGCTGTCGACCAAGGCTCGGAGAAGGGTAATGTCATTGTTGACCTGAGCGCCGACTACCGTTTCGATAGCAACTGGACCTACGGTCTGCCTGAGTTGGTCTCCCGCTCTAAAATCGCCCAGGCATCCAGAATTGCCAACCCTGGTTGCTACGCAACAGCGGCCCAGGTTGCAATTGCTCCCCTTGTCCCTCACCTCGGTGGACAACCTACCGTTTTCGGTGTTTCCGGATACTCGGGCGCTGGTACCAAGCCAAGCCCTAAGAACGACGTGGAGAACCTTACCAACAACATCATCCCTTACAGCTTGACCGATCACATCCACGAGAAGGAGATCAGCTCTCAGCTTGGCACCAACATTGCATTCATTCCTCATGTTGCTGTTTGGTTCCAGGGCATTCATGTATGTTCACTTATCACCTTGCTTCTTTCCCTTGTTGTTTTCGATTGTTATTCGGTAGCAGAACTAACTCCATCTAGCAAACCATCAGCATCCCTCTCAAGGAGGAAATGTCCTCCCGTGATATTCGCAACATCTACCAGGAACGCTATGCTGGTGAGAAGCTTGTGAAGATCATCGGCGAGCCCCCGGTGGTGAAGAACATTGCTGGTCGCCATGGTGTTGAAGTTGGTGGATTCGCTGTTCACTCTAGTGGCAAGCGCGCGGTGGTGTGTGCTACCATTGACAACCTGCTGAAGGGCGCAGCTACTCAGTGCCTCCGTAAGTTTACTATTTGCCTGTCATCATTAATTTATACCGTGCTAACTATTGGCAGAAAACATGAACCTCGCTCTCGGATATGGCGAGTACCAGGGCATCCCTCTGGAGTAAACAATCTTTAGTATACTTGTCCCTATAACCTCAATATAGCGGGAGTGTAGGTATATGAACTGTTTCGTGGACGAGGATTTTCGTTTCTTGAATTGAACAATGGTGTCATCTTTCTCGCGTGTCTCATACCCCGGGTGTCTCTCATCGGTTGCTATGGGTCGGTGATACTCCGCAAAGGGTTTCTTGCCTCAATCTCCATAGCCAACTTAATCATGCCTTATGTTTTCTTGAATACTTGGTTTCCCACTCATAGATGTCTCCGGTTTCCTTGTTCTCAACCTGCATGGAGAAGGAATACTATATCGTGCCTGCAAAGGGGATCGGTGCTTTTCGAAGCAAAGAATAGAAGGAGGATCAAAAGCAATTCGTCCCATAGTTTTTTCGGTGTATTGGCTCATATATCTCGCGTTGCCTTTTTCTTTTCTCTTCTTTCGGTGCTTCTGATACGGATATAGGGGAGTGGTCTGTAAATCGTTTCTAGGATGGTGGTATGTATAGTACTGATCTTTCGTTCTTATTTTCAGTGATCGATTTGTATAATCCAGCTTTGTATTTATCATACTTTCTAGGAAGCTCCGATTAATTGTCCTGAGCACCCTGGCGGTCATGTGTCCTGGGCAAGTAGGCGGCCTCAGGATCCCCATTACGGCCATTATTGTTCTCAAGGGCCTGTATAGTCTCCCAAGTCCATGCTTGAAATGTATCGTCCTCTCACCACAACCATACCAATTCTTCCAGACCGCATTCAACAATAATATCCTCTGTGTTTTCAACTTAACGAGTTTTTTCTTCCCCCGGTTTTCATCTCAAGTATTGATGTAAGACGACTACATCGTGGCTTGGTGAGTGATGAGCCCAGCATTCTGTCTGTCTCAACTAGTCTCAAGCATTGTTATCTCATGGTACAGGCTGGGTATCATCGGACCCTAGCATACCGAAGCAGGCTCGGATATTAGGCACAACCCACGAACATTACGTCTCTGCGACTCGATTAACATATGTCCATCACGTTCAGCGCGTGATCGACCATAAACGCGTGATATTGCGAAGAAAAAAGTGGAATCTGAGAAGTAGCTTAAGACTGTGAACTTATATCACTATCTTATGTTACAAGATTGTGAGAATTCAAAATGTTTTACAGTCATGAAAGTAAGAAACGCCCTTCGCGATTCACCCCGCTGGGCGGCTTGTATTCACTACATGTCTTTGAGACATTCAGTGTCCATTGACATTAGTATCGAACTCTTACTGACATGTTAATTCACCCTAGTGCTTACGTCGCCCGATCATGGGGTCGCCACGATATGGTATACAACCTGCCCGATAAAAAGCCGCCCATATCCTCATGCTTGGCTCACACCGTTTTGCTTACAGGCTGATTGCAACCCTGGGGTCAAAATCAATTAGCAAGAAGCTCAATAAGAAGACTATATTGGATGTCGACGTTCCGAGAGCCTGTCATGTTATCATGGACCCGGAGGCGCCAATGGCGCTGAGGCTCCAGGGCAATCTGCTGTATGATTTCTAGCCAACATCTGGACATTAGTTTAGCAGCTAATAGCTTATATAGCTATGGAGTCTCGCGAGTGTACAGCCAACAGTGTGGTTATGCTCTTACGGATGTCCAGGCAATGCACGATAAAATGCGAACACTGTTGAAAGTCCTACCCGGGGGTGGACTAGATCCAACTGCTGGAAGGACTAGGTATGTAATTCAGAGAAATGGCGTGTCAATAATGATCTCGAAGCATAAGCTGATGTGATGAAATCTTAGACCTGATCAGCTTGTCTTACCTTACGACCCGTCCTTTTTGCCAGAGTGCGACCTCCCCGGGATGGGAATGGATCTCTCTAAACTTAGTTTGCCTTTTGACTCTGCTACAAGTCAGCATTCCGGCCTCTTATGGCCGAAGACTCCAGACCTCAGCCAGTCTGATCTTTCAAGGAGCCCTAGCCTACGCTTTAGTTTCTCATACGATGATATGATAGGGAGAAATGCTGGTGGAATTGATTCCGAAACCAATGTACCTAGCTCTGCTCAAAGAAGCATCAACCTAGGCGGCCTCACAGCTACGACCTTCGCTGAGGAAGGTGGTATCCTTCTTCAGCCTGACTTTGAATTTGACGAAGATGGCAATCTCATTGAGCTTGGGGAGGCGCATTGCCAAATTGCAAAGGGCAAGCCGAGTCGGCACGTTAGTGGAGCACCACTTCTGGGTGAAGAGGCAAATGATGGATTGAATGATTCCACATTTGAATATCAGGTATGGTCTACTAGACCCAGAGATGAGCATGTTCTGATCTTATTTACTTAGCAAATGCCAATCGACGAAGAAATAGATACTACCGCCAAGCATCAGGATGAGAGGCCAATCCAAGCCAGTCGAGCTACTAAAAGACGCCGCAGTGATTCCGAGTCAACTGATGAACTTAAGGTTATTTCAGATGAGGTTGCGGTGACTATGCCCCAGAAACGACGAGCCCCTAGATTACAAACATTGGATGACCGAACTGCCTTGAGAAACACAGACCTGGGCAATCTGAACAGCGACTACGTGCAGAATATGGCTATAGCCTTGAAGCAGAAACGACAGAACAAACTTCCAACACAAGCAAAAAAGAATGCCGCCTTCTGGGTTTTTGGTCAAGGAATTGGTTCAGTTGGGCTTGGCTTAGGTGCATCTCGGGTACTACATCCTTTGCAGCAATTCTCAGGAGAAGAGCTCTATGGTGCTCTGGACCCAACTGCAAGACACAAGGAGCGAAAACGGAGTCGTCATCATGATGACAGTGAAGCAGGCTCTGATGTGCAGTCTGTCCGTGTTAGAGAAGAATATGAGGAACAAGTCGGTCGAGGCGAGGTGGTCGACAATCATGATATTTGGAAAGAGGTATGCCATTACTCTTGTACATATGGTTGAATTGAATGTTTCTAACAAAGATATATAGGTTGAAATTGGTCGCCATGCCCCGTCCGTCTTTCGCGATGACAACTCGTTCTCATCTCAGATGCCATGGAATATCACAGCTTCTATTCAGAGCTCTCAGCATGGGTCATCTGCTACAAGTGGCCTCCGTGGTGTAGCAAATGTGAGCGATCCTTCGGCTTCACGAGGCAGGGACCCCACTGCGTCTCACCTTGCTGGTCGCGGACGATCACGCAACCGTCTAACTAGCGCGAGTCCCCTTGCCGGCAGAGGTATCCCCTTCGACGCAGAGGCTGTCGACAGCTTGACGTTACCCGGAAATGATGACATAGACGCCTTGAATGACTTTGATCTGAGCCATTATTTACAGACTGAGCTGTTCGGTGATGACCATGGATACACTGGAGACGACGCCAACGCAAACACGTACAGTCGTCAGCCGACTCTTCAAGATCGCCTATCACAGTCCAGCCTGGACCAAGAAAGCCTGAACTTCCTCGGGTTTCTAACAAGGAAGCTCGAGATCATGCCAGGGGAACATGCTGAAGAACTAGATGAAGAGGATTTCATTAACTCGCCGTCCGCTTTTCATGACAGCAAAGCAATCGGTTTTTCAGCACTTCTGCCACCGGCTGAAACCTCTCCATCCGTAGCCACACAGGGTTTGATGCATATACTCACACTTGCAACTAAAGGTTTCTTATCAGTCCGCCAGGAGGACTATAAAGACCGGAGCACTCGATATCGTATCCGATATGAGTTTGGGGAGATCTTTCTACAGCTATCAGATATCTAGTCCTACGAGAGGCACCGAGTTCTACCTTGACTCTGGTTCTCCAGTATGTCTGTGATTGAATACCGAAAACACTCATGGACACCCACCCATGTGCAATTCTCTTATCAGTCACTTTATTTCCTGGCTGATGAATAAGCACCTGACTTCGATTCAACGTCCGGGTTTCTGAAATGGAGACCACCATGCCAGCATCCCATGGAATGATTTCCTCGAGACCCTAGTACTGTCTCTGCCAATTTTCAATGCTTCTCGCTTTTCTTTTCTTTTTCTTTTTCTTTTCCTTTATTTTCTAATTCTTATTCTATTTTTAGTTGTTTCCCTGCTCAGATTTTTTCCAATTTACCCCCAGACTCAGTCATGGTTACATACTCAAATCTTCTTTAATTTCCGCAATATGCTCTGCCAAGTTGACATGATTTATCATACACGTTAATTTTCCTACTCATGCCCAAATTGTGCACATCAACAAGCAGATACTCAGGTACAAGCTTTTCCCCTTCTCATTGTCTTCTTGCTTTATGACTTTAACCTGATCATAAAAAAGTGTGCAAAAAGACGCAATGACAATTCCAAACCTACCAAATACATATATCTTTCACCCAGTGCATAATGAGATAGGGTTAGTAGTATAGACGAGACCACCGACTTTACACGTTTTCCCACCAACTACTGCCCCGCCAGCAAGGAAGCCGTTCGACGGAGGAGCCACCGCGACTAGAGTAACTTCTCTACTTGCGCTATTCTGGTCATGGATGTACGCCGGCACTAAGAACCAGCAAAGCAACGTTAGAGGCACGTTACAATCCTCAGTAGTTATTAATAACCCGTGATCACACTCCTGCAGGTAATGTTTTTATATTTAGAAAGATTAATACGTTAAGCTTTTCGGAAGACCGAGACTGACGGTCGTTGGAGTGGCCATGACGCGGGGAAGGTTACGGTAAGGACCGGCGCAAGCAGTATTGGATAGGAGCCAGTCGACCTGTCCATGGTTAAGGTCCACCCTAAAAATGGCAAGAATCTAATCTCAAACGATAGCAATTGCCGTTCTGACAGGGTCAGGGTCGGCTGATGAAGAAATGCCCCGCCATATCCCAGTTCTGCGTTCTTCACACTAACCAACATCGGCAGTCATTTAAGCGCCCGGCCTGCCCGCCGACCGATATATTTAGATCCTAAGATTATTCGGAGATTTACCTGCAGGAAGCCTCACCAATCAGCTCATCGGATTCCCTGCCACATGTAGCGCTCCGACAGATTGTGTTAGATCCAGTTTCAGTGGCTAGATGCGCCAATCATGCTCGAACGAGGCCCGGTATGCTGTAGCAATAGCCGCCCGCCCACTCCCTGTCCTTTACATAGTACAACATCAAACTAGTGATCTTGGTCAGGTTGAAGGATTGCAGTCAGCGCATCCTAAACACCAATCAAGGCGCCCCATCGAATATACTTTTTGTTGGCGGCTTCTGCGACGATCTCACTCGATGATGTTTATAGATACTACAGTTCGAGTTTCGAATACTGGAGGGCTGCCTGTATGACTTGTGCATATTGTTACACCGGGGACAAACATGAGCATATCATCATTATATATGAGCGCCCTCGACTTTGGCAAAACAAGAGAAAATCGTCTAACCCTCAATTCCTAAATAGCATCCGTTTTGATACCCTCTCCACTCAGCGTGAATGTCGATTGTCTAGGGCTGGCCTACTTTCCCTTTCCCCTCTTCTCCTCGAGCGACTTTGATAGTCACGAAGAGACTCCTCGATCTATTCTACTGTCTACCAACTGGGCCTCTGAAGAGCCTATCCTGCCCCTTCGAATCTTGTTCAACTTCCACCCACACAGTTTTCTCTCGCCTTTATACCTTAATTTTACATAAACCATTGCTGGATTAGTGGCCGCTGGCTGGCTAAAGCATCCAAAATGCGTTCATCATTTGTATTTATTGCCTGTCTAACGGCCTGCTCGTTTGCGGCACCGGCATTCTTCGACAATGCATACAACTTCTCTAACGACTTATCGGAGTTCCTGGGGAGAGTGAGCAAGCATATCGAGCACTCTAAGGATATACTCAGCTCGGCCACGTGCGATACGTCTAGCATTGAACTGCCCGCACAGGCATCCGGGTTACCCTCTCCCTCAGGCCAGAAGCTTCTATACGTCGCATTGGGGCGCGGTACGCAGGTAAGTCAGATTCAACTTCACCCCGCAGGCCACCACACCAAAACTAACATCAGACAGAACTATACCTGTGCGACACCATCTACAAACTCGACGCCTGTAGCTGTCGGCGCTGTTGCAAACCTCTACAACGCTACTTGCATCGCAGGAAGCTTCTCGGATATGATTACCATGCTGCCGAACATCGCATACCGGATACCCTTGCCAAACAGTGACTCAGATCGCCTTCCTCCGGCAAATCTGGATCTGATGGGTCACCACTTCTTTGACGGCTCAACGCCCGTGTTTAACCTTGACACCACGGCAACACACCAGTATGGCATTGCAAGAACAAAGAAAGAGGCACAGGTTGATGCGCCGTCGAATGCTTTTCAAGGGAACAATGGGGCTGTTGCATGGCTCTATCTCTCAGCCACGAGTGGCACGGTAGGGGACTATTCCGGCGTATACCGGGTGGACACTGCGGCGGGATCGCCACCAAAGACATGCAAGGACATGCCATCGGAGTTTACTGTCCAATATGCTGCAAATTACTATTTTTATGGGAAATGACGGTGGTTACTGAGACTCGATAATGTACATAATTGGGGGTTGGAATGCTATTTGATTTGTCATGACCTAATCGCGGCGTTTATAAATCAGGTATATTCGTATGAGTGTTTCTAGAATCATGACCAAATTCGGAGCATACCTGTAGTAACCATCACCGTCAATGTCTCCACGATTCTCGTCCCAAAATCCAATTGGCGCAGGGCTTGTACGAATCAGGTGATCTCGCTATCTATCCACACCACGTGACCTGAAGTTCCCACGACAGAGAGGCCGGGGTCTAGTCCCCATGAGGACTAGCGCATTCTGATTTTCAAAGTTCCGCCGGTCACTCATGAAAAATCTCGACCGCAACAACGACAAGCAGCACGGCCTCGACCGATTACTGAAAGCAAGTGCAAGTGCGATAATTCTGCACCAGCTGCTTCGAAAGGTCCAGTGACACTTGCGATTTACAGCTTCGCCCATATCGAGCGGCTTTCATTCCTTCCCCCCGGGAAAATTTCTTTTGCTTTCGTTGCTAGTACAGCAACCCATTCGAGACCTATTCAACCTCACTTTAAAGTCGATCCTATTCGATTCATATAACACAATGGGCTTCGGTGCTCCTCGCGGACGTGGTGGACCCCCTGGTGGTCGTGGTGGACGTGGTGGATTCGGCGGTGGCCGTGGTGGTGGCAGAGGTTTGTTCACGATCAGTTCCATTTGGGACAGCAAGCAGATACCTTGAAGCTCAGCATTGTCGCCCTCCAATTGGCCTCTGAATCTGTTCCTTAAATCATTGTCAGATGTCTTTCGCCACGGAGAGCGATATTTGCGACAGTTGCTCGAACTGCTGTGCCCTTGAGGAGAACGCTATGGCTAATACGATCTCTTTACGATGATTACAGGCGGACTCGGAAGTGCCTCTCGTGGCCGTGGTGGACCTCGCGGTGGAGGCCGCGGTGGACGTGGCGGCCCTCCTGGACGTGGTGGTCGCGGTGGCCGTGGTGGCGCTCGCGGCGGTGCTCGCGGCGGTGCTAAGGGTGGTGCCAAGGTCATCATTGTAAGTGCTTCATAATTCGCAATGTTACAAGGATCTCAGCAGCTGACTCCGGTCGTTTTTCAGGAACCCCACCGTCATGCCGGTATCTTCGTCGCCCGTGGCGGTAAGGAAGATTTGCTCGTCACCAAGAACCTGACCCCCGGAGAGGCTGTCTACGGCGAGAAGCGCATTGCTGTTGAAACCCCTACCGAGGACGGTACCGTCACCAAGACCGAGTACCGTGTCTGGAACCCTTTCCGTTCCAAGCTTGCTGCTGGTGTCCTGGGTGGTCTCGATGATATCTACATGAAGCCTGGCTCTAAGGTTCTGTACCTTGGTTCTGCCAGCGGTACCTCCGTCAGTCACGTTGCTGATATCGTTGGACCTACTGGTAACGTCTACGCCGTCGAGTTCTCTCACCGTTCCGGTCGTGATCTGATCGGCATGGCCACCCACCGTACCAACGTCGTCCCCATTGTCGACGACGCCCGTCACCCTCTTCGTTACCGTATGCTGGTGCCTATGGTTGACGTTATCTTCGCCGATGTTGCCCAGCCCGACCAGGCCCGTATTGTTGGTCTGAACGCTCACATGTTCCTCAAGGAGGGTGGCGGTGTCATCGTCTCCGTCAAGGCCAACTGTATCGACAGTACCGCCAAGCCGGAGGTTGTTTTCACTCGCGAAGTCCAGAAGATGAGAGAGGAGAGGATCAAGCCCAAGGAGCAGTTGACTCTGGAGCCTTTCGAACGTGATCACTGTATCGTTGCTGGTATCTACAAGCGTTCTGCATAAAAGAAAATGGGGGTCTGGTCTCTTTTCATGTCTTAATCTATTATGCTTTTTTTTTTCTGGCGTCAAGTGTTCTGTGATATGCTGAAATGTTTCTCTTTGTGCTATCTCGAGGTTTCTTCTGAATGTACTTTTTGAGTCAGAAAATATTCATGTTTCCGATTCCGATTACTCTATTGTGTTCAGTATGGGATCTAGCTGGCTGTCTGGAAAGGAATAGAGAACTATATGTTTCTTAATTACTTAGATTTCTTGCCATCATTCTTAGACAGTAACTTGGGTTGATCATGCTCGGCCATGGGAAGGTGTGAGAATCTGCCGTCTTCTGTTCTGCCCACTTCTGCAGAATGTCCATTGCGTCTTGGCAAAACAGAAGAGAGATAATTTGTTTGAAGCTCACACTGTTACCCAGAGCACTCAATGCCTAGGTTATTCCTATGTCAGCGGCATATGAAGTTGACTGCGTTGCGGTTTCTCGGACTTTCGCCGTTGGTCCGGTCCTGCTTCTATAGAGTTTTCGACGCTTCAGCGGTTCGGTAATCGGATTACTCTCCGACTACGACCACAGGACTTCGGAATTGCTGCGTAGTGCAGCCTGTCGTAACTGACACCACAATGATGATAGGGGCTTGCAAAGACCGAGAGCGGGGATAATCCCACGCTGAGGATTGATCTCTCCGTCTGACCCCGCATTCTCTTGACAGCTGGGATAATCGCTATTTAGTCACGGTAACTCTCTCGTGGGATTCCAAGCAATCTCGTGAGACCTAATATATATACCCTGCGGATTGTTTCCTGAGCTTACGTCTTCCTGGTTCTTTTTCTAAATCATTACGAGAGTAAGAGACCAAACATGTCGATTATCATTACCGGTGCAAACGGCTACGTGGGCCAGGAATTAGCCTCCGCCCTCCTTTCGAGCTCCCCTGATATTACTGTAACGCTCACAGACATTGTCACACCAGCAGTCCCCGCTGCTGTCGCTGCTCAACATACGTCGCGAGTGAAATGTGTACAAGCGGATCTCACGTTGCCGAAGGTGGTTGACGAGATGTTCACCGAGTCTCACCGTTTCGACACAGTCTACCTGCTACACGGAATCATGTCCAGCGGCTCCGAGGCCAACTTCGAGCTGGGCATGCGGGTCAACCTCGATGCCACCCGATATATCCTGGACCGGCTTCGGGCTGTGATGCCGGGAGTGAAAGTGGTCTTTACATCCAGCTTGGCGGTTTACGGTCTTGCGCCTACTGGGTTCGTCATTGACGAGACAAACTTCCCGCCTGTGCCGTCGTCCTCATACGGATCGCAGAAGCTCATCATCGAGACATTGTTGAACGATTACTCGAGGAGAGGGTTCTTGGATGGTAGAGCAGTGCGTCTCCCAACGGTCACTGTTCGAGCTGGCCAGCCCACGCAGGCAGCGAGCAGCTTTGCGAGCGACATTATCCGGGAGCCATTTAACGGGAACAAGGCGATTCTTCCGGTCAGTAAGGAGACGGAGATGTGGATCTGTTCGCCTTATACGGTGGTGAAGAATCTTGTACATGCGAAGGACATCCCGAAGGAGGCCTTTGGGGAGTCGAGGTCTGTTAATCTCCCGGGATTGAAGGTCAGTATCCAGGAAATGCTGGATGCGCTGGAGGAGATTGGTGGCAAGGAACGAAGGGCATTGGTGGAAGAGAAGTACGATGCCGCTATTGACAAGATTGTGCAAACGTGGACGCCTAATTTCAAGACGGATCGTGCGATCAAGTTGGGATTTTCGGAGGATGTTCCTATGATTGAGAATATCAGGCAATATGCGAGTCGGTTTGCGTGAGGGTCTTGGGTGGTTGTTTTGTAAATTTAGTATGACCGCGAATGTGAATATTTTTTCTCCTATAAAATTTAAAAGAAAACGTAGATTAGTAGAGTTCCTGGGACGTCATCAGGATAAGTGTCAGGAGTGTTTGTGGCATGGAAGAACCCCATGTTGAATCGCTTGTCGCGGTTCGACGGCCGAATCGAGCGTTAGGGAACAGTCGGGATCGAAAACAGTGGTTTGGAAAAGCGGGTCATGTGATTGGCTGACGGGCTGGCGAACAATTTGACTCCCGAACTTCAACCTCTCATCTCCAGGGCTGACCGTCTTTACAGCCGTTGCACCTTTGCATCATCCCTCCCCTTCCCTCCACATCCACCTTAATTCTTGTCACAATGGCCTCCCGGCGCCTAGCATTCAATTTCAACCAGGCTCTCCGGAGCCGGGCTGCTCTGAAGTCCATCCAGCCCGTCAAGCGAGGCTTCTCTTCCCCGGTCACCCTCCCATCCACCACCCAGTCGACCACCCTCTCTAACGGCTTCACGGTACGGAAAACAAGTATGCTCAATCGCTTCGCAATATCACTAACTGGTCTCAGATCGCTACTGAGTACTCCCCATGGGCCCAGACCTCGACTGTTGGCGTGTGGATCGATGCCGGCAGCAGGGCAGAGACTGACAAGACCAACGGAACCGCGCACTTCCTTGAGCACCTTGCTTTCAAGGTACTTCTTTCGCTCCAGCCCCAGCATTGGACATGTATCTGACCGTTTTCCAGGGCACCAACAAGCGCAGCCAGCACCAATTGGAGCTTGAGATCGAGAACATGGGCGCTCACCTGAACGCCTACACATCGGTACGACCCGGGATGATGATAGAACCCAGAATTGGCTCGGAAACTAACCAGGCACTCAGAGAGAAAACACCGTTTACTACGCCAAGGCCTTCAACAACGATGTTCCAAAGGCCGTTGATATCCTCGCCGACATCCTTCAGAACTCCAAGCTCGAGCCCGGTGCTATTGAGCGTGAGAGGGACGTGATCCTCCGTGAGCAGGAGGAGGTTGACAAGCAGTTCGAGGAGGTTGTCTTCGACCACCTTCACGCCACCGCTTACCAGAACCAGCCCCTCGGTCGCACCATCCTCGGCCCCAAGGAGAACATCCAGACCATCTCCCGCGACAACCTGGTCGACTACATCAAGACCAACTACACTGCTGACCGTATGGTCCTTGTTGGTGCCGGTGGTATCCCTCACGAGCAGCTCGTCCGCCTGGCCGAGGAGCACTTCGGCACCCTCCCCAGCAAGCCCCCTACCTCTGCCGCTCTCGCTCTCACCGCTGAGCAGAAGCGCACCCCCGAGTTCATTGGATCCGAAGTGAGACTCCGTGATGACACCATCCCTACTGCTCACATTGCCCTCGCCGTTGAGGGTGTCAGCTGGAAGGACGATGACTACTTCACTGCCCTCGTCGCCCAGGCCATTGTTGGCAACTGGGACCGTGCCATGGGCAACTCTCCCTACCTCGGTAGCAAGCTCAGCTCCCTCGTTGAGCACCACGGCCTTGCCAACAGCTTCATGAGCTTCTCCACCAGCTACAGCGACACTGGGTAAGTTTTATTATCTCGCAGAGACTGCGACCTGACCGTTCGATTGTATCGCTGACGATGACTTGTTTTTAGTCTCTGGGGTATCTACCTGGTCTCTGAGAACCTGACCGCCCTCGACGACCTCACTCACTTCGCCATGCGTGAGTGGTCTCGCCTGTGCTTCAACGTCACCTCCGCCGAGGTTGAGCGTGCCAAGGCTCAGCTCAAGGCTTCCATCCTCCTCTCTCTGGACGGCACCACTGCCGTCGCCGAAGACATTGGTCGCCAGATCATCACCACTGGCCGCCGCCTCTCCCCCGAGGACATCGAGCGCACAATCGGCCAGATCAGCGAGAAGGATGTCATGGACTTCGCCAACCGCCGCATCTGGGATCAGGACGTCGCTGTGAGCGCCTTTGGCAGCGTTGAGGGTCTCCTCGACTACAACCGTATCCGCGCGGACACCACCCGTAACACCTTGTAAGATTTCGGTTAGTAGGATATCCGCGTCTCAGAGTTATGGCAATTGTTCCGTTTGATTTGGTGGTTAATAGATAGATGAGGAGGTAGTCGCCGAGGTAGCGTGTTTTGTACAGTACACAACTGTTACTGATATACTTAAAACTGTATTTCTTTTGTTACGTTACCTGGTTCTTTTTATATGGCATGTAGACACGTAGTCACTTTGAGTAAAACCTGCGGCTAGCCTTCGGATATAGAGTAGTATGCTTGCTAACACATATTATATAGTAACGCATCACGGAATATTATCCCACAATCTCTAGCATATACCATAGTAAACAGACAGAGACTAGACTAACTGAAACTCATAACCATCAATCAACCCCTCATCATTAACCACCATTACCACCATTACCACCAAAGAAATATCCACAAAAGAAAGAAAAAAAGAAAGAAAAAGCCCAAGCCATAGAGGAATCTAACCCAAACCATCAACAAATATCAAAATAAAAAGAAAATACCATCAAACGAAAGAAAGCCCCCTGCCATAGATCACTAGCAAGAACCCCCAAGTCCCCATACACACACACACATACTTACGTCCGAAAAAAGAGATCATTGCGGAGCATAAGCCATACCCGTGGGAGCCTGATACCCGGTCTGCGGGCGCTCACTCTGGGCCTCGATCTCCTTCTCATGCTGCATGATCACGCAGCACGGACACCAGTAGGACGAGCAGCAGTCGCCGACGCCGGAGCCCTCGATGCCGAAGCGCTGGCGGATCTCGCCGCGGCGGATCATGAGCAGAACCCAGTGGAAACCTACTTGGGCTGTGAGGTAGTAGAGGCAGCACTGTTGTTTTGTGAGTTCTTTGGTTAGTTGGGTGACTTTCTTCGGAGGGGATGGATGGATGGATGGATGTGGATGTACGTACGTTGCCGTTCATGTAGCTGTATTCTTTGAGCTGGGGGTCGTCCAGTCGAGATTGCGTTTTGCCGAAGAGACAGCAGGGGAGACAGCAGCCCCAGAAGCCTGCGTTTGGGATATGTTAGTTAGTCTCGTGCTGTATGTATATAGTAGGGGGTAAGTGTCTGGGGAGATGTACAGGTTCCGGCGGGTGAGAAGCAGTCCCAGAAGCCGTTGGCCCATTCATTTTGCTGCTGGACGGCGGCGGGGGATTCGGACTCAGGGGCACCCATTTTCTTTTGGTTTTTGTTGTTGTAGTTGGGTTTGGAGTTGGAGTTGTTTGGGAGTGGTGTGGTGGTTAGGGTGTCGTTGAGAGGGAGAGACTGGGTATGTATAAACGAGTGTCGAGGGGGAGTGAAAGAATGGAGTCATGCGGTTTATTAAGAACTAGAAATACTTAAAGATTCTATATACTTTGCAGGTCCTTGCCCTTTTAGCTTAAAATAAAAAAAAATAAAAAAAAGCACGGACGTCGCTGTTGTTGTACCCATTTCCAAGTCTGAAAGGTTGAAATTAATAGAGCCCTATTTTTTGTGGACCTTCTCTAGGCAAACAAACAGGCAGGGCCATAGGATCGACATGGCTTTGGACGGTTTGAGAACAGTTTCATTTCCACAAAGACATTTCTCTGCATAGTTATGACTTGGGAAAGAAAAAAGCACATGAAACTGTGAAAGAATCGAGGGAGACACAGTTCCAAGGTGAGATGCATGACACGAAACCCATGGAGCGAAATAATGAAGATTGACACAGGATCTTGCTTAGGACACGGCAAAGGAGCGCGAATCCTCGTGTCTTGTCTTGTCCGTGGGCCTCAACGTCCTAGAGGCCCAGCTTGGGTCCATTGAGGCCACTCAGGGCTGTTTAGCCCTCCTGCTAAGTTTGAAATACGAGCCTCACGGGTCGATCAGTTGATATTGGGTTGCTGCGTTGTGAGTTCGGGTTGTTGGCTCGTGTTTTACGAACATCGGGTGTACTTTTCCTTTTGTTTTTCTCTTCTGATTGTTATTTTGTTTTTATTTTCCCTGAAAGCTTGGCTTGGAAGATGGATTGTGGTACAGGCATGTAGACGAGTTTGCATCACTAATAGAATGCAACCTGCCGCTAAGAATAACAAACCTTTAGATAAGATTGTGGGTCATGTTCTTAGGGGATTAAGGACCTCTGTCATTCCCCCTTGCAGTAGACCGAGCTTGTTAATATTTGAGAGCTGCATCCACCCTTGAGAAAAAATTTCCTCGCTCTCTTTCTTCCCTCCAAGTTCGAGCCTCTATGTAGGGGCTGTTTCGTGGCTGGCAGCTTGTTTGTAGGGCACACTGTGCGGTTAAGGAGAGTGCTTGTGCCTGCCGGGTGGGACTCGGCTGGGCAATCTTAAGAAACATTAATCAATTTAAAGTGTGCTGCCTAGACCCCGAGGAGCCTCTTCCTTTTTTTTTCTTTATTATTTTTCTTTTTGGGCCTTTTTTCACTTGTGGTACGGAAAGATACCGAAAGAGACTGCCGGACGAATGCCGTCAACCAGACTTTTCTTCGGAGTGGGAGTCTTTAGAGAACTGCGTCCTCCGCTATTGGAGGCAGAAGCTTCGTCCTTCTCGCAGAGCGCCATCTCTTTATAGGAAAACTGTATATCGAGTAGTGCATGTTGAATATAAACAGCCTGTATTACTGATACGGGAATGAATTGGATGGTGGTTGGACGTCCTTCTTTCAATGGACCAACCACCCCGTCTATAACGTCAAGCTGCCAGCCATATATCAAGGCCGTCCTGGTGCCTCACCAGCCTTAATCTTATTTGGTTTGCGAGACTCTCCAGCGTGCAACCATTCGTTTAGGTGGATACTTCGACCCAGCCTCGAGTAAGGCCACGAATGATCAATGATTTCTAGACATATAGTTTCTGGTTTTTGACTTGCAAGGCAGAGAGATAGTGCAGTGAAGATGACCAAGGAAGCTGGTAGTATTGCCGATGCCTTTCGAATGCAATCTCATTTTGAATGACTTATTCTCCGCCACGAATAGGCTTAATATCCCGTCAACGGGACGATGTTGCCGGGGTCCATGGAAATTCAGTAGGGAGTGGCAGAGTCGGATTATCTGGACTTCTCAGGGTTAAGATATGTGAAACATCACGTCGTGGGACAACCGGGCAAGAATTGAAAGAATGGAAAATCACAGTTCCATGACCGACATGACAGAAGTATAGAATTCCATTAAATCCAAACCACTGGTGTCTAAAGAATCAAAGGAGCCCGAAAATAGTAGGTAGTCTTTTCGATATCGAAGCGAGCCCGGTGGCTTCATTGTCCTTCAGTGACCTAGGGAATGTATAGAGATTGGGAAGGTAATGTATTGTAGAATGATATAGTTCGGCGGGTAGTCATAGGTAAAACGGCGAAGACTAGGTTATGGGTGATTGAAAACCCATCACTCTGAGAATCATATTGGTGCTGTATCCAGGACGATTGATTGCTTGTCATGTATTCTCAACAATGGTTTATGATATTGATCGGCTGTCCATCGTGTGGGGTGATCTTCTAAATAATATGAAGTCATAAAGATCAGATGTCACGTACAGTACTTAGACTGCTGCAAAAAGGCTCCTCTCGCTTGTTGTTGACTTTGCGTGTGCCCTCTCTGTTGAGTGCCAGTTGCAACCAGACCTCTGGGTGAGCCGGCAATTATCCCTGACCTTTGGACTTATAGTTTCCTTTCAATTATCATCTTTCGGCGTAGTAAGCGATGAATAATGATGGACGAATAAAGTAGTTCACGAACCTGTGTCCTGCATTGTATAGATCTCAGGAACATGGTATTGCTCGTTTCTCCCCCTGTTATATGACCGATGAAATTAGCCAACGGGAAAAGATCATAATAAGCTTCTGCGGGTCCACTGGAATATATTTCGGACTTAGTAAACTGCTGCATTGCTGATCAAGCGGTCTTGACAGCTACTCAGTTGCTCAGGACTTGAGGGTAGCATATGAAGGTTGTGATGAGTTCTGAGCTGTATCATATCGCTCGATGTGACTGAGTCTCAAAATGACCCAACAATGGTGCAGAGCCCATACTGGAAGCAGCTATATCAGGTCCAAAAGAAGAGTGGAGAGTAAAATCGGGAACCCGGGACGGCAGTTGGAACCACCGCACGAACCGATAATGTGGGGAAATCCGTTCGGGAAAGTTCCCCAGAATGTCCTTTGACGCTTGCGCTTTCCGTATTTAGATCGGTGCCAGACCCAAGGCGTTCCGTCCTTGGGAAAATGTGATTATCTTGACTCCTACTTTTCAACGCTCCTGACAATGGACGACGACGGCTCTCCAACCAAAACCGCCCCTAAATTTACAAGATGCAGGACCGGGTGTTTACGGTGTCGAAAGCGACGGCGGAAATGTGAGTAATATTATCTTCCTGACGCTAGATCGTCTGTGTAGCGCGGCACTAATGGAACCTGCCTCAAACTTTAGGCGACGAAGGAAAACCTCGCTGCCAAAATTGTATCGACAAGAACCTAGACTGTCAATATGGGTTGCAAGTTAGCTTCCTGCAGAAGAACACTTTCACGGTTACCGCAAGTGAACTGCGTACGCCCAAGCCTGAAGTGAATTATGACAAGATCAAAGTGGGTAGTGTCTCTTGCTTTCTAATATTGAACTGCATTTCTTCAATTGGGTCACTGTCCACTGTATGTGCATACTGATTCTTGGGTTTAGTTTGTCCAGGAAGATCCACTGGGCTGTACCACCGATGCTTCCGTGGAGGATTCGCCATCCCCCGTTGCCAGCATTCCGGAGGCACATACTCAGAGTGATCCTATAGTTAGCACAGTAGTCATCGCCGGCGAAAGAAAAGATAGTGATCGGAGGGATAACCGTGACTTGGATGAACACTATGGTGATGGGGGTAGTATTCATCATGATACCTTGGACTTATCACATTGGGATGGAAGCCTCAACATATCGCCAGATGGGACCCCTCACCAGGACAAGGATGATGCTGTTCAAGGCCTGCTGGCTCTAGGATCAACAGCTGGTCCGAATGGTATCATACCGGAGTCGACTAACCTGTCGCTGCTCAGTCCCAATGTCACGTTATCGTCGCTGATGAATACCCGGTCCTCGGAGGTAAAGGACATTCCACTGCCAACAGTACCTACCGGACTTTTGGACAATCCCAGACGTACGAGTATTAATGGACTGTCTACCTCCATAAATACAAGTATCAGTATTGAATCGGAAGCCCGTAGACTCGAACTTCTCCGCCATTACCGCTACCATGTTGCTACTTGGGTAAGGACATTCTTATATTCCAGTTTCCAGTACAAGCTTTTCTGACTGCTCTTTGGTAAATATAGCTTGATATTTGCGATTTGAGACACCCATTTGGAATTAATGTAATTCAGATGGCAATGAGCTCAGACAAACTTCTCTCTGTGATATTAGCACTTTCCGAAACGTGCATCATTCAGCGGGGTCAGTGGAATAGAGCAGGTCTTGAGCAGCTGGCCCTTCGAAAGAGCAACCAATTGGACCAACTAGACTATGATCATCCTGACTCCACGGAGCTTATATTGTTATACCTTCTCGAAGATATTCGACGTCTAGTCACAGATGTTCCAAAAGCTTGGATCCACTGGGTGAATAGGGATGTCCCTTTTGTAAATCACTTGGTTCAGCATGCCTACAGTAAGAACATGGAGTCGACTGCTTACTGGATGTTTTTACGTATAGGTACGTTCGACGCTAGCCTATCTGCCATATGATATGTACACCAGCTAACATGATACCTACCAGACTTAGGAGTGGCACTCGCTAACGATGTCCCCCTTCGAATTCCGCTCCCAATGCTCCCGATTCCCAGCCTATCATTGTTATCTCGTGCCGAGGATGGCTGTGAAAGGGTTAGCCATTATACCAATGCTGTCTTGTGGTTATGTGGGAAGGCTTTAGCCTTATGCCACCAAGAAGCTATGCCACACCCTCTTGCGACTTCACATGAGGTGATGGAAAATTGGTTGCAAGTGTTTGGGGAGCTTGAGCAGTGGCAGCATTTGCGGCCACTAGAATTCGAACCAATGGTGGAGATAGACGCGAGAGATCAAGTACTCAATCAAGGGAGCGAATTCCCATTGCTTCTATTCGCAAACGGGGCTGGAACTTTCAGCAATCAGATATACCATACCGCAATGCTGTTGTTGCTCCAGTGTAAGCCACGAACTGCACTGCTAAATCACCCGCAGTCTCCAGTCCTATCTCCTCTGTGGCACGCATACCGTATCTGCGGTATCGCGCTCAATAATGATACACGCGAAAGTTGGGTCCCGTGCTTGCTTGCCTCTCTCCTTCTTGCAGGGAAGCATATGACGCACGAATCGCAGCAAGAGGAAATCTTGCAAGGCTTTGATCGCATCCGTGGGATCACCGGTTGGGATACCGGCGAATATCTGAGCCACCTCCAAGAAGAATGGTCGTTTCTCGACGGTCTTTGAAAAGTCGGGCTGGATCATCCATTCATTATAAGACTCGCGGCGGTTCACGGGCAGTGGAGAACTGCTGATCATGATCGTTTGAGGTGCGTCGGCGGGTACTATATCCCCAAGCAATATCCAAGTCTCGGATCCGCCAACACGTCCCCCATCCCGTTTCAGCTTCAATGTCTCGGATCAGCTTTGTGATCTCCTTATGCTCCGACGCATGACTGAACAACCGCCCTGCAATCCATAGAGGCTGCAAGGCGTTATTCAGACACCCCTGATGCGGGTTTGCAAGAGAGATACCACAGATTCGTCGCGCATGCCATAGCATGGACAAACTGGGTGATCGCGGCAATCTGATCCCCTTCGGCATCATCTTGAGCAACAGGAGGCATGCCGTATGATAGAGCTGGTTTGAAGAGATGGCGGCCCATTGAACAAACAAAATATGTGGGAAGGGCTTACGGTTGACAGTTTGGACGGGCAGCAATTCGCTCGGCCGTTCCGAAAGCCATCGTTGTAGGTCGTCCCATAACCGAACCCAACGCAAGCAGAATGTTTCGAGGTTACAGCCGTTCTGTTCATGCAACTCCACAAATTTCGTGCGATCTGAGACGAGCTGGGTTGCTCTCATACAGAGATACACAGCATAATTGGCATGCATGTCAGGCGACTTAGCATCTTGGAACAATTGATACGCATCCTCTTCTTGGTAGCCCGGGGGAAGCCACTTGGAGGGGTGTAGAAGCGTAGTTTGGGTACCATCTGAGATGAGTGCACCACAAAGATCTGAGTATATGATTAGATTTGTATATAATGAGAACCTAATGTACTTTTGAGGTAAAGGGGAGCAAAGCTTACCCATCCGCGCATAGCACCAGAACACAGCTTGAAGTAACCCGTTGCTAAATCCGTGAATCTCGAATGCATCAAATAAAGCAGCACATCCTTCGAGATGACGGCGCCAATCCTGCGCTCGAGCGGACATCATCTCCAAACAGCAAAGTAATACACACGCGGCTACAATCTTCGGATCGCGTACTTGCAGTACCGGGCTTAGGAGTCTTATTGCTTCCTGGTATAGCTCAAGGCTATCGAACAAGTCCTGAACGCCCTCTTTACGCTCCATATGCCGTGCTGAGAAGGCGAGAATGGCGTAAGACAAAGCCGGAAATGTTCGCGCTAGTGCGGGAAGCTGCTGACGGAACGTGCATTGCGAGTCGAACATGTCGAGCTACCGGGTGTCAATAGAAGAGATGAATCAAAGATGGAGCATAGGGTGCGCTTACCCACGGAGCCACCTCGGTCACGTAATTCTTCAGGTATTTAATACGTTTGCTATTTGAAAAAGGCGACCGATGAGAGTCTTCCTGTTGTCTTTCCCGGTGGGATTGGGGCATTGTGTCAATGCCAACTCGATCCGTCCCTCTATCACCAAGCCGGTCCAGTATCCCGGCATCGGGGCTAGGTGCCCGCGTTGGAGCAGCAGAATAAGCTAGCGAGAAAAGGATACATCGTAGTTCTTCTTGGGAGGCGAGGAACCCTGGATCTTGAGAGAAGCCATCCTGGTACCAGCTTCCGGGAGACTGGAATGGTCCTCCTGACGCGGGAGAGCTGTGGCTGATGCCATTGTAGCTCTGTGGAGGAAGTGGTTGAGACTCATGATAATCAATTGGATTTGGGTGAGTTATCTCATTCGCACCGGGTGACGGCTCTTCCTCGGCGGGCAGTGGATGTTGCGAGGCGGTGCTCGAGACTCGCCGGCGCTTCAAAGGCGGCTCAGCGGAAAACATTGCTCAATTTGGCTGTTGTCTTTCACGATGAGGGGACCCTTTTTTGTTTTGTTTTCTTTTGTTTGGTATTGAACAAAGACCGGCCAAGACCCCGATAGCAAGTAGGTAGGCTTTCGGGGAGAGATTGATGTTGGGATCTTCGGGGAGAAAGAATTGATTGGGTAAAAGGTTCCTGAGCCGAAGACCGCCTATCAATGAACTAAGGGCTCTCGGCCGGCTAAAGACACTTGCCCTTTGCCTTACTTCGCCTTAATCGGTGGTTAAGACGGCGCCAAGATCGATGCTTTATCTTGACTTCTTTGATTCGGCTAAACAGACGAACTTTGTCCGTTGATTGTATGGTACGATGGCGACGTTGCCTTCGTTGGACTTGACTCTTTCCACCAATAACTCCACAGCGATCTGAAAAGCTGGGGAAAGTGGCCGGGTCTGGGGAGTGGCCAAGGTGATGACGTCTAAAAGAGGCGAGCAGAGACAAATTTGAGGGCGAAGATCCCCCGTTTTGAGGTTAGACTCTTGCGGGGTAGCGTCGCTTTCTGGGGTAACGGGTGGCTCGCCTTGCCTCTTTGGGCACCTTCGGCTCTTCTGCATCCGGGGCAGTTTTTTTGCCGACTGGTCAAGTTACACTTACGGGTGACATGGTGACTCGTATACTGGACCTTGCGCCATGTTGGGCTCGTGCATTGTGATCATGTATAAATCTTATCTACCCCGTGCTGTGCGATATGTCTCCATCTGGTCCACTTCCCCAGATTTTCCATCTTAGACCATCCCCATACAGACCCACGCGAGATTGCGAGGCACAATGGTGAAGCTCAACGTGTTTGGCACAGGGTTCACTCTGCAAGCTGCCATTTGGGCGGCCTGTGGAATGGCGTTCATTCTCTTCGGTAACCGACTCAATCGCAGATAGACCTACATGCATGGAATTGCTGACCCGCGCAGGATACGACCAAGGTGTTTTCTCCGGAATCGTCGAGAATGAGGACTTTCTCGACACCATGGGTAACCCAGGAGACAGCTTGATGGGGATCATTGTTTCCATATACAACCTCGGATGCTTTGCCGGTTGCATTGTGAACTTCCTCATAGGCGATTGGCTCGGACGGAGAAAGGCTATGTGGCTTGCGATGGTCTGGGTGATTGTATGTTTTCGGTGAGGTTAGACAGTGACAGATCAGTTGCTGACGCGTGAGCCTTGTTTTCAGATCGGTGCCACCTTGCAAGCATCTGCGTTCTCCGTTCCACACATGATGGTTGGTCGCTTCGTGACGGGTATCGGCACTGGGATTGAAACCTCTACTGTGCCCATGTATCAGGCAGAACTCTGTGAGGCGTCCAAGCGTGGTAAACTCGTCTGCAGTGAGCCTTTACTGGTGGGTGTGGGCATTGTCGTCAGGTATCACACCTTTTCACCATGTTGTACGACCTATTCTCACAATTTGCAGTTACTTTTTCGACTACGGAATGAGCTTTGTCGGGGGCCAAATTGCTTGGAGATTGCCCATCGCGTGTCAGATGCTCTTTGGATTCGTTAGTACTTTTGCTCCAACTGCGGCAGGATTATTCTAACTGCTTCAAGGTCGTCATTATACTTGTTTTCGGCCTCCCCGAGTCTCCGAGGTATTGCTACAAGGAAGGACGTGACGACGAAGCGTTGCAGATCCTTAGTGATGTATACGGTCGACCAAAAGACGACGCGAAGATTCTCGTCGAGCAGGCCGAGATCCTCGAGGCTCTTGCTATTGAGACCAAGCATGGAGAGTACAAGTGGAGGTATATTTCCCTACTTCACCCCACTTCGAGAATTCGAAGCTCACCAGCAATAGAAATATCCTGAAGCGCGACGAAGTTTGCACAGGCCAGCGAGTGTACGTATATTCTCCAATTTCACGCCAGCACCAAACTAACAAAGAATAAAGTCTCCTCGGCTATGGAATGCAATTCATGAACCAGCTCGGTGGCATCAACCTTCTAGTGTACGCCTCCTACGCCTCCCCATTAAGCTTCCGGCTAACAACTGTAGATACTTCATTCCGACGGTCCTCAACACCAACGTTGGCCTTACCAAGAACCTCTCCATGATCGTCGGAGGATGCGCCCAGATCATGTTTGTCGTTGGCAGCTTCTTCCCTACCTTCTTCGTCGATCGAGTAGGCCGCAGAACGCCCATGATGTGGGGCTCCTTCGGCCTTGGAATCTGCATGATGATGGTTTCCATCCTTCTCAGCTTCAAGGGCAAGGAAAATGGCCACGCGACCTCATCGGCTTCAGTTGCTTTCTTTTTCCTCTTCATGCTTATCTTCGGAGCATCAGTCAACTGCATTCCATGGGTGTATGTACCGGAAATCCTGCCACTGCACGCTAGAGCTAAGGGAACGGCTGTGGGAATCTCTTCCAACTGGATCTGGGTAAGTTCATCGGGGTTCTACTTTTTCGATCAAAAGAGAAGGAAGATACTAACCAGTCACAGAACTTCTTCGTCGTCATGATTACCCCCGTGATCATCAACCGTCTCCAGTGGAAGGCGTATCTGATTTTCATGTGCACCAACTTTGCATTTGTGCCCCTCGTTTATTTCTGCTACCCCGAAACCGCCAAGCTGAGTCTCGAGGAGATTGACTACCTCTTCACTCAGCCGGATAAGAGTGCCGTGAAGGTTTCCTTGGAGCTCCAGAAGGAGCGGAAGAGGCATGGCCATGGCCCCAGTCTTGTCGCGGATACTGGGGTCTTGAGACGTACGAGTGCAGTGCCTGATGAGGGCTTAGAGAAAAATCATGGTGTTGATGAACATGTTGAGAGGGTTTAGATCATGGATTTTTCTATATATTATGATTTTACGATGGCCGAGAAAATGTCTCGGCTTTTGCTAATTGGATGGTTGATTTTAGTAGATTTACTTTAGATTCCGATGTTTGTATTTGTATTTAAGGGACGCTAAGTGAAGATTTTATCTGTATACCCCAGCATGGCCTTTTTCAAGCATGGATGAAATTCATTGAATAAGTCATTAACTAATTCCAGGAGCAATGCGCCCTGTTCTTAGCTGTCATAGAATAGTAGGAGGGACATAGCGAAGTATAGCAAGGCTGACGAGAAGAAGGTTTCGTTGTGCCATAACCAATGTCCACGTCATGCGTACTCTTTAGCACCCATTGCATCTTGTATTGCGGTATATCGCAAACCATGTCAGATGGATCTTAAAACCGGTATAGCATGACAAATAAGCATTAGACGATCTAATATCATGCAAAGGTGGAATGTATTTGACCAGAACATCGAGTGAAGGCCCCGGAGAGGGACATGGTGAGAGAAAAGTCCACCTCAACATGGAAGGCTTCTTGTATGATCCAGCTACCGGGCAGCAACGCTCACTTAGCACGCCTCAACCAGCCCAGAACGGATACGACGACCCGGAAATGTGGCCTGGAGCGAAGAACCAACTCGAAGCATGGTCAATAGTCGGTACTAAACGGAGCAATCAAGAGTATGGCGGAGGAGCGACATCAGAATCCAACTGAGTTGTCTCTGGTATTCCTTTGTTGTCAATGCTCTCCTTGATGATTTTCTCGTTGACTATAGCAGCAGGAATCGCAACCACGTTTTTCGCCTCGTCGCAGATCAAACCACTCTCCACGTCACTATCCCTCTGCAGTATCTGTTCTTTACCAGCATCAACTTGATCCGTCCGCCGTGTGACCTTGCGTGTCCGGCAACACCATGCAATACCCAAAACAGTCGTCGTAAACCACAGCAGCATGCTGACCAGACTGATCCAGACCGCAGCGCGCATGCGAGGAATCGACGACGTCTGCTTTTCATATTCATCCAGGACATTGTTGGAGACATACATCGACCCGAAAGTGCCCACCTGGGCCAGCCAGAGCACGAAGAGTACGAAGTCCCACGCTGACCATGCGACGTGGGTTACGGTGACGAAGCAGTGCACGATGCAGGTGAGTGCGGTCACTGCCGCGACGAACTCGGCGTACACCCATTGTGAAGCGGCATGGGCGTTGATCGCTGTTGTGTGGGCTAGATCGACGCCGTAGAGACCGGCAATCACGATGGCGAAGACAAATTGGAGGGTGCGGAGGGCGGCGCGGGAGATGACGCCGCAGAGGCCGCCTTTGTGCCAGTATTGTTCGATCATTGGGGTTGTGGATTTTGCCATCTTGGGGGTCGGTTGGGATAGAGGAATTATAGCAAGAAAAGTCACTGGCTATGTCTTATGGAATCGGGAAATGAAGCAGGGACCCAGTCTGTTCTATCTAGGGACTCTAGTGTGCTTTATAGTAGATTGGTGGAGTGGCAGGCAGGGTCGAAAGGGTTACGACTGTACTACTAAAAATGTGGACCAGCGAAGGTGGTTGAAATGCATATCCTTCCCTCCTGGCAGTGCTTTTTAGTTCCACTTATAGAATCTTTTCAAGCTCTCCCATGGTACGTTCTGATTTAAGAAATGGTCTATTTTAGGGCGGACTTCCTAAATAGGTGATTTTTACGTATTCGTATGATTTCCGCCACTCTTGTGCAGCGGAAGCTAACCGGGCTGGGAATTTCCATCGTGTTCGTATGTAGCAAAAGAACGAAGGATATCCATTTTAAGTATGAAACTTTCTCTGCCTCCGGAATGTGGCCGACTGCATCGAACAGTTTGCTGTCTTGTCCATGGCTTCTAAATCATGGGTGGATCATGCAATGCCTGTTTGTTCCCTTTCTTCCCCTTTATAGTTAAAGTTTTCTTCACCCCGTTTCTCCTCTTATACTAGACAACGGTACCCTAAATGCAGTTAAAATTAGAACACGTTGGATCTGCGAAGACTGGCACAACTACGCTGGTGCTTTTCCTAATCAACCATCATGACTGACATGAGATGTTTCGCTGCTGAAGATGGAAGCTGGGAACTTCCTCCGCCGTATGAGCCTATCCAGTCCTCAGGAGGCGCAGATAGCCACCCGACAAGGAACAATGGGGCCTTCCCATTATCTGGCGCTTCTTTTCCAGAGTTATCGCCGACAAATGATGGTCGAGTAGATGTTCATATTGGATCGCGGTTCAGTCGGAATCTGGAATGGCTTATGGGAAACCAAGCCGCCGAGACGCCCCAGACTGCAGGAGAAGCAGCCCCATCCGTACCATGTCCTGCCTGGGATCTGCATCTCAACATCGTGATCCAAGTTGTAGGTAGCCGTGGCGATGTACAACCCTTTGTCGCCCTGGGCAAGGAATTGCAGAAGTACGGCCACCGCGTGCGACTGGCCACGCATTCCAAATTCGAGCAATTCGTCAGAACCGCCGACCTTGAGTTCTATCCCATTGGAGGGGACCCAGTCGAGCTGATGTCCTATATGGTGCGCAACCCCGGACTTATTCCAAGTATAAAGAGCCTACGAGCCGGCGCTATCCAACGGAAACGTGCCTTGATGGCGGATATTCTAGACGGCTGCTGGCGGTCGTGTATAGAACCGGATCTATATCACAAGACCCCATTCGTGGCGGATGCCATAATTGCAAATCCTCCGAGTTTTGCCCATGTCCACTGTGCGCAGGTGCTTGGTATTCCTGTTCATCTTATGTTCACGATGCCTTGGACGAGTACTAGGGCCTTTCCTCATCCGCTTGCGAACTTGAAGTATTCGGGTAACGACCCGTCGCTGGGGAATTTGGTTTCTTATCATTTTGTGGAGTGGCTGACGTGGCAAGGGTTTGTCTTCCCTCTTTTTGTTTTTCACATTGGCATTTCTTTTTGACTTCATGGTTTCTTCATTTCTCCACTGGTGGAGACGAGCTTCGGCTGATAGATCTTAGACTAGGGGATTTGATCAATACCTGGCGCAGAAATGTACTGGGCCTAGACCCCGTCCCCACTTCAGAGGGCCCAAACCTTGTAGAAGCGCTCAACGTGCCCTTCACATACTGCTGGTCTCCCGCATTGATCCCGAAGCCCAAGGACTGGGCATCTCATATAGGTGAAGATGACACCCTCACCCGGACGAAATTTTGGCTAATTTTGCAGACGTCTGCGGGTTCTTCTTTCGTGACCCACCGGCTTACGAACCCCCAGCAGAACTTGACGCCTTTCTGTGTGCCGGTCCGCCACCAATCTATATCGGCTTCGGTAGCATCGTCCTTGAGGATGTGGAAAAGATGCTGTCTATCTTACTCGATGCTATTCAAGCGACCGGAGTACGGGCCATAATATCCTGTGGCTGGAGCAATGTCGAACGCCGAGAGACCCCCAACGTCCACTATATTGACGACTGTCCGCACGAGTGGCTCTTCCAGCGTGTGGTCGCGGTTGTTCATCATGGCGGCGCGGGGACAACAGCCTGTGGCTTGCGCAATGGAAAGCCGACTACCATTGTCCCTTTCTTTGGAGAGTAAGTTTTGCGTTTCTCCTTCCTTTAAAAGCCCTGGGTTCATATGATAGTAACCAACCTTGCGTTACAGCCAACCATTCTGGGGTAATATGATCGCCGCCGTAGGAGCCGGCCCTGAGCCAATACCCCACAAGAACCTCACCGCACGGAAGCTGGCTGACGCCATCACCTATTGCTTAACCCCACAGGCTGTTGCTGTAGCGCGGGAGATAGCACATAGGATGCGTCAGGAGTGCGGTGTTCGTGCTGCAGTTGAGTCGTTCCACGCGCATCTACCGCGGCGTAAGATGCAGTGTGATCTTATACCGAGCGAACCTGCAGTCTGGTATTTTAAGACAGGAAGACGAACTGTCAAGCTGTCCAAGATAGCTGCGTGGACCTTGAAGCACCAGGGACGTATCCAGGGCAAGCATCTGAAACGGTGAGTCAGACCCTAGGCATACAAATCCGGGTTTGAATACAGGAAGACGTCGTTGTAGCTAACTCATTCATGATGAAAATAAGCAGATACCAAACAAAGCCATTTACTATTGAGGCTCGTCGATGGGACCCGTTTACAGCCATTTCGTCGGCCTCACTGTCAACCCTCACTGGCATGGCCGATGCCACAGCAGGGATCTTTATCGATCCATATAAGGAATACAAACGTCTCCGAAAATCTGACCGCAATCGTGACGCCTCCAACCCTGTCATCATTTCATATCCCCCACTCGCTGCATCTGAGACATCATCTACGACAGAACCAGCATTAATATCACGGACGCACGCCTCTCCGGACATCTCGGATACTGAAATTAGCCCCGATGACCCAGCCTACGCGCGGCAGATGGCTATTGCATCCGCTACCAGCCTAGGGATCTTTCTCGGCCGATCCTCTCGTGGCGCGCTGGTAGATCTACCTCTTGCTGCCGTTGAAGGCATGCGGGCCGTGCCCCGACTGTACGGCGAAAAAGTACGTGTGCACGACCCGGTGAGGGACTGGAAGAGTGGTGCCGGTGTGGCATGGTCGACCTTCTCTCACGGCCTGTACGAGGGTGTTACCGATATCTTTGTGCACACGTACCATGGGAAGAGGAAACAGGGCGCCCTCGGGGTGGCAAAGGGCCTGACTAAGGGCCTAGTCAGCTTGACAGTTAAGACGGGGGCGGCAACGGTTGGTCTCATCGCGTATCCGAATCAGGGTATCTATCGCTCTCTGATGAGCACCGTACGGAAAAGACCTGCAAAGCTGATTGAGGAAGCAAGATGGGCGGAGGCAGAGTGGACTACTAGGGCCGACGAGGGTGTGCAGATAAATGCAGCGGAGTTGTGTTCGTTGTACGATGAGTTGTTGTCTACTAGGGAGGCAGCCCGACGCGGGCGGTAGCATCTAGCCTTGTAGTTGGTATTGTACATAGAATACTCTATAGAAACTATGCAGCCTATTAGGTAGTGTTCATCCACGTATCCAGCTATAACCGTTACAACACTGTAGAGGCCGGATATACCCCTCTTCTTCATTTATCTAACAATCCTGGAATACTAAATGATCAACGTAGGCTCGGCGAGTCTTGGTATCGCCGTGAAACTAAACATGAGCTTGCGTTGAGCCGATAACTTTAGTATCCAGCGGATTCAGCAGCAGCATCCTTGAACTAGGCAGCGTTGATCGACATCTCATTATCCACCAGTGGATCCCGGTGGGACAAAACGAAAAAGTTCCCCCTTTGGGCATGGAGATTTCGAATCTACAAGTTACTTCTACTTGATAAAACAGATTGTGGGTCAAGTATCATCAGTTATGGCGCGGACTATCTGAGTCCTAGCTCGATCAATCTCTGTTGGAAGCATTGCTTTTTATAGTGGGTGGCCGGACTGGGAAGATACATCGTGTCTATTGACTGAGGTAAACCGTAACTGTGCACACTTTTATATCAAAGAGGAACGAGGAACATTAGAGGCGGATTAAATTAGAAAACTACCCCAGAATCCAACTGGTGAGACTCCACATTGCCTTTCCTATTTGGGTTATTCTGTCGTATTCGTATATTCTACTATGGTAGAATGCTGTTACAGATAGTCAGGTTACATTTCTTTTTTCTCCTCCTCTCTATCTTTAGAAAGTAGACGAGAAACTCTTTTTGAACAATTAACGCAATCTCAGGAATTATGTATGACGTTGAGAGTAGGCTTATGCTTCCTGTCATCTAGCTTCAGGGTCCTTCATGGATAACTCACTGCTGTGAAAATCCACTGCCCTACTACATCTTGTATCAATGGACTATTCTATATTATCTTATCGCTTGTAGAGTACCGTCCATGACTCCATGGAAACCCAGAAAAAGGACCAATGGTGGATTCACAAAACGCCCCGCCGTGCTATAGTCCTGAGGTGGACGCTATGAGATCGTCAGTGAAACGAAGGTGCCTATTCCATGTGGTAAGAATATCACTGCCCGTACCGGTGTCTCTCATCTATATCCTGACACTGACTGGTTGAGCTCCGCTATAGTAGGATACACACTCACATCCACCGGCCCACCAATGTCCTTGGTACCCCCTTAACAGAAACTCGTGATCGTCTATCATGCAGGCTAGCCAGGTATATATATGACTTCCTTGCGCCACTCATAGAGTTTTATGATTTGACCAGACCAAAGTCTTTCTTGACTCATCATGCTCCCAGTCATTGCTCTCGCGCTGGCCCTGGCGGCTCCAGCATTTGCATCGCCCTCTTGCAAGGTGACTCCGTTAGACTCAGAGTGGCCGACCAATTCAGACTGGCTATCTCTAAACGCCTCCATTGATGGTAGGCTTCTCCGCACCGTGCCCGTCGCCTCATCGTGCTGGCCGGGTAATCCGTTTGGATCGTCCGTTTCTTGCAACAGCGTTCAGTCAAACTGGACGAATGGAATGTGGCTGTCTACATTTCCTGAATCAATCGACTACCCAATCTATGCGAACAATTCTTGCTTGCCCCCGAACGCCGCGGGTTTCGTCAAAGGTAGAGGCTGTACGACTGGAGGTCTGCCTGAATACATCGTGAATGCGACCACCGAAAAGCAGATCGCAACGGCAATGCACTGGGCCTCAGAGAGGAACCTTCGGATTGTGGTCAAGGGAACAGGTCATGATTTAAACGGAAGGTATGTTACTTTGGTGTTACATAGCGGGTGTCGCTGACATGCTCTTTAACCTTTATTTAGATCTAGTGGTGCATTTGCCCTGTCTATATGGACTCATAACTTGCGCAAGCTCGAGCGCGATAGATCCTGGATGCACCCTAGTAAAAGCACCTCAGAGGACGTGTTCATTGTGGGCAGTGGCCAGCAATGGGGAAATGTACTCAACAAAGCCCTCGAGCACGGAAGAGTGGTCACCACCGGCCAGGATCCTAGTGTTGGACTGGGCGGTTACATTCAGGGTGGTGGTCATGGTCCCCTCTCCCGCACGTATGGTCTTGCCTCTAGCCACGTTCTCCAGATGAGGGTCGTCACAACCGAAGGCAAGATTCTGATAGCCAACGACGCCGAAAACCAGGACCTGTTCTGGGCCCTTCGTGGCGGCGGTCCTGGTCTGTATGGCGTCGTCACAGAGTACGTCATCAGGCACCACCCAGCGCCCAACAGCGTGACAATGGGCAACCTTTTGATTGCACCCAAAGGTAGTAGCAACCGAAGCGCAGAATTGTCCTGGGATGCAGCTGTGACCTATCTCTCAGCCCTTCCAGACCTCATGGATGCCGGCTTGGCTGGAGCTTGTATGCTAGCGACGGGCCAGAGTGCCATGAACTTTGCATCACTTTCAGAGCCCACCACTGGTGCTGTTATTCAGCAGGCCTTTTGGTCATTCAACTCGACGCCTTTGGTCATGGAGGCACTTGTCAACCCTATTCTGTCAAACATCACTCACACGGCCGGTGGAAACAACAGTCTCTCCATCTCGTTCAGTGCTTCCTCGCAGAGTAATTACTCATCTTTTTTTAGCGCCATTTCCGGTAGTGATGCGGCCGGCGGGCAGAGTGTGGTTTCTAGCCGTTTACTAGGACGGGCCGAGCTGCTTGACACGCCGAGGCACAAAAGACGTGCCTATCTCAAGACAGCAATGCGCGCTCAGAATGAAACTGCCGGAACATACGCAACAATCGGTCTGCAAGGCGGCCCTGGGGTGCACAATACGCCGCAGGGGGAATGGGGCGCATTGCTTCCAGCCTGGCGCTCCGCATATCTGCATTTTATTTCCAACGGTGCTACCGTTGACCCTATCGCTGCAGGATCGCCAAAGAAAGCACTGGAAAATGCGGCTCGCTTCAACGAGGTTAAGGAGAAGATGTGGAGAGAGTGGTCGCCTGACTCGGGTGCCTACATGAACGAGGCCAACCCGTTCACCAGCAATTTCAAGCAGGACTTCTATGGCTTGAACTATGATCGTCTGGCGGAGATCAAGGCTAAATACGACCCCAGTGAAAGCTTGTTCGTCCTCTCCGGTGTGGGAAGTGACAAGTGGCAGTATGACTTGGATACTGGCAAGTTGTGCAAAGGTAAATAAGTCTTGTTGCCTGATTTAAATAAGGCTATTTCATTGAGTTTCTGGTGGTATACAGAGACCTGGAAGCTTCACTTTTTAGTTTGTAACCTAAGGTCTGTGTTGTAAGAACTGCGCGGGCAGACATTCGCCTTCCTATTTGGCTTTTGGATGTCTTATTAAACCAACGGAAATTGGATGCACGTTTTTGAGAGCCCAAAAAGAGTAAACAAATAAATGCTAGTTGGGTAAAACCCATATAATAGAACCTATGTAAGAAGTTATGCCTCAACTTGATTATTCAATTATTGCATCGTTGCATCTATATGACCTAGTTGGCAATGAAATAGGGCTTTTGATATCAGCAGGCAGGCTAACCCAAATCGTAGAGCACGATTATCTAACCCGGACCGAGGGATAATCCGGAGTGGGATGTTTTCTGGAGCTTGCGAAACCAAGCATTTGCGATGATCGTTCCGCAGCGGAGAAATTCCCTGTAACTTTTTCTGCTCTAAAAAATATTTCCTCCTTGCACCATGGGTAAGCGCGGAAGGAAGGTGAGAGGCCCAATTCAGGTCCAATTGTTCTATTGCTTGAGATCTTGCATTCTCAATTTTACAGTAACTTACACTATGTGATGCAGGGTCAAGGCGGCCGTGGTGGCGGGCAGCGCCAAAACTGGAACGACATTCCCAAGACGAACGAGAAGTTTGAACGTTTCTATAACGAACAAGGGTTTATTCCCGAGGAAGAAAAGGAGGTATTCTGGGAGTACCTGCGGAGAGATCTCCCCAACAGTTTCCGATTCACAGGATCACGAGGGTACGTTATCGGTAGATTTTCTCCGCGCATGATGCGCAAATTACCAAAACGGCCAAGATACTAATCTGTGGCCTAAAGACATGCTCTCGCGGTCCAGGAGCGCCTCAAGGAATTCTATATCCCCGAAATCACGTCAATTAAGTATGAGGGCAATTTCGTCGAGCCACCGAGCCCGGTCTCCTGGTACCCTGACCAGCTCGCGTGGTCGATGACCACCCCGAAGCAAGTCGTTCGCCGTTTCGCTCCGTTCGCCAATTTCCAGAAGTTCCTCGTCGCCGAGACTGCGGTTGGAAGCATTAGCCGACAGGAGGTTGTTAGCATGATTCCTCCGCTTTTGCTTGACGTGAGACCTGGTATGACTGTGTTGGACATGTGCGCCGCTCCGGGTAGCAAGTCTGCACAGCTTATGGAGATGATCCACGCTGGAGAGGAAGACTCAATGCTTCAGGCTTCCAAACAAGTGAAGGAGGGAACCGCTGGTCCCGAACCTCTGGGACCTGAGGGCCTCAACGACGATGGTAGAACCACCGGTCTTCTCATCGCTAACGACACCGACTACAAGCGCGCGCACATGCTTATCCATCAGATGAAGCGACTCAGCTCCCCAAACTTGATCGTCACAAACCATGATGCTACTATGTACCCCTCGATTAAACTTCCCTCTCCTCCCGGACCCAATGGAAAGGTTCAGAACAAATACCTTAAGTTCGACCGTATCCTCGCGGATGTACCGTGTACTGGTGATGGAACTCCCCGGAAGAATATCGGTGTTTGGAAGGAGTGGACCCCAGGCAACGCTTTGGGACTCTACGCTACGCAGGTTCGCATCCTTGTGCGCGCCTTGCAAATGCTGAAGGTCGGTGGACGTGTTGTGTACTCTACTTGCAGTATGAACCCTGTTGAGAACGAGGCTGTGGTTGCCAGCGCTATTGAGCGCTGCGGTGGTGCCGCCAATGTGCAGATTGTCGATTGCAGCAATGAGTTGCCGGGTTTGAAGCGAGTTCCCGGCTTAAAGTCATGGAAGGTTATGGATCGCGATACAAGGATGTGGAACACCTGGGAGGAAATTGAGGAGCATCGTGCAAGCCAAGGCATCAGCGGTCTTGGTAGAGTTGCTGCAGGCATGTTCCCTCCCAGTGGTGAGAACGCAGACCTACCTCTCGAAAGGTGTATTCGTATCTACCCCCACCTTCAGGACACTGGTGGATTCTTCATCACTGTTCTGGAGAAGAAGTCGGAGATTCGCGCCAAGCCAGAAGACTCTTCGAAGGTCATTCCCAAGGGAACCGTTGCCGCACTCACTGAAGAGCTTGAATTCAAGCAGAAGAATGGCAATGGCCAACCATTGGAGAAGATCGATGCGTTGGATGATATGGTTACCCCGAATGAGAATGCTGCAGAGGAGGCCCAGAGGAACGCTACTGTTGCAGAGGCTACCCACCAGCCCCCTTACTCTGCCACCAACCAGATGTCCCCTGCGAAGAGGGATGCAGAGAGCATGGAAGATGAAGTCCCTTCCAAGAGGACCAAACTCGATGATGGCTCTGAAGTAATTGTGGGTGATCGGCCTGTTCACCAGCCGGCTCCTGTGATTGAGCCTGATACTATGGATACATCCGATGCTACTTCCACGCCTGCACCTCTTGAAGCGAGCAAACAAGCAACGAGTGGAGTGCAGGCCCTACCCCCTCAGAAACGGAAACCGGGCCAGCCGATTGAAGAACCTTTCAAGTACCTGGACCCTAAGCATGAGGAGCTCCCACCAATTTTCGAATTTTATGAAGGATCAGACCGGTTCCCCAGAGATCGATTCATGGTCCGTAACGCACAGGCCATTCCTACCAGAACTATTTACTACACTAGTGCTCTGGCGCGCGACATCTTGACTGCAAATGAGGGACAGGGCATGAAGATTGTCCACTGTGGTGTTAAGATGTTTGTGAAGCAAGACGTGCAGCGCCCGGGTGTTTGCCCTTGGCGTATCCAGACCGATGGCTTGAGAGTCCTTGAGCCATGGCTAGGTCCCGGTAGAGCGGTCACCCTCAAGCGGAAGGAGACGTTGCGGAGACTTCTCGTAGAGATGTTCCCCAAGGTCGATGATGAGGGATGGAAGGAGCTTGGAGAAATTGGAGAGCGCGTGAGGGATATCCCAATGGGCTGTAGTGTCCTGCACATTGAGCCTGATACTTCTGAGACTGGCTTCAGGTATGTTTGACTGGGTCTACTGTGTTGCATTTGAACCAAAATCAGCTAACTGTTTACTAGCGAGCGAATGGTCCTTCCCCTGTGGCGCTCCCTGCATTCCGTTAACCTCATGCTTCCCAAGGAGGAGCGTCGCGCTATGCTTCTTCGTATCTTCAACGATGATACCCCGCTTGTTAACATCACTCAGAAGCGCGCAAATGCCGACACACCCGCTTCGGCGACTCCCGTTGTTGAGACAACAGACGCTGACAACACTCCGGCTGCAGCCCCCGCTGGGGCGGAGGAAGAAGCAATTAAGCATGAAAACGAGGTTCTGGGGCAAGATGAACAGGAGCAGGCCGAAAGCCGTGAGACCTGGCAGAAGGCCGGTGACGAAGAAGATCGGTCCAACACCACTGTATAGTTTGTAATATGACTGAGGATCTATCGGGATAGTATACATATATTTGGCAAAAGCATTGATTGTACCATGAACAGACACAGTGTTATTCGTATATTTGCTTGGGCGGTTTAGCTGTTACCAGGGCTAGGTTACATAGAACGGGCCTCTTATATGAGTTCCATGCATGGCCAGTCTCGTAGAAAACCCAGATGCCCCTGGTTCGCTTTCACCGGGGTGATACATCCAATGAAGGAATCGCCTGGTTCCCTTCACATTGAAGTCTTTCTATGTACATGTACAACACTGAGCAAATTACCAACACAATGAAAGATCCTATGGAGCGCACAGAAGACTACAGAGCGGTTTGTAGTACAGCAATTCACGACTCAACGATGGATTCAAATATTTATGTGGAAAATTACCCGAATGCTACCGGGGGGAATTGCAAAGGAAGCACTTTATCAGGGTTGAACCACGTATAGGGCCCCTTTAAGAGTAGCCTTCCAGGGGCGTTTAAGAGACGCACAGCACCCTAGCTAAGGAAAAGGGCATTCATTGTTAGGTTGCATCTCTCAGTGGTCCCCTCAGGCCATCCAGAGGCACCCCGGAACGTGATCTGTAAGGTCACATGCCAAGTGAATCAAACTTATCTTCGTCGAAGATCCGCCTTTGATTAATAAAGGCAAATACGTGTCCTACAAACGTGAGTCTTCAGTTGTTATTCTCTGGATAAGTCTCTGAGTGAGTGAGTATAGTGTATGAGCAGTTTCACTAATTTAAAGATGCCTGCCCCTCTTGGTATGTACATACATACGAAATGGGTGGTGGATATACGGTGAATTTCCACTCTTACTGTCACTGAGGGGAGCAATGCGGTGTTTTGTCCTACGCTGCCGATGTCGCCACCAAAGCTGATCCAGAAATTCACCGTATTCTAATTACCAACCTTGCCCGCAATTCGGCAAGTGCTGGCAGGAATGGGCCTAACATTAGCAGCAGCAGATCCTGGAATTATAGGAAATCAGAACAAGGCGAACGTTGTGAACCTATTTGACAATAGCTGATCCGAAACGCTAGGCTCAGCACTCAATCCCTTCAAAGGATCAGTCCTTTTGTCAAGATATAATGCAACCCAAGAGTCTTCAACATGATGAACTGGCCGCGCTGATTCCTGATGGTCGTCCGGGCGCATCTCCCCTTGTTGCGATAGTTGGTATGGCAATGAGACTCCCCGGTGGTGTTCGGACAACCGAAGACTTCTGGCAGTTTTTGATAAACAAAAGGGATGGACACTGCGAGGTTCCCAAGACGAGATATGGGATAGAGGGTTTCTACAACGCACACGACGAACGTTACACCCATACAAGACATGGTTACTTTCTGCCTGAAGACCCGGCCTACTTCGACGCGCCGTTTTTCTCGGTGACTGAGCAGGATGCATCTACTATGGATCCCCAGCAGCGATTGCTCTTAGAGGTGGTGTGGGAGTGTCTTGAGAATGCAGGGGAAACAAATTGGGAAGGTAAAAATATTGGCTGCTATGTCGGTGTATTCGGGGAAGACTGGCTAGGTCTCTCTCATGGAGATCCACTCAGTATTGATAGATCTCATGCAATAAGCACAGGAAGCTATGCCTTGGCTAATACAGTTTCATATAAGTTTGATTTTCGCGGCCCAAGGTACGTTAAATCTACCATTAACCGGAATCAAGCACGAAAAATATCCAGGCTAACATCATCTATAGTATGACTATCCAGACAGGGTGTTCATCGTCAATGGTTGGAATCCATGAAGCATGCCAGTCGTTAGCTACCGGAGCATGTTCATCAGCCATTGTTGCTGGTACAAATCTGATCCTCAGTCCATCAATGACGACAAGTATGTCTGGTAACATGGTGCTGTCAACTAGTGGCGTATGTCGGACATTTGATGCAGAAGCTGACGGCTATGGACGTGGCGAGGCAATAAATGCCCTTTATCTGAAGCCGCTTGGGGACGCAATCAAGGCAAATGATGCAATCAGAGCGATAATTCGCTCAACTGCGGCTAATTCTGACGGAGGAACATCAAGTATTGCCGTTCCCTCAATAATAGCCCAGGAACACCTAATCTTGGATGCTTATCGGAGAGGAAATATCAATGACCTATCAGAAACTGCCTTTGTCGAATGCCATGGAACGGGTACACGCGCGGGGGATCAAGTTGAGACAACAGCAGTGGCCAACGTGTTTGAGGGAAAGGAGATTGTGATAGGAGCAGTACGTGGATAGTATACTAACATTGTTCAGGATGCTGACTGACCTGAAGGTAAAACCTAATTTTGGACATTCAGAAGGTGCATCGGGAATCACAAGCGTGATTAAAGCTGTGCTGTCCTTGGAACATGGAATTATCCCGCCGAATGCACATTTCGAGAAACCTAACCAAGAAATATCTTTCAAAGACAGTGGCTTGATCGTCCCAGTAGAGCCTATGAACTGGCCGGCCGGCCGTCGAAGAAGGGTTAGCGTGAATGCCTTCGGCATCGGTGGCACCGATGCTCATGTTATCCTGGACTCTGCGCACGATGTATGCGCAAAAGACCCGGCACAGGGTTGTATTGGCCCCGAAAATGATGTCAAACTTCTTGTTATTTCGGCCCAAGATGCGAAAAGTCTAAAGGCTCGCATCGATCAGGTAACAGATTATGCGAATCGCCATCCCGAAAGGAACCAAGACCTTTCATTCACCTTGGGTGTACGGCGAAAACATTTAGCACACCGCGCGTTTGCTGTTTATGATCCAACATCTCCCCTCTCACCTTCTGATTTTCAGTCTGCTCATCCACACGTACCGGCTCAGTTAACATTTGTATTTACAGGCCAGGGGGCTCAGTGGCCTGGTATGGGCCAAGGATTGATCAAGGCATATCAATGTTTTAAAATGGACATACTAGAGCTAGAAAACGTCCTGAGGAGTATTGAAGACCCACCCCAATGGTCCCTGATGGGTAAGATGTCATCTCCGGCTTAGAGCCATAAGCATATCCCACTAAGACTGTCATATAGAGGAGCTTAGCTGTGCCACAGCGTCACGCATTAACGAAGCTGAATTCTGCCAACCACTATGTACCGCGGTACAAATTGGCGTGGTTAACCTGCTTGCGGCGTGGGGCATAAGGCCAGCCTCTGTGGTTGGCCATTCTAGCGGAGAGATAGCAGCGGCTTATGCCGCTGGTGCAATATCAGCTAGGTCTGCGATCATCCTTGCATACTATCGCGGAAAGCTAGCACAGGCTCAGAAAGGCACCGGTGGTATGGCAAGCATTGGACTTGGCAGTGACGAGGTGTCTCCGTATCTTGTTGATGGAGTTGTAATTGCATGCAAAAATAGCCCGCAGAGTGTCACAATTTCTGGGGAACAAGGTCAAATAGATCAGATGGTGAGAAACATCCAGAATGATCTCCCGGATACGTTCTGCAGAAAGCTCCAGTTGGACATGGCATATCATTCACGTAAGTCTTTTCTTTCGCCCATGCGATTAAGATTTCTTACATGGCAACAGATTACATGGCGGCTGTGGGACCCATTTATGAGAAATCTATATCAAATCACCTCCAGCTCCATCAGCAGATGCTGCCTATGTTTTCAAGTGTTGATGTAGAGATGATCACAGACCCTCAAACCTTGAATGCTGCCTACTGGCGACGGAACCTCGAATCTACCGTTCTTTTCTCAGATGCTATCAGCTCCCTATTTGCTGAGAGGCATAAAAAACATATCCTGGTTGAGATAGGACCGCATTGCGCCTTATCAGCACCCATACAGCAGATTATACGAGCCAATGACTTGAAAATATGTCCTGCATATATACCAACTTTAATTCGCAACGATGCCAACTGCCAGCATCAGCTATTAACTTCGGTTGGTAGTATTCATAGAAACGGGGCCTTTGTAGATTTACTTGCGGTGAATGGAACCGGGCATGTTCTGACTGACATCTTACCATACCCATGGCAACATGGTACGAGATACTGGAAAGAAAGCCGTATGGTACGGGAATGGAGACTTAATGAGGTGCCGCCTCATGAGCTGCTTGGCTCGAGGAGTACCGAGTCCACGAGCTTAGAGCCTGCATGGAGGCAATTTATAAGCCTAGAGAATATTCCCTGGTTATCCGATCATATTATTGAAGGCAAAGTGGTTTTCCCAGCTGCGGCATATATCGCTATGGTGGGCGAAGCTATTTTACAGCTGTCACCTGGCGTCGTTGGTTATACTGTCAGAAACGCCATATTCAAAGCTCCATTGGTGATAGAAGAATCTGAGAACGTCGAGGTCATTACAACTTTGAGGCCAGCTCGACTAAATGATTTGGCGGATTCAGAATGGTTTTCATTTACCATCGCATCGTATGACGGTACTAATTGGATAAAAAACTGCAGCGGTCAGGTCCGAGCTGGAGCTTGTGGAAACATTTCTCCTGTGAGCGTAAAGCCATACGCACGTCGCGTATCCTCCAGCAAGTGGTACGATACCCTAGCGAGCTTGGGCCTCTCTTACGGAGCTCAGTTCAGAGGTCTACAAGATATCTCAGTTGATCCTAAGGGCAGCAGAGCTGTGGCTAAAGTCAATAACAAGGCAGGCTCCCCTGCATGTCGATACAGTCTTCACCCAACCATGATCGACCAGTGCCTTCAAGTAATGAGCGTTGCTGGAGCTGCTGGCCTCCCACGGCGTATTACCACAGGAGCAATACCGGCCTCCATCGATCAAATGTTCATTGAGGAAGGAGAAAACCACATGGAAGCCACGGTTGATACGGTCCAAGAATCTGGTAGCAGCTTGGTCGGTGATGCAACGGCAATGCTTGGGGATAAGGTGGTGCTGAAGATGAAACGAGGCTTGTGTTTCGCGCTGGGAAACAAGAATGACTCAATATCTCCGCAGACTCCGTTGGTAGCACGGATCCAATGGAAGCCGGACCCTGACCTCTGCAAACCCGAAGATCTATTACCACGAGCAGCTACATCACTAGGGCGACTGGATCAGATGAAGAAGTTAGGTCAAGTCTCGCTTTTATACATTCTTGAGACAGCCGAAAGGATCAAACCCCTGGTACCACAATCTACCCATGCTTCTAAGTGGAAATCCTGGATACTATACGAAGACGCTGCCGTTCGAAATGGAGAACATACGCTTTTGCCCGAGTCCAAGGCATGGGCGACCCAATCAAGTGAGGAGCGCCAGGCCCTTATAAAGAAACTCAGTACTACACAAGCAGACCAGCCTGGCGAGCATAATATTATAATCACTTGTACTGAAGTAATATATGAAAATTGCTTAGAGATCATGGCCAACAAAATCTCTACCCTAGACCTACTGATGGAGGAAAACCGGCTTGGTCGTATATACCAGTTTGACCAGGAAAACAGCGACTGGAGCATCTTTATAACTTATCTCAGTCACTCAAACCCATGGCTGCGCATTCTCGAGATTGGCGCTGGAACCGGAAGCGCCACAGCCGAAGCTTTACGCTCGCTGTGCGTATCGGGGATGCCTATGTACTCCAAATATACATTTACCGATATCTCTCCCGGGTTTATGACAGCTGCCCAGGATAAGTTCCGGGAAAACGTGAATATGGAGTATAAGGTTCTCGACATTAGTAGCGATCCTCTCAAGCAAAGCTTTGTGGGTCAATCCTTTGACCTTATTATAGCATCAAATGTTAGTCTCCTTTGGTTAAAATAAAATATGCCTCTCCTTACTTTGTCCAGGTGCTCCACGCGACCCCTGTTCTGAAGCAGGCTCTCAAAAATGTGAAACGCTTGCTAACTCCACACGGCTGGTTGATACTTCATGAGTTGGCTCCAGGTATGACTTCGTGAGAAGCTCTACAGGAGCATAACCCACTCACATTTTAGCTAGTTATGCCATACGTCGATTATATAATGGTGAGATATGTAAATACGATGTCTAACGAATAGTAAGTGTTAATCTGTATAGGGCACCCTTCCCGGATGGTGGATAGGTGAGGATGACGGGAGAATAAATAGACCCTATATCAGCCCAGAGGACTGGGATAAGAAGTTACAATACGCTGGGTTCACAGGAACTGAGGCAATACGCTATGATTTCGATACTTACCACCTATGCGTAGATATGATCACTCGTCCTGCTCCGGTTGAGACCGCCACGCAACCGATAGTACTGTTGACTGATGGCTCGCCGGATCTTTGGGCTGGCAAAGTGTTCTCAGAGCTTGAGAAGCAGAATTTCATTGTGGAATGGGGGAAATTAGAAGAGGCACCTAGTGGTCATGCGTGTGTCGTGTTCTTGTTAGAGCATCGGGATCCCTTTCTCGCGAAACTGTCTGAACAGCGATACCATTGCCTGCAAAAGTACTTGATGGGCGTTGATCAGTCCAAGTTGCTTTGGGTGACAAAAACGACGCAATTCGACTGTAAAGACCCGGACTGTGGCCTAGTACTAGGGTTTGCGCGGAGCCTGAGGCAAGAAATGATGCTCGACTTTTACACTCTCGAGATCGATGTGTTCGATACGGAGTCCGCGAAGGCAGTGGGTCCGATTGTGCGAAAGATCTTGAAACCTACCAATCGAGACAATCAAGACCCAAACTATGAGTATGCCTATCACAATAACACTGTGTTTACTAGCCAGTGCTACTGGGGCGCAGCAGCAAATATTTTGCGCCCATCGCAACCAGACACTGGCAAGAAGCTGAGCATGAGTATCCCTGGCCTCCTCGATACCTTGGAATGGCTTGACAGTAGTTATGGTAGTCTTGGGCAAGATGATGTTGAAGTTGATATTGAGTATATCGGTTTAAATTTCAGGGTTGCCAAACCCCAAATTTGCCGTATTGGTAGAGCCTGCACGCTAACTTTCATGTAGGATATCATGATAGCTATGGGATTCGTTGGGGACATAGGTGAGCTGGGCCTAGAGGGGAGTGGCATTGTACGACGTGTTGGTTCGAATGTTACCAATATAATGCCCGGAGATGAGATACTGATACTGGATTCTGGGCTTATGCGCACCCGAATCATCGTGAATCAACAACACTGTCTGAAGTTGCCCAAAGGGCTCTCCACAGTGGATGCAGTCAATATGGCATCGGTATTTGCGACAGCGATATACTCTTTGATTAACGTAGGACAACTTAAAAAAAGCGAAGTATGCAACAATACGCACGGTTTATTCGCTGTTAGCTTACTGTTAGATAGACTATTTTGATACATTCTGCCTGCGGCGGAGTTGGCCAGGCAGCTGTACAAATTTGCCAGCTCCTCGGAGTCGAAAAGGTAGATCGGGAGCACAACGATCAGAAGCATCACCTGGCTAACAAAAGTAGATATACGTAACAGTCGGCAATCAGGCGAAGAGAGACCACCTCATCAATACTTACGGGATACAACCAGATCACATTTTTGATTCCAGAAGTGCGAGTTTTCTTCCGTGTGTCATGAAGGCAACAAAGGGATGTGGGGTGGACGTTGTATTAAACTCATTATATGGAGAGCTATTACATGCTTCCTGGGAGTGCGTTGCCAAATTTGGTAGGATGATTGAGTTGGGTAAACGCGACTTCTTGGCCAATGGAACATTGAGCTTGAAGCCATTCATAAAGAACCGAGCATTTTTCGGCGTTGATTTGCTTGATTTGAGTGAAGAGTCTATTAACAGGCGAGTCCCCAGGAGAAGCGGTTCTCTGCTAGCAGGGCTAACTTGTCTACAGCCTTCTCTTCCAGTTCATGTTATGGCATGACCAAGGTAAAATTAAACCAATTCGCCCGACTACAGTGTTTGCAGCCGGCGAGGCAATTGAGGCATTCCGACTTATGCAGCAGGGCACACACATAGGAAAGATTTTAATAAGGATGCCTGATGATGCGAGCCAGCTATCCCAGCGGCCTAGTGAGGTGGAAGTATTGTTTTCATCCACTGCATCGTATCTCCTAGTAGGCGGCCTAGGAGGCTTGGGCCGTGCAGTTTCCAGATGGATGGTAGAGCAAGGAGCACGTTATTTAGTTTACCTTTCTCGCACCGCAGGCTCCACCGAAGAGCACAGCGAATTCATTCAAGAATTGAACGCCATGGGGTGCCACGTTGAATGCATTCAAGGGAGCGTGACAAGAACTGAAGATGTGCAGGCTGCGATTTCCAGATGCAAGAGCCCATTGAAAGGGGTTTTCCAAATGTCGATGTCATTAAATGTAAGGCACCGGTACCATAATTTACAAAAGTCGAGAAGACTACTCACTGACACTGCGCTTAATCAGGACCGCCCATTCCCTCATATGAGCTACGAAGAATGGAGCTCTTCGTTGTCCCCAAAGGTTCAAGGGACATGGAATCTTCACAATTCAGTGTTACAAGAGGATCTAGATTTCTTCGTTCTGTTCAGTTCTGCAGTAGGCATTTGTGGACATGGGAGCCAGGCCAATTATGCCGCTGCGAACACATTCCTTGATGGTTTTACACAGTATCGCCGACGATTGGGCCTTCCATCCTCCGCCATTGCCCTCGGCGCTGTAGGCGAGACTGGTCTGGTCGCTCGGGAGGCGAAGGTCATGCAAGCGATGCAATCAATTGGTATCTGGCTGCTAAATGAGGACGAAGTTCTAGAAGGATTAAAAAAATGCATTGGGGAGTCCAATACAGTTGATTGCACAGAGTCCGCCGCTCGACTTTCGGCACCATTGATTATTGGACTCGGCAACACCAAGTCGTTATCTAATCCCGATATACAGACCCTGTGGCGTCGCGATGCTCGGTTTGCATCCTACGCAAACCTTGATTCTATACACGTTAAACAGAAGAGCGGCTTCAGTGTTAATAAACTACGAGAACTGATCATCAAAGCGGAGCTAGATCCTTTGATCCTTCTACAAAAAGAAACCGAGACGACTATTACCCAGGAACTTAATCAGTTGATTGCGAAGAGTCTGCCAGGAGCGCAGGACATGGACGATGAAGCGAAAACAAGTCTTGCTATAGATTCTCTCATGGCCATAGAGGTCAGGAATTGGATCCGACGGAACTTGCAGATTGAGATTAGCTTGCCTGAAATTTCGAGGGCGCGCACAGCCGGAGGCCTGATAGACATGACCCTTACACGTCTGAAAATGCGATACCAAGTTTCAGATACGGAGGGGACGCAAAATGCGGTCGCCGAAACGTCTTTCGACTTGGACACATCACGTTGAGTTTGCCCAGTAAGATCTACGACAGTCTTTGGTTTGTGAAGGGCATATCAGTCTAGGTACCTCAACAAGAGCAGGCTTGATCAACCCCTCAAAGCTCCCGCATCGGACGGAGGAGAAAATGCACGGATTCCCGGCCGGATGAAGCCGACTCTGGCGTGGTTCCTCAATTTCATGTTCAACGGTTAAATTTCGGCGAAATGGGGGCGACGTTTGGAACTCCAAAATAACCTGTTTTGACTAAATGCTTATTATTGACCTTCTCGGATAATAACCGTCTTGTCCCGCCCGATGATGTACATATTAGTAGCTTCACTGGTGGCCTGATGGTGACATTGAATCATTAAGTATGCTTTCTTGGCTCATGTTCATCAATTTACTGCCTAGAAGGTTAGGGTTGGCATATGCTTAATATGCCTATCTTATCCGATATTCAGGCACTCGACATGGATATATCTTCCCCATGCCCATCTATATCCTTGAACTGGCATGTTCATGTATGTATGGACGGCGATCAAAAAGAGATAACACGGTACATCTCTGGGTGGTGAAGTTGGTTATGAAGGGGTGAAGGCTTTTGATATGCGGAGAAATACTCCCGTGATCGTCATCCGATGGGCACCTTTCCTCCGTGTGGGGGATCTTCACCAATACTTTCCTTCTACGTTGTGCTGCATTGGTCCGGTCTCACAGCATTCCAGCTGGCAGGAAGTACCTCCGGGCGTTCTGGCCCTCCTCTGATTTGCTTGTTAATGGTGCTTTGACCAGCAGGGGGCCATCGTGTACTGGTTTGTTTGTATACAGCTCCACGATTCTACATGATGTTTAGATGAAATCGTATGTACTCCACTTTCGACGAAGGACTCTATTGGACCATTCCCTACTCTATAAACATCATTGACGCAAGGTGTTCGACATTTTAATTAATGAAGCCGGTTATTTATACTATTTATCCTTTCAACCCTACTTATAATCGTGCAATTGCCCCCCGAAACATGCGAAATCTGCTGTAAGCTCTCACTGGGGTTCTTCTGCAGCACGACACCATGAAGCTCCTCTCTGTTGCTGCTGTTGCCTTGCTGGCGGCACAAGCAGCGGGTGCTTCCATCAAGCATCGTCTCAATGGTTTCACGATCCTGGAACATCCGGATCCGGCGAAACGAGACTTGTTGCAGGACATTGTATGTCGTCATCAATTCTGGATCACCCATGATGCTCCATAGTGATTATGTAAACATACTGACCTTTCTGCAGGTTACATGGGATGACAAATCTCTGTTCATAAATGGAGAAAGGATTATGTTATTCAGCGGAGAAGTGCATCCATTCAGGTACACCAGACTTGCGTACTACTAGGGCTCTATCCTGACGGAAGCAGATTACCAGTACCATCGCTTTGGCTCGATATTTTCCAGAAGATCAGGGCTCTCGGTTTCAATTGTGTATCTTTCTATATTGATTGGGCCCTCCTGGAGGGAAAGCCTGGCGAATACAAAGCAGAGGGCATCTTTGCTCTGGAACCCTTCTTTGATGCAGCCAAGGAGGCAGGCATTTATCTGATCGCCCGCCCCGGTCCATACATCAATGCTGAGTCCTCAGGTGGTGGTTTTCCTGGATGGCTGCAGAGGGTCAATGGCACTCTGCGCTCGTCTGATAAGCCATTCCTTGAAGCTACTGATAAGTATGGGTTCATTGACAGTCACTCCGCACACTTGCTTACATTTTGGCTTTAGCTATATCGCCAATGTCGCTGCTACCATCGCAAAGGCTCAAATCACGAATGGAGGGCCAGTGATTCTCTACCAGCCCGAAAACGAATACAGCGGTGGCTGCTGCGGTGTCACTTACCCTGATGGAGACTATATGCAATATGTTATGGACCAGGCTCGGAACGCTGATATTGTTGTACCCCTCATCAGCAACGATGCCTCGCCTTCTGGGCACAATGCTCCTGGGACCGGGGTGGGAGCTGTTGATATTTATGGTCACGATAGTTATCCGTACGTCACTCTGCATATGCCCTCTCTTCTTTCATAGGTTTGTCGTCTGACTGAAACTGACATCTTCCTTAGGCTCGGCTTTGATTGTGTACGTTCTATTCTGCGAATGAGGTTGAATGCTTCTGACATCTATAGGCAAACCCCTCTGTATGGCCCGAGGGCAAACTGCCCGAGAATTTCCGCCAGCTCCATCTCGAACAGAGCCCATCAACTCCGTACTCACTTCTTGAGGTAAGTTGCCCAACTTGGAGGACTAGTAATATGTCTCACTGTTTCCTAGTTCCAAGCGGGTGCTTTCGACCCATGGGGTGGACCCGGCTTTGAAAATTGCTATGCTCTCGTTAATCACGAATTTTCGAGAGTCTTTTACAGGAACGATTTGAGTTTCGGGGTTTCTACTCTTAACTTATACATGGTATGACTTGTTTATATCTTTGAAGCATACCTTGCGCTGACACATATAGACGTTCGGTGGAACAAACTGGGGCAACCTTGGACACCCCGGAGGATATACATCCTACGATTACGGCTCACCTATAACTGAAACGCGAAATGTGACACGAGAGAAGTACAGCGACATAAAGCTCCTCAGCAACTTTGTCAAAGTATCCCCAGCCTATCTCACCGCTACTCCCGGAAACCTGAGTACCGGTGTCTACACGGACACCTCGGACCTAGCTGTTACCCCTTTAATTGGTGATCGTCCTGGCTCGTTCTTCGTGGTTAGACATACGGACTATTCCAGTCAAGAGTCAACTTCGTACAAGCTTAGACTTCCTACCAGTGCTGGTAACCTGACTATTCCCCAGCTGGATGGTACTTTAAGTCTTAACGGACGTGACTCTAAGATTCATGTTGTTGACTATAATGTGTCTGGAACGAACATTATCTATTCGACAGCTGAAGTCTTCACCTGGAAGAAGTTTGACGATAAAAAGGTCCTGGTCTTATACGGCGGGCCAAAGGAACACCATGAACTGGCCATTGCCTCCAAGTCTAATGCAACTATTATTGAAGGTTCGGACTCTGGGATCGTCTCAAAGAGGAAGGGCAGCTCTGTCATCATTAGCTGGGATGTCTCATCTACTCGTCGCATTGTTCAAGTCGGTGACTTGAGAGTGGTCCTGCTTGGTAAGTAAATCCACACTAAACTGGCATACACCACTAATGAATCCACAGATAGGAACTCTGCTTACAACTACTGGGTCCCCGAGCTTCCAACGGAAGGTACTTCTCCCGGTTTCAACACGGCGAAGACGACCGCCTCATCCATTATTGTGAAGGCCGGTTATCTTCTGCGAGGCGCTCACCTGGATGGTGCCAACCTCCATCTGACTGCCGATTTCAATGCCACCACCCCGATTGAAGTGATCGGTGCTCCGGCAAGCGCTAAGAACCTGTTCGTGAATGGCGAAAAGGCTAGCCACACCGTTGACAAGAACGGCATCTGGAGTAGTGAGGTCAAGTACGCAGCTCCAGATATCACGCTTCCTAGTTTGAAGGATCTGGACTGGAAATATCTGGACACACTTCCCGAGATCAAGTCTTCCTATGACGACTCTGCTTGGGTTTCTGCGGATCTTCCAACAACGAAGAACACCCACCGTCCTCTTGACACACCAACATCTCTATACTCTTCTGACTATGGCTTCCACACTGGCTACCTGATCTACAGGGGCCACTTCATTGCCAACGGCAAAGAAAGCGAATTTGTCATCCGCACACAGGGTGGTAGCGCATTTGGCAGCTCCGTATGGCTGAACGAGACCTATCTAGGCTCTTGGGCTGGTGCCGATTATGCTATGGACGGTAACTCTACCTTCAAGCTGTCTCAGCTGGAGTCCGGCAAGAACTACGTTATCACCGTTGTTATTGACAACTTGGGTCTCGACGAGAACTGGACCGTCGGCGAGGAAACCATGAAGAACCCTCGTGGTATTCTTAGCTACAAACTGAGCGGACAGGATGCCAGCGCAATCACCTGGAAGCTCACTGGTAACCTCGGAGGAGAAGACTACCAGGATAAGGTCAGAGGGCCTCTGAACGAAGGTGGACTGTACGCAGAGCGCCAGGGCTTCCATCAGCCTCAGCCTCCAAGCGACTCCTGGGAGTCGGGCAGTCCCCTTGAAGGTCTGTCGAAGCCAGGTATCGGATTCTACACTGCCCAACTCGACCTCGATATCCCGAAGGGCTGGGATGTGCCGCTGTACTTCAACTTTGGCAACAACACCCAGGCGGTTCGGGCACAGCTGTACGTGAACGGTTATCAGTATGGCAAGTACACTGGCAACGTTGGGCCACAGACTAGCTTCCCTGTTCCCGAAGGTATCCTGAACTACCGCGGAACCAATTATTTGGCACTGAGTCTTTGGGCCTTGGAGTCGGATGGCGCTAAGCTGGGTAGCTTCGAACTGTCCTACACCACCCCTGTGCTGACTGGATACGGGGATGTTGAGTCACCCGAGCAGCCCAAGTATGAGCAGCGGAAGGGAGCATACTAATCTTAATTCTAAGATAGTGGCTGTGAGTGATTAAGGAACAGAGTTTTAGTTATGCAGACCGCTTATATGGCTGCAATTGCAATGGGATACCATACTCTTTAAGTCTTTGAGGCTCGAATCCACCTAGTAATCGCTTCGTAAACTTTCTGGTCAGAGAGTTTTATTTCTGTTGTAACCTTAGTAGCCGCAAGAATTAAAGGAAATACAGTTGGACCTACCATAGCTTGAGGCAATCAATATGTAAGCTAGTAGGGCTCAGAGTAAGCCCGGCTCTACAATTATACTTGCAATTCGGGCAAGGTACTGTTCAGCTGTTTAAAGCCCACAGGGGAAGTCCATATTGCCCTATGCCCTTTAGTATTTACTTATCAGTATGATCTCTCCCTTAATGGTCTCCTTTGTCGCCTCGGGGTCCTCAGCCGGGTTGGTGTACACATTTATATTGGCTATATAACTATAAACTTGCTCTTCATATAAGATTTATCCCCTAAGGACACTGGAAGGTATGTTGTAGTCGCCACTTTTCGTACTTGTGTTATCCCAATACAAAGAATATACTCTCTTACAGTGAATTCACATCTGCTGATAATCTTTATTGTCTGAGGCTTCAGAAGGCCGCGGATCACCTGATCAAATATACATCATTCACAGTCGCATCCGTTCCTTCAGTATTATCTGGAACACCTTTTTACTACTCACATCAGCATAACATCATATCTTACCACTGTATTCTAGACCTTATCAAGAAGTGATGGATGAGGCACTCCCAGATAACGAAGCCATCACTGTCCCAGTCCTCTTGGCCGAGGTGACGGCTGAAGAACGATCAAGGACTTTCCCAGTAGCCGATATCACTCATTTTGTTGTTCAGTGAGTTTTATTCAGATTAGAAAGCCTAATTACAGTGCTAATAAATTCGTGCAAGACGTTCTGACAGGAGGCTGGACTTGATCATGCAGTCTGTTGCAGGGATTCCCTACAGTTTCAACAAACCTTGGCCGTTCTGGTTCTTTATTTGCAAAATCGTATCGAAGGCCCTTTTTGACGACGAAAATCAGCTCAAGTGGCTGAACGCTGTCAGGGTCCGAGACCGGGAGTTCATTGCATTCACCAATACCCAGTCGAACGTTGAGGAAGCGAAGCTCCAGGTTGTTGAGATCGATTTACCTAAACCCCAGCCAGGTGAACCTCTGAAATTATTTGGGAGGCCCGCCCGAGAAATTATCTGCCCGAAAGTCCAGGACTGTGAGTGAATGATCTCCGGGATTTTATCATACATCCTATCCCCTTGTCGACTAAACATCTGATTATCATCGCAAATAGGGTTGGACTATTCGTCAAGTAAGGTAGTGGAAGGCGCCATATAGTTGATCATTCTCAGGAGGAACATCTCCTCACCATCATCTCCAAAGTTATGGATGATAACAGCTTGTCTTTCTTGTACATTCATACGATCCGTCGCAACGGAGTGAGGCGATGTTTCTCCATCGTTTGACAGCATCCCATTCTGGACAAATGGTTCGCAGGACGAGCCTGACACGTGCGGGATTCTAATATAGAAACTCTCCTTCGTGCATTTGAAGTTGAACAAGCTACTTACTAAATGGATCTTGTATTGCGACCCGCAGAGCTTGAACTTCAGGGGGGAAAGGGTCCGTGTCCATGAATAGCAGCCTGCCGAGATTATAGTGAAATATGGGCATATTTCTATAGAGTTTACCAATAGTTTGCAAGTGAAAACTTCACCAAGTGCAGCTTCAGGGCAATAGCTGGGCAACCTGTGGATTGTACTTCGGTGACATCAACAAACCCGGCTAGCGGATTACATGCATTTATCTTCCTTCCCCTCCCCCTGTCCCCCTGCGTTCCCACGCTTGCACCTTCATCAGTCAACATGGCGGAGACTCGTTTGGTTCTTACCCCACAGCCTCCTGATGGCACAAAGCTGGAGATGGACTTTCTAGACTCAACTTTCTTCAAGACTCCCGGCCAGCGGCTGCCGACGCCAGCACAAGTCCGGGCCCTGTCAACAGATATATACATACTCCCCCAACCAAAACCTATCATCTTCAGAAACCCAAATATCTTCGTCAAGTTTGGTCGCTACGTTACTGTTGCAGAAGCTCAGTGTCTTTGGATGATTCGGCAGGTCTTTCAAGGCACTGTGCCGGTTCCTGAACTTTTCGGATGGCGTGTAGATGACAAGGGCTATGTATACATTTATATGCAGCTCATCGAAGGACAGACATTACTTGATGGATGGGATGATCTTCAAAGCACAGACAAAGAAGTGATGTGCAATCAGTTATGCCAAATCATTCGATCTCTACGTCAACTTAGCCAACCGTCTGGCAAGTACATTGGTACGCCCTGACCTAAGTGGACGCAAATTCATTGCTGATATTGACTTGTCTTTTTAGGATCTATCAACTGCCAAAAGATTCCCGATTACGTCTTCCAGTCACTGACAGAAGCCGGGCCATTTCCAAACATAAAGGAATTTAACGATTGGTTCTCCACCCTGCCCCAATCGCGGCTTCCGGCGTCCCTGAAATATAAAGATCCCTATAGAGACCTCTTGCCTGATGACGGATATCAAATTCACACACGCCGACCTTCATCGAGGTAACATTATGATATCCTCGACCGCGCCATTTCGAGTCATTGCCATCGTCGACTGGGGCCTGGCAGGCTGGTATCCAGATTACTGGGAGTACTGTAAAGCTCTATACACCTGCTGGTACGAGGATGAATGGCGTCGGGACTGGATTGACAAGTTTCTACATCCACGTCTGCAGGAGTCTCAAGTCTTCTCGGAATATACCATGGCGATCGGTGCTGTCTAAATTGACCTCTGCCGTGATAAGGCTTTTGCACACACCTGCTTAATTCACATACATCAATGAGAAATGGTGCTCAGGATAGTCGCTGTTATCCTGACATTTGAGTATGGTATAGATTTGATAGACTAATACTACACCGCCAGTGATTCTCGTATTGTCTTAATTCTATGCATATTTAGAAGTAGAAAACAGTATCCTCACCATATCAACGTACCCACCACAAGGAGCATAATCCAACGAACCTAATACAAAAACCGAAAATACCAATTCCATCTCATCAAAAATAATTCTGTATAAATTAATAAAAACTCTCAAATTGAACGGCACTTAGATTGATGTATGCGTGGATCCCAGCCCTAACCCGTGCGTCTCCTGCATAAATGAATGGCCGTTCTTCCCAGCCACCAATAATTCCGGTCCAGACCCTCGCAATCCCTCCACGTCGATTTCTCTCTTTTTCCTTCTGTCATACACATACATTACTTCATTCATTCATTCCTGCTTCCATTCCATGACCTCATTTCGCAAATTCCTAAAGACACAAGTCCATGTCGCGCATACAAGCATACTGAAATCTCCACATCAACCTCCACATTAATCAATCTTATCGCAATCTCCGAGATAATCCCCGACTTACTAGTACACAGTACTCCCAGACATTGAAACTACAACAACAATCACAATCACAATCGCCAGTAGCTAAACACGCCCCAGAATCCAAAGCTAAAGGCCCGAAACCAAAAAAAGAAAAGAAAAGAAAAGAAATGCCCCCCCTCCCCCGACACCATCACCAACAAGACCAAGACCAAGACCAAGACCTCAACAACAATAACGACAGCGACAGCAACAACCTCACAAAACGCCTCTCCCCCATCCCCCTCGGCCCAACCTACAGCACCATCTCCATCCCGGCCTCCTACGGCCGTCTCACCAGCTCCCCGTCACCGGGAACAGTCGCCGGAATCATCCTGGGCAGCGTCTTCGGCTTCATCTTCCTCCTCTACCTGCTGTGGCTGGGGCTGAGCTCGGGGCGGCGCTTCGGCAGCGAAACACAGACGGAGATGGCGTCGGCGAGTAGCGCGGGCGGGATGCGGCGGAGACGGGGGCGACGCATTGTGGTTGAGGAGGAGAGGCCGGTGAGTGCTGGTGCACATGGGCATGCGGAACATATTGTCGTGGAGGAGAGTGTGACCAGTGCGCCGAGTCGGTCGGAGGGCGATGTCATTGAGGTGTTTGAGGAGGCTAGTAGCGTTGATCGGCCGCCGAGACGGGGGAGGAATGGTGGTGGGTGGAGGAGGGGGGATTTGGAGGGGAGTGAGTTTAGTTCGAGGGTTTGATTTTGTCTATTGGGTTGGGTTGGGGGTTGGGCTGGGTGGCATAAAGAGGAATGGGGAGTGCTTCTATGTCTTGATGATTGATACCCTTTTATTTTGTTCTTTTTATGTTTGTGTGACTGGTTATGACTGATGTGATTAAGTTGAACTCGATGTACGAGCATGAATGTCCATGATATAATATAATATAGCATCGGCATAAGTAATATATCACGATAACAATACCAACACGTTTGATTAAGCGAGTATCAAAAATGCAACAGACGAACCATTCGCAGCTGAACAAGCAAAGAAAGATACCCCGTACACCATGAACGAAACCAACTCCATTCCGGCGCCAAAAGACGAAACGAAAACCAAGTCGCAACCGCAGCAGCGTAGAAACGGCAGGCAAGACGACGCAATCTAAAACAGAATGTCCAGACAACAACAACAGGCCAGCGCAGCCATGATACCGGCGCAGATACCACCGCCCGAGGAGCCGCCGCCGCCGCCGCGGTCATCGGCGTAGTACCCCGGCTGCGGGTACCCTTGCTGCGGCGGGTAGTACATGGGTTGTTGACCCTGCGGCGGCGGAGAGCCGTAGTATCCCTGTTGCGGGGGTGGACCGTAGTTCTGCGGAGGGTATCCGCCGCCTTGGTTGTAGTAGTCGCCCTGGGCGCCCTGGGGAGGGTAGTAGGGCCCTGCGTCGTGGACGGGGGCGGGATAGGAGGGAGGCGGTCCGTCCTGTTACGCATTTGTCAGTGCTCTGTGACTTTTGTGGTAGTGGAGAATGGAGAGGGTGCGTACGGGTTTGTTGTAGGACATTTTGGCGGGTGGTCCGGAGGTGGTTGAGGAGTTGGAGAGTGTTGTTGAGTCGATGCGCTGGCGGTGGTTTTAGGCCGGGTGGCTTAACTCCGGTATTGCGGGTGGCTGGTTGCCCTAGATATCGAGTCCGAGAGCACAGCGAGGGGACCGAGGAGGACTGAGAGGAGGCACAAGGACAAGAAAGAGGGGATCGTCGGAAGTGCCGAGAAAAGGGATTGAATGAAGTGAGCGGATTTAAAATTGGAATTGAACAACCAAGACCCTTGGCGCTGGCGGTCCCGTTTAGGCAACTTCAAATCTAGGCTGGGCCACATTTGGTCGGGATGCACCGCCACACGGACCTGTTCGTTCCACTGGCCACTCCGTCAAGCCTCGGCCAGCTGCATGACGTGCCGATGGCAGGTGATGGCGAGCCACCCTCCATCATTGGCCGACGGTATACTTGCTACGCACACCTTGACGCGGCGAAACTTACGAGCTTACACGAGAAGTCAATTGAATACGGTAGATTCGGTTCATATAGCAAAACCAGCAACGGCGGTCCCCCAATCGCTCAGATCGTTCCTCACAAGCTCTGAAATCAACGCTAAATCTCATCATCCTGCTCTGCAGACTTTTGGGGAGGGAAGAGGAGAGGGTAGGTGGGTAAGAGGGGAGAATGCGGTAGTCCGGCCATAGCAAGATGGAACAAGACCAGACGAGAAGTCAAAAAAGAGTAGTAAATATGGATTACAAGAAAGGAATAACAGCCAGACGGTGGCCTCGCAAAGGAGAATTAAACCCCCCTCCGACCGGGGCAAGATTCCCCCACAGAGAAAAGAAAATAAAGGGAGGATCTGCAAAAGCAAAGAGTTGTCGATAAGATGCACAGAACTAACCAAAAACAAATGAAATGTAAATGCTAAATCTCCGCTTGGGGTCTAAAGCGTCAATTCGCTGATGCAAGAACATGCAAAGTTGCATAAATCTATCCGGGACGCATCGTTTAGGCCGTCTCCTCGAGGGAGGCCTTCTGCAGCTCGTCGGACACATCGGCGGCGGCGTCCTGCTCCTGCTTCAGCTCGGCCTCGGCCGAGACCTTGCCGTTAACACCACTGTTGATGATAGCAGGCTTCTTAGCAGCGTCAGTCGCACGGTCGTCCGCCTGAGCGGCCTCCTCCTCCAAGCGGGCAATTTCCTCCTGGGCCTTCTTGATGTTCTATGGGAATAATCAGTCACGGTAGCTCATACGAGCGGGAATTAACGTAGAGCGGTGCATACCTCCTCGGTCTTCGAAGCCTGGTTCTTCTTCCACTCAGTGATCTTAGCGGCCAGCTTCTCGACAACGGCGGGGACATCGGCCTGGTTCATAGGGGGGTCGATCTTGACCTGGGCGAACTCCTCGATGATACCAACGTTGAGGTTGAACTTCTCGGCGGGGGCAGGGCTGCCGTTGGCGTTGCTCTTCTTGCCCTTCTTACCCTTCTTGCCACCAGTGCCGACGAAGTAGTCGTCCTCCTCCTTCTTCAGGACCTTCATGCCCTTCATGCCGGAGTCATCGATGGTACGGCCAATCTCAGCACGGAACTGAGAGGACTGGTCCTTCTTGTCATCCAGACCCAGAGCAGCGAAGTCGTAGGCGGGGTTGAAGTGGCGGATCAGACCCTGAGCCGTAAGGATCTCGTCGGTGTAAGCCAGACGAGAGGCCTCCTCGAGCTTCTTGTCGGCAATCTTCTTCTTCTTCTCGCGCTCGAAGGCGTCCCGCTGGGCCTTCTGCTTCTCCCGGCGGACTCTCCAGGCCTCATCCTCGTACTCCTTGTAGGCCTTGCGGGCCTTGTAGTAGGTGTCCTTGATCTCACGGATAGCAGTCCACTTCTGCTGCTGCTCACCGTGGAGCTTGGTGCGCTCGTCCCGCAGGGCGTTAAGGTTCTTGAAAGCGCCATCCTGCTCGGCCTTGATGGCATCCAGCTCCTTCTGGATCTCGGCGTACTTGTCGCTCAGGGCCTTGGCCTCAGGGTTGTCAAGGGTCTTCTTGAGGGTGGCGATCTGAGCCTTGATGTCGTTGATGACCTTCTGGGCCTCGTCCAGGCCGGCGAAGTTCTTGCGCTGCTTGCGCAGGCTGGAGACGTCGGCAAGGGCCTTCTTCTCATCGACCAAGCGCATGGTGCCGGAATCAACCTGCTTCTCGAGGCGCGCGATCTCGCGATCAACCTCCTCGACGCTCTTGAACGACATGCGGGTCTTGGAGTTGTTCTGCTCCGCAATGCGGGCCTTGAGCGTGCTGTCCAGGGCATTGATCTTCTCCTGAGTGCTGGACCTAGACGCCTTGAATCCCGACTGCTTCTGACGGATGGAGGAGAGCTCAGCACGGAGTTCCTGCTGTCTCTTGGCCGCGGGCGAGTCCTTGTTGTTGGGCTTGGCGGTCTCAATCTTGGCCTTGACTTGGTTCTTGAGGAAGTTAGTGTCTTGTTCGTCAATGGAATGCAGGAACGGTATAGGAAACGTCTCGAGAAATCGCAGGGTAGACCATAAATGGTCGGTGGGCACCGAGTAAGAAAATGGCACAATATATTTTGTGCGTTGTATACAACAACCATTGAAACTTCCAAAGAACGCAAAATGACATAATAAACCGTCACATACCAGTTTCTCCTGAACCGCAGCATGCTCCTTCTCAGCCTGCGCGAGGTCGGCCTTGAACGCCTCCTCACTGGGCTTGGTAGGCTTCACCTTCTGCTCCGTGGCAGGAGCCGATTTAGCTTCAGCGGCCATCTTGTCGGGGAATTTGCAAATACGGAGGGTAAACACTTGACAATGCAAATAGATTGACCGAAATCAATCGCTAGGAGGGACCCCAAAAGAGCGTGAAATGAGGGGAAACCAAAGGGGAATGTTGGGAGAAGAGGAAAGGAATGGGGCAGAAACTCGTGCTCATTTTCTCGGTCTGGCCTTTTCCTTTGGGGTTAATACGTTGTTGGCGGCGCTTAACCGTTGCCGCTTAGCGCTGTTCCGCCGATTTTTCGAGAACCTCCCTCTATCGCTTTTCGCAACGCTGCCACTCCAGCCAACTTTTTTTTTGCTGTCCCATCCCACGGCTCACATTGAGCTCAGAGTTGGTCCTCGATCTCTCTAAATTAACTCTTTCCCGACACTACTCTTTTTCATTTATTTTAGTTTGTGTCGTAGCGCAGGTGCGCCTCATTTTTCACCATGGACGAGGACTACTCTTCTGGCTCCGTCGATGCCGACCGCGAGATGACCAGATTGTGGCGCACATGGAGGACGGTATTCGAAATGCTTCAGGATCGGGTACGTGCTGCTATAGGAGAGGAACAATCGGCTGCACCCACAGCGTTTGTCGCACATAGTATGCTGACAGGCCATTTTCGGACAGGGCTACGAAGTCACCGAAGAAGAAGTGCAAATATCGCTCGACGAATTCAAACAGAAATACTCCGATCCCCTCGGATACCCAGAGTATGCGACCCCAGACAACATGCACGTTTGCAACCTCCCAAGGAAAAAAGGCCGCTAACAATTCGGCGTAACTTTTGTGTAGCCGCAACAAGATGAAAATCCAAGCTCGCCCCACGGAGGCCATGCAACTCAAATACACGGCCCTCAAGACCAACTCCAACCCGGACCCCCAGCCCGACTGCGGCACCATCTACGTTGAATTCTGCCCCGACTCGACTGGCGTCGGTACCAAGCAAGTGCGCACCTTCAACCACTTCGTCGACGAGAACAACTTCCACACCGGCGTGTTCATCACCCAGACCCCGATCTCTCCGTCCGCCGTGCGTCTGCTGAGCGGTGTCCCCGGTCGCATCTGCGAGCATTTCCAGGAGCAGGATCTGCTGGTCAACATCACCCGGCACGAACTGGTCCCGAAGCACGTCCTGCTGAGCCCCGAGGAGAAGTCCCGGTTGCTGCAGCGCTATCGTCTGAAGGAATCTCAGTTGCCCCGTATCCAGGTGTCGGATCCCGTGGCGAGATACCTGGGTCTGCGCAGAGGGCAGGTCGTCAAGATTATTCGCAAGAGTGAAACGGCCGGTCGTTATGCTAGTTACCGCTGGGTTATTTAATCGCGATCTTGACGAGTACGGCTTGTATGGTTATGCTATATTAACGGACGGCTGTTTGCTTTGGGGGGGGGTTCATCGCGCTTTTTTCCATTCAAAGATGCCAAAAGAACATGTCGAGTTCGCCAAGAGGTTCTTGAGCACCTTTTTTGCCAGGGCGCGGTTGTCTCCTACACTATGGCCTACGCCGTGTCTCACCCCTCGAAGTGAACATAGAATCGAGTGGATGAGGTCTCCAAGAACAAAAGAGAAAGAAAAACCAGAGGAGTGGGCAAATTACGGGACGAAAAAGAAAAATCAAACGAAAGTCCAATTGCAGGCATTATGGGCAGCATGGCGTAAGGGCGAAACAAATGATTCATGGCTGGAGTGTACTGTCATGGTTCTGGTCGATTCCTTTGAAATTTTACTAATCGCAAAAACCCCGACTATATTGTACAATTTTCTTGATAGATTACTGAAAAATGCAATGGTCATGAGATTTTCAGTGGTCGTTAATAGCCAATCCTTCCCAAGTAGAGAGAGGATGGGACAGGTCATATTCAGATATGATCGACTCAATCCGATGGCAACTATAGAAATATACATGTAGACCAAAATACCCAATCAATACCAACGCCCTCGCTAATTCCAACTCCAATCCAGTACACATTACCCATAATAAACCACAGAAAGGGAAAAAAGGTGGGGAGAACAGAAGCCCCACGGAGAAGAGAAGCAAGCCTATTTATACATCCAACTACCGTTTAGTATATACCGTCATTATTCATGAATTTTTTGATAGCAATCCCCCAACATCCTGAAGTTCGACATCATCGCTTCCTTCAGGAATTGGGGCAGTTACATCGGATTGAGATCGATAGGGAGGAGCCGGTGACTCCGGCGTATCACTAAAATGCACGCTGGACCCTCGTCGGCGGCCATACGAGTTAGTGCGAAGACCGCCAGGTCGTGAGAAGTTCGGTGAAGCGTTTGGAGTAGCCCCTGGGGTCGGAGTGGAGAGTAGACCGCCAACATCTTGAAGAAAGGCTGCGCTTCCACTGCGTGTACGAGTCGTTTGCCCGGGAGGAGGCATTTGGTAGTTCATATGCAAGGTTGGAGGGGGGCTGCTCCTAGGGGATGGATCTAGGAGACCGCCGACGTCGAACATAGAGACTCGGCCGGGGGAGTTCGGGACGGGGTCGCCCGACGCTTTGCGCGGCGTTTTATTGGTTGGAAGATACTCGAGTGGGCTCACTTTGATGTCAAGACTGCCTGTCGAAGAGGATCGATCGTCCTCGATAGCAGAAGCATGATGGTTGAACGACCAGTTTGGATTCAGTGTGCCCGTACGGGCTGCAAGAGGCTCGCAGGGGGCAACCACGGGGGCTGGCCGAGGCAGCTTGTGGTCGGGAGAAACCAGCTCAGGGTGCAAACGGATGCCCATATCTCCGGCCAGATCGGAGTCACTGCCCCAGTGGTGGTGCGTGATGGTTGTACGACGAACCGAGCTGTGATCCATGCTCTCGCTGACGGAGGCAGATCCAATGGCCTTTTTGAACTTGGCTTTCTTGACGCCTTTGTCTCGCACAAAGGACCCAATGACTATGGCATTTGAAACCGCGGTGGCAGCGAGGATCTCTAGAGACGCCAGAAGAGATCGGTATTGCTGGGATCCTTTGTGGCTAATCACAGCGGGTACACGGTAGCAAGTAATGCCGACGAGAATCAAGGATAAGGCAAAGAGAATAACGAGAGAGGCTTTGCGTTTCGCAGACATGTGAGTCATCATAATCAAAGGAATAGGAAAGGCCACCAGAAGAAGATCCGTGATCACGTCGCATACTCCCATTGTAATCAGGTTCGCATAGCCCGAGCGACACTGGGGGCCTGGATCCGGAACCACCTGCCAGTAGTGGCTGAAAGGCTGGCATTCAGTTAGGGTTGCGAGTACCACGGCAATCAGAGTCGATCCCAAGAAATAATAGATAAACTTGAGAAAGATCCGGAGAGACCGGCGCCATATCATCTCCGAAACCCGTTTGAGAAATTCGCATACGGTAAATTTGGCAGTCCAGATGCTTGTGGTAGTCAAAACAGTCAGCCGGCATGTTTTATCTCGGACAAATGCTTTGAAACAGTAGCCTTACAAGATAGCATAGCAAATTCGAGAAACCAGAACCAACTTGCTCCCAACGATGCGATGTTGAATCTCCTCTGCCGTCAACCCCCCTGTCTTCGTATTATTGGTCCCCCAGATGAGGATAAGATGTACAAGGGCCATGCGGATCAACAAGGGAATAATGGCAAGCATCATCACCTTATCCTCCCGAAAGAAGCGTTCGATGCGAACATAGCGACCACAGACTCGAACCACAATGATGGCCAGGGAGAAGCCGGTGGCCCACCAGCTCACCAAGAGCGTTGGGTTATCGTCAAGCTTCGTTCGAGCATTCGGAGGGATTTCCGGATATAGACCACGAGTGTCCAGCACAGTCATGGCCGCTGAACCACCTCCGCAGAGGGGCCAGTTGAAAACAAGCGAGAACAGCCCAAGTTATCAAATAATAACGCACCGTGGATGAGTCCCTGGAGTAAGTTTAACAACGTCGTGCCTTTACTTGCACTCACATTGCTCATGACGAACCACCCTGAGCATGCACGTGCGGTTCCCCAGATTAGAGTATTTGCTCAGTGTGGGGAAAGAAGGTATAACGTAAGGGAAACCGGGGAATATAACAAGGCGACGATCTTGGGGGCAAAAATAGCGGGTGGAACCGGCCTTAAATGGGAGGTAACAGTGGGAGGGAAAGTGAATGTTGATCTGGTGGCGTCCCGGGTGGAGGAGGCCCTTCTTCGTATAGATTCTGATCGTTGACGAAAGAGCAAATGAGGGTAATTGGGAAAATGAGGGAAAAAAAAGGAGGGAGACAAGAGGTTCACCTGGTAGATAAGTGTAGAGCCTGGCTCTTACGTATCCCCAAATGAAATAAGATTAGTATTACAGAGAAATGGACAGGAAGGATTTCACCGCCGTTTCGATAGAAGTTGTAAAGTATATTAACTCAAGGACAGTATGTCACAAAGTTAGAGAGACAGAGCGAGATGGTTAGATCAATCATCAAAGGAAAATATCCATATGCAAACGGAAGGGGGAGACCCCGGCAAAAAAGCAACCTCATGAACGGCTATTTAATAATAAAAACAAATATGTTGATAATCGTGATGAGAAAATCATACCCACCTCGAGGCCAAGGGTCATGCCGGCCAACCGATAACCATGGATTCAAAAGATAAGACCGAACAGTAGCAGTGGACGCCGGGAAGCGCCATTTATCGGCCCTCCGTTTGGTTCGAAGAGCAGGATTCGAGGACGGAGGAGCTGGGCAGGTCAGCACGAGATGGTATTGGACCAGCCAGCGAGAGGCGATTGAGTCGGGGACTTAGTCGCTTAGGAGCTGTTTGCGGAGTAAGTTTATTGGCTTCCGCCCGATGGCGATAGCGAAATGAAGCATTGCTTGTGATTCTTGGACTCGAGAAGGAGATTCGAGCTTGGGCCGGTTATCATCCGCCGTTCAAGGGACGAACCCTGTTGAGAACGTGAGCTCGTATATGATCAATGCTGCGGATTATTAGCGACGAATAGAGAGAAAGTGCATAGGTGATAATCCATGCTGTTACCTTATCAGATAATTGGGGGAATTTGGAGGATTTCCATTGGTAGTTGGCGAGTGACCCCCATCAATCTCCTACATAAGACGGACATGACTCGTGCAACCAGATTGGATTGTACAGTGTCAGGGTAGTATCCATTCTTCGATGGAAGCTACCATTCGGTAGGAGAAACCGTACGACAGACAAAGTCACGTCAGGTGTGCCTGGTCCACGTGGCGGCCTTGTGACATGTATCTTTCTCTCTCCTCAACCATACCATCGTAATAATTGGTATACATAAAATACATTGTTACTACGGTTGCTACTTTGGCCAGTAGTTTGCTACCATATCACCCAGACTTCTTATCACGACCCCGTACGATATGTACCCCCTGTTTCATACTTCCTGTCCCGAGTATACGTGGATAGATAACCTTCCGGTGGTGGTTCCATTCAAGCCTCTTACGTATTTGCCTGTCTCTCCCGGTCGGAAAAGGACGATAAGGAAAATACTAACGCTCTTTAATATTAAGACGAAATCTCCGTTCTAAAAGGCTAAGAAAGTCTATCCTGAAAAGTAATTAATCTTGAGAAAAGAAAATGACATGACTGGTTCGAGTTCTGATGCGCTTATCCTCTCAACGACTGGACATCCGCGCCCCTGAGAAGACTGTCCAGGACTACCCGCAATTGCTGCAGGAACCTAGTGACTTCCTCCTCTGTTCCTACTGTAACCCGCAGGCAGCCTTCGCATCCGAGCTCCTTCCCGCGGAAACGTACCACCACGCCGCGTTTTTCCGCCATAGCTTCGTACGCAGCCAAGGCAATCTTGTTGCTGGGCTTTCCGCCTTCACTGGCAGGCTTATCCAGGAGTTCAACCAAGAGGAAGTTCGACTCTTGTCCGCCCAGGAAGCGACCCACTCCTGGGATCTTAGGCAGTTCCTGTAGTAAGCGTTCACGCTGAGCAATGATCTCCTCGCGGTATTTCTTCATGACAGCCATGTTGATAGGCGACAGAGCAGCCATAGCAATTGCACTAGTTGGGCTTGAAATGTTATAGGGGGCCTTCAGGCTGTTCAACAGACGGGCAATGGCAGGGCTGGTGAACGCAACTCCTAGTCGAATACCGGCCAGACCAAAAGCCTTGCTCAAAGTCTGCATAACCACCAGGTTGGGCCAATCGTTGACCCACTCGGCGAGACTGGAGCCTTCAGGTGCAAAGTCGATATATGCCTCATCCACAACGACCAGACCATTCCATGTGGGATGCTCCAGCACCTTCTGAATGTCGGACTTACGGATCAAGTTGGCTGTAGGGTTACCCGGTGAGCAGATGTACACCATCTTGATCGAGTCATCTGCAGATAGAGCCTCGAGAATCTTGTCCGGCTGCAGTTGGAAGCCGTTCTCGACATCCAGAGGGACCTTCACAATATCCACGTCGTTGACCTGCGCACTAACACCATACATGCCATAGGTAGGGGGGCAAGTAAGGATCTTGTCCTTTCCTGGCACGCAGAAACATCTCAACAGAGCATCGATGGCTTCGTCGGAGCCGACTCCAACGAAAAGGTTCTCGGGGGTCAGGTCTTTTTGGCTGTGAATACGGGTATTGCGGAGCTTGCAGAAAAGTTGCTTCAGCTCAATCTGATGTCTAGTAATTCATCAATCTGAGTCAGCTTAGACTTCTTAGGGACTGAAGTATGGGGTGAGTCACTCACGGGTCGGGATAGCGGTTCAATCCCAAAAAGTCGATGTCTGGCTTCGAGGAGCCAGTCGAACCCCCATTGACTGTAGATTCTTGCAGAGCGCCTTCCGAATTCAGGGCAAGACCGGGACCGTAGGCGTTTTCGTTAGCATCGAGCAGAACATTCGTTCCGTCATCTTTGTAGTCACTGACTCATTAGTTTCTCGGGCGCTGATGCGGGGATCTAGAGGGCAAACACACTCTCTCGCACAGCGATAGGGCTGCAATTGCAAGATATTCTTGCGCGCGCATTTAGAGAGATCGAACGGTGATTGTCTCGCAGCCATTTTGGTGTGATATTGCTGAAGTGAAGAGATTCCTTGCAAACCGAAGAAAGATCGGTGGGGGGTCCTTTAAGTGGCGGGGAAGATTAGAGGCGGGACCGGTCTCGGAAGTGTGACTCTTCAGGAACGGTAGTTTAAATCCCTTCGGCACCAGTCAGTGGAATATACTAACCTAGTCGCTGCTTCATACAAATTTTGCATTTATATTGCCAATGAGCTATTTAAATAAAGGTACATGACATTTGTTTACTAGAGAAGCTGTAACTTGCCTTTTTCGAGACTATTCTTTCAGGAATATAAATCCGGGGTGTATATCCTCAATTTTATAGGTCAAGGCTCCACACGTTGTATCTAGTACTAACCACCGAATATTGATCATATTCACCTGGCCGGGCTGCTCTTCATTTTTACAGATAACTTGATAATAGGCAAACTTGACCCTTCGCACTCACTGTATACATTTCAAGGCAAACGAATGATCTCAACCTCAATCGCACAGGTACTAATATATAACCTGACATGACTCCGTATACAGCCGAATGCATCCAGCATAGGAGGCCATCACCCAGGACGCGCCATTACAAATTGAGAACGCAAAATTAGAGAAGTGTACAAATAAAAAAGTCCCCGAAAGAGATTCAAAGCTTCCCCATGCCCGCGTTGTTCGGGACATTAGACTGAGCCTCGCTGGCAGAGGTGGCGGGCGCAATAGTAAGGCCTGAGAAGTCCGAGAAGAAGGAGGTATCTGTATAAGAGGTAAGACTGCCCGAGTCGGAAACAACATTCACCTCGCACGCACGACCAAGAGCCGATTCGCAGTCAGCAGCAGACGACGAATCCGGTGTGTTAAACAGTCGGCCGGCGTAGTCTCCAACAATCGTGGACACATCTACCCAAGCATTTCCCTCGAAGATTCCCCTGGCACCTGAATCGCCGCCCTCCAGTGCATGGCCGTTGTTTTTATCCCAGACATTGTTCACAGCATGCAAGAGAGTACCTCCACTCAAGGCTGGGCTGCGGCCAGTTGTCATGTAGATATAGCAGTTCTGCATAGTAATCTGATCTGCTTCGCCTACCATCTCAAAGGTCCAGTAGTGGTACCCATCGCAGCCTGTAGAGTACGGAGTTTCACCGTTGATGAAGTTGTTTGAGAGTGTGATACGGGTGTTGGTCGCGAATCCGAAGGTGTAGTGTTGCCGTCCGGTGCGAGCCGTCTTGGATGTCTATTAACAAACTACCCTCTTTCATCTGTTCAAAAGGTACATACCGTGACATGGTCAATCCAGATCAGGTCAGACCCATCGAAATACATGGCGTCACCACCCCAGACATACTCAGGGTTCAAGTCGGAAATCTGAATGTTTTGTACGATGATGTTCGACACGCCGTCTCTGAATCTCAAGCCTTTGCCTTTCATGACACCCTTGTCTCCGTCACCAAGGATTGTCTTGTTCGATGCAACATCGACTCCCGTCGTTCCGGCAGCGTACCAAGTTGCTTGCGAAGATGGAGAATCTCCGCAGTCGTCCTGGATAATCTTCTGACAGCTGTCCCCGGTTCCCCAGGAAGCACAAACTGTTCCACTAGTCGTGCCCTCGGACTCGGTGAAGTCATATTCTTTGTCAAGAACAATCACTCGTGGGGTGTTATCGGTAAGCCATTCCTTCAGCTCATCGATATCGCTGGGAATCTGTGCTTCTGCGTCGCCACCGCCTGTCACCCCCGTAGCGAAACCCTCAGCTGAGCCTGAGACTGATACAGCTGCACTCAGCGGCACCAGTCCCAGGAGGACAGCGGGAATGGTTGATGTGATCTTCATTGAGGCCGAAAAGACTGAAAAAAGTGGTTCTTCAAAATTGACTTGGTAAACTAATAGTCAGAAAATGCGAGGGATCCTGCACCGCTTAATATAGCCATTGATCTACCATAACCAACCCTCATTTACAACGGACCATCGATTCCAATTACCGGAGGACTCGGAATCGGCTGCTGGTTCTTCGGCACTACGATATACTAGTATCATGCCTGAAACAGTTCTCACAACCTTGGACAGTTCCACATGTGTTGCCGAACGCCTATAAAACCTCATCTATTTCGCACATGTCCCGGAAATTAAGTGAACAGACGACAACAAAGATCAGCAGGGAGTGTTTCTCCGTCGACTTTACATCCAAAATAGTCAAGGGAATGAATCTTATGCAGCCTTGCACACCTCATGTGGGCAATATCCACTCGGGCCAATGACCGGGTTAGGCAGAGATCGACAAACTTGCATTATATCCAAAACAACCTGAACAAGAGCCGAGAACTTATATATGGCTGCGTCTTGCATATGGGGTCGCTTAAGATGCTAGTAAATGATATTTTGAATCAAGGGAAATAGGGCTCCGGGTCAATCTATCCAAAAGGTTCTATACAATTGGTACACATTGGGGACATGGTCCCTCTTCAAGACAAAAGAACTCTCTTCCCTGGATGCATTTGGCAATTTTCACACACAGCAGTTCAAGTATGGACGTGGTGCATTGTATCGAGATGAGATATACTCTTCGATGGGATTATAGGAGTAAAATCTGCCAACGACAACCGATCAGCTTCTAACCGTTCAGCCGATCACTAGTACGCTGCATGAATGACTGCTGTTATTCATGTTGGCCTGAAACTTGAAGACTATTTTACCACCAATTATATGTACCATGCACGTTGGCGCCTTTCGCTTTGGCCTCACAGTAGGAGGGAAAGTAGTAGTAAATTTCCTTGCATTTTTCAGGGTCGTACTGTTTTATATAGCCTTCTGAGCTAGTCTATCCTATTGTAGTCTTCTATGTACATTGTGGTGTTTCTTGCTCCAGTTATCCATACAGTAGCTGAGCCAAGAGAGACAAAGGGAAAGGGAACTTGGAAGGATGGAAAAATCAAGCACATATGTCAAACCAACACAACGCCTTGAGATGCCTTGTATGATGTCTAGGGCTGCCTATTGGCAAACCATGCTTCAGTCATAACTATGACACTAATGATAATTATCTATTCCTGCTTTGGCGCATTCTCTGTCGACACCTCGCTCGGAGGGCTGGCATGTTTGCCTGAAGTCTTGTACTTATTTTGCTTTTCTCGCAGGTAGCGCCAGGTCCTACCAATTCCGGAGGTGACCAGACCTTTGGCCGACTGGATAGTGCTGGGCCAGCGAATGGTCTTAGTGATAGAAGCTTGAACTTCCTGCTTCAGGCTATCGTCGTTTGCGATACGCTGCTCGAAGGGACCACCTTGTCTCCGCCGGACCAATGCCTGGTCGGCATCATTGCTTTCCTTCATCATTTTGTTGAAGTCCCCACGAGGGATTTGGAAACGGGTTTGATACTGGAAGTACAGCTTCGCTCGGAATGACTCCGGCAGACGGCGGACCATATTACCACGTTTTACTGGGTCCATATCTTGGGTTAGCTTCACATTGGCATCAGGATCATCGATCCAATCGCCTTCGGTGCACCGTTGGTCGTTGAAGGTGACATTAGGTAGGGTTTCGATGAGCGGTGCATAGAGCCGCCGGAAGTTGGCCATCTGACCTGAAACAATGTTTCTAACCTTACGAGGATCCTCTGCCGGCAAGGCCATACGAAGATCTCCCATGTAGCTCATTCCTGCAATGGTGCTGTAGAGTTGGAACTCCGTAAACTCAGCGGGCAGGAGCAGCAATGCCACCCGGACAGCAGACAGCAGGTTCATCTGGTTTGCTAGCCGGACCTTCGGATGGTCACGCAGAATCTTAACCGGCTTCTGTAGCCGCCCAGCAAGGTATAGTGTGTCCCATTGGCTGAGATCACGACATAATGTGTCAAGATTGACAACGCCATATTTGATCAACGTTCCATTCACGGTGATATACGGGTTGAAGTAGACACCAGCGCCGAACCTATCTTGCGTTTGAGCGACAGCGTAAGACCCTAAAGACCCCAGTCCAGAGTAGTGGTCCCGATGTTGATGGAGGTTTAATGAATGCCAGTGTTGGGAGTACGACACTCCGAAGATAAAATCAATCATCTTACCCTGACCTTGTTGCATGTTCTTGATCGCAGCCGGGGCAGACGGGTGACACTGGCCGGAGCCAGGAGCACTGCCGGACTGTGTGAAGACGCCCGAACCATAGGCGAATGCATATCGGATTGGCGCTCGGAATTGCCAAAGTATTTGACGTAAGGCTTCTTTAAACTCTTGGTTGATGACCATGTGCTGATTGACACCAAAGTCTTTGGAAGGGAGCTCCGAGAATGCATCTATTGAGAGATTCGCGTTATCTTCCCAGTCACCAGGGTCCGAGACTCGTGAGCTGGTAGAGAATGATGCGGTGGATGATGAAGGAAGGAGGAGGCCATGCTCGCTAGAAGAAGATTGTGAACTGAAACCTCCACGAGACACCGCACGGTTTCTAAGTGGATAAGTTCCATTTGGTGTAGGGGCCGAGGTAGAATCGTGGGAGAAAGACCGCAGGGAATTCGGGATGCGAGCGCATCGCGGAAGAGACGGGTAGACCGGGCGCAGACGCATGAATGTGCCCGATCTATAGTTTAAAAGGAAAGACTTTGACGAAATCAATTAGCACTACTCAAAGCATGTGGACTGCAAGCAAATACTGCCTTACAGTAACTTCGCGCATCGTCGCGGTTCCTCAAAAGCAAAAGAAGGATGGCACAGCGAGGGCTGTAATTGTTGAATAACTCAATGACCATTGAACGTTACAGATTCACACCATGTTTCACTGAAGGAGAGTTCAGGTAGAGCAAGGGCGGAGTTGAGGAAACAATGAGATCAAACTGCAGATACTTTCCTGCGGGATAATCGCAGATTACCCAATGGCGGCCGGAAGGTCTGACGTACTCGCTCGGCAGGTGTTCTCGGCCTATCGAGATTACCCAGCGACCGCCCGCGCCACAACCCGCACGCCACACCGCGTCACGTGGTGCCGTATCTCCGCGGGCGCGTTCCCGATGGCTCGACCCAAACAAGACAGTAAACAGAGGGACCCTCACTCTCTGTCCGTCCTCTCGTGCGAGATCGTGTACCTTTAAGAGGTAAAGCTATATACATTGTGATCCTGGGACCCTCATCACACCTGATGGTCCGCTGATCCCGCGACAATGGCCGACGAAATGGAGACATTCGCTGCCCGCCTTGCCAGTTTCGATCTGGTATTGCACCCAGAGAAACGAAGAACATCGAGCGCAAAGGCCGTTAAACCTATTGCTTGGCCTCACCGCAGGCCATCGCCCGCTGAGGTATATAGACCTTCCTAACTACAATACTTGCCAATCGGAAAACTAACCCTTGATTATTGTAGTTGGCGCATGCGGGCTTCTACTACAATCCCTACGAAACGAACCCAGATAACACAACATGCTTTCTGTGTCACAGAGCGCTCGACGGATGGGAGGAAGAAGACAACCCAATAACTGAGCATCTTAAGCACGCGAATGATTGCGGCTGGGCTGTGATGATGGATATCCAACAACACAGCTCAAACCCCGCTGAGATAGAGGATCCCACAAGTGACAAGATAAGAGAGGCGAGACTAGCCACCTTTGGCACTTCATGGCCGCATGATGGGAAACGCGGCTGGGTGTGTCAGTCGGAAAAGGTATGATATCTTGCCGTAACTTTTCCCGGGCTCCATTTGACGACGGTTCTGTGCCAGATGGTCGACGGAGGGTGGTATTTTTGCCCTACTGAAGAGAGCAATGACCTAGCAAGCTGTGCATACTGCAAGTTGTCCCTCGATGGGTGGGAACCCAAGGACGATCCCTTGTGAGTGCTTATCGCTCCTTCCTTTTTAGCACAACTAACCCCTCCAGTGATGAACATTACCGTCGTTCCGCGGAATGCTCGTTCTTCGTCTTTGCTCAGCCCCCGGGTAAGAAAGGAAAAGGTCCACGTTCGAAAAAAGCACGTACCTCCAAGGCCTCTCGTCTTTCAACCCAATCAACTGCTTCGGAAGTAATCTCGGAAATTGAAGATCCCATGGACCAGAGTACTATCTCGCAGCCAGCTACCAAGACAAAAGCAACCAAAAAGTCATCCAAATCAAAGTCAAAGAATGTGAAGTCTAAAATGGAAGAGGCGGCGGAGACCGACAGCCAGATCGATATTGATACAGCCGACTATAGCCAGCCCGAGCCCCCCAAAACAAAACGAACCACTCGTGGAAAGAAGAGGACAAGCGACCAAGTAGAAAGGGAAGAAGTCAATGTAATTGGCACGGAGAATTTTGAGGAAGCCGAACCACCCACTAAAAAGCGGGCCATAAAGTCGCGAAACAGCACTCAACACGACGGCAATCAAAACGAAGAAGTCGTCGTGGACACACAGCCGGAAGAGAGCATCCCAGAAGACGAGCCCAAAACTGGTCGCGGAACCACGAAGAAGAAAGCATCCTCAAAGAGCCGGAAAGCCTCTAGCGGCTCATCCACGTCTAAAACCGCTTCAAAATCTCGCCTACCTAATGACGACGAGCTTGACGCAGCACTTGTGGCCAATCTAGAACAGCCTGAAACTGAAGAGCAAAGCCTGCCGGTTGTACAGAAGCCATCGAAAAAGTCTAAATCCAAGAAGAAGCAGAAGACAACGCCAGAGCCGCAGGAGGTGGTCGACCATGTCGAGGAGGAAGAGACCCAGACAGGCAAAGAATTGCCTGCAGAACCCGAAGAGTCTGGGCCTAGGCCAGCAGCCCAAGAGGATAAGCCGGGCCATGTCAACTCCACGCGCAACTCAAGGGGCTCGAACATCCGCGAGCCAGAGACGGACCTTGGCACAGAGAAAGCAACGAAGACACGGAAGCGGTCAGGAGCAGCCGAAACGTCAAAGGATGACATAGATGCTAGGGTTCACGAGTCGTTTGTTTCAGTGGAGATCCCAGCTAGAGTCCCTACTCCTGTAAAGCAGCCCAAAGGGGAACCCAACGACAAGGATCTCAAGAAGAAGACTAAGCAGAGGTCTTCCACGGAGAAGGCCAAGAAATCGAAGAAAACGAGCAAAGCAGAGGCTCTTGAGCGCGAAGAAACCCCTGCTCAGCAAGATATGGATCCCAAACACAGCCCCGAGGTCTCTTCAGCCGATCATGACCTTTCCGAGCAGAAGAGACCACAAGAGCCGCAAGAACAAGAGGCTGAGCAACCTTCCACACGGCGCAGATCATCAAGAGTGCCCCCAAAGACGGCGGAGAGATATAGCGATATCCCCGAGGAAAAACAGTTTGCTAGGACACTTGCAGGATCGCGGGGCTCAGATAACCATAGAATGTCAGACTCGGCTGACCAAGGCAATATGTCGCCTCTTCCTGCTTCGAAGAGCACACCGTCCCTTTCGCCGCAGTCTTCCGATGCTGAGAACCAGCCACCATCTCTGAAGCCCTCTGCAACGCGGACCCTGGTAGGGTCACCATCCAAACAACAGACAGTTCGAATTCCACTAGCGCCCAACACCCCTTCGCCGTCGAAGCGTAGTGCCAATGCCGGGGGCCTACACACGACCCACCCGTGGAACCCTATCGATATTGATGAGATTCTCCTTGCTGGAACCAGTGACAAAGAGAACGTTGATTTAAGTTCGGCACTGAAGGATGTGAAGGGCGATCTGACAAGCCCGGAGAAAAAGATGTCTGTTGAAGAATGGATCAAATGGCAAGCCAAGAATGGGGAGGAGAAATTGAGGCAAGAATGCGAGAGGCTAGTCGGGCAATTCGAGAGGGAGGGCGCCCGTGCAATGCGAGTACTGGAGGGAATTGAATGCATTGATTGATTTCGAATTTCGTTTATGGGATTTGGCTGGCTGGGAGGAGTCAAGGCATGGGATATGGGCGTTGGATATCCTTGTTTAATATTTTTTTTTTTTTTTTCTTCACGACTGGTACAACTATTATTTCCATGCAATTTCGCTAAATAACAGCGCGATATATAAACGTGTTTTCTTGATTTGAGATCCAATTGAAGGACCATAAAATGCCCAGACCGAAACCAGAACGCCGAGGGTATACTGCAACTTTTATCGACCATAAAGCACCCATCCGTGTACAAGCCAGCACGTCCCAAAACGAACCAAAAGAACCTATTCATGCGATGATTCCCAGCCGACCCTCCCAGCTGTCTTCTTCCTGCTTAATCCCGTCTCCACCTTTGCGCCGCTTCTCATTCCGCTTCCTCCTCTTCTCCTCTCGTTCCTTAGCCTCCTGCTCCTCCCTTTCTTGAAGCCTAGCCCCGAGGTCAAGCTGCCAAGCCCTCCGTTCCTCCTCCTCTCGCACCCGCTTCTGATGTGCAAGCAACCGTAACCGCTGCCGCACATCCTCAACAGTAGCCCTTGTCACTTCGCCACTCTGTCCCGTCGCGATCAAATGCTGCTTACTATTCAAATGCTCCACAAGCTGCAAGTTATCCTTGAAAGTAAGATCACAGTCCCCACAGTAGAAACCGGCTCCCCGGCCTCTCTTGCCCACCGCTGACCCAGCCGCCACAATCGTGGTCTTGCCCACCATCGACGCCACATCTAGTCGCTGTTTTCGGGATGTCGTGGCCTCCAAAGAGCTGTAGTCGACCGGCGCGTGCCATTTTTTGCCGAGTAGCTTGGCTTCATATCGTGCTTTGGATTCTTCTTTGCGTTTGCTTTCTTCGTCTGCGGCTTTTTTGGCGTATTCTTCTCTGTCCCAGGTTTTGCGGAAGGCGGTGTCTGATGTCGCTGCGGTGGGTTTGGACATTTTGTCTTTTAATTTTCTTCGTTCTTAGCTTTCGTAGTGGGTGTCTTGGGTGAGGGTGTAAGGGTGTGTTTTTTGGTGTATAGTGTTGCTATTGGGATGGGTTAGTTTTGATTGAGATCATGGATGGATTCAATGATGGATATGATATGGGAAATTGTCAAAGGCGGTAAGCGGTGAGAGATGCGTACCACGTGATATGCCTCATCTTGTTTTGGGGATAGCGTTTGTATGCCACAATCCAAATAGAGTTTAGGTACTATTTACTGTGTTAATGTATACGGAGTACCTACAACCTGCCATCTTGCAGCAAATATATAGAAGCGCAAACATTCAATTTTATCCCAGATATAACTGGTTCTCCTGTTACTATGCCCTGGATCATGATTACGAACCACCTCAAGCTCGTTTCTCCAGCTTTTTGCCGATCTGACTGAACTCATCCCGCCACTTACCAACCCTATCCTCGTGCTCGAATGGATCCTTATTGATCCATTCCAGGTCAATATGTATTTCCTTGGACAGGGTAATAGTTCCCTCAACTGGCTCTCCGAGGCCTTCCAATAACCCGGGACCAGCGGCCGATGCAGTCTTCGAATCGCCCCACACCTTGACCTTGTATTTCTTGTGGGGCTGGAAGAAGAAACATGCTGGCAGCTCACTTTTGGACGTTGGGAAGGGCTGCATGGAAGCTTCAGGAACCTCTGTCAACGCTAGAATAGCGCCTTCCTCGGCATGGCCCTGGTCGAGCGAAGAGGCTAGCTTATCATCCAATTTCACATTGCCGGCTGAGAATGTAGCATTGGGTGCTTGCAGGAGCATGTGTGAGATGTGCCATTGCTTCCCTGAGCCGTAGAGGTAGAACGGCATGTAATCTTGGGGATAATTTGCTTCTCTGTTGGCGGAGTTGAGAGGGCGGCTCTTGACCACACGCTTCAATGTCACGGGAGTGGAAGTGTGGACCGGACCACTATGGTGTTTGTTAGATGTCATACTGCAGGTAACTGCTAGAGGGGCATTGGACTCACCCATGGTGTGTATATATGGTCCCTTTGAAGCTCACAGGGTTGCCTCGCTCGCATTCACTCACCACCTGCTGGAGATCGATCTCTACGGATGATTTGAGGAAGATAGGATCTTCAGGATTGGACTCCCGGATCTCAGCATAGTCTGACTTTGCGTGGTCTTCAAGCTCCACGGCCAGAATGATTTGTTGTCGGTGCTTGCCCAAGTGGAATGATGGTTGATAAGCCAAGAAAATCTCGTCCGTTCCCTGCATCACAAATCGGTGGATGTCCGGGCCTCTTGCATTACGCTTGCGGCAGAGTCTGACTCCATCCTCAATTACTGAGCGGAAGTAGTCCACCATCGTACTAATAAAATCGTTGTCTGTGGGGAACGGGCTCATGACAACGTTTCTTAGTACAAAAAGCGGCCGATCACACTGTGGAAGACCGAGTCTTCTTTTAAACTCCTTGGCACACTTGCCATATAGCTCGTTGGTGAACTCAGTCGACGTCAAATAAAACGGGATCTTGGTGGGGTCCTGGTCTGGTGAACAGATAGAGAGGCGCTCAACGACATGTCTTGTGAGATAGTTGGCTTCTTCTATGTCAGTGTTCCAGGTTCTGTCCTTGTCATCATACCGCCAGTTAAGTGCAAAGGCGTTGATATTCAGGTCTGAACCGAGGCCTCGGAGAAGTGTCATGAGCTTTTCCTCCGTTGGTTTGCCTACATCGCTCTCAACAATTTCGCGATTACTTTTTGAGAGGATTTCCCGACGGATTCGTTCCTTTTCCTCTTCTATCGCCTGCTCGTTGAAGGGGTCCTTCCATTCTGAGGGGAGCTTGTGAAACGGAACGCACATGAAGTAGTCATCGTCTTTCGTGGTCATGGCGGCCCAGTGAGCTGAGAGCTGATAGTAATTAGCCTTATATGAATTACCGGATACTTGTAAAGGTAAGGACCTACCCTAGTACAAGTGAAGGATACTTCACTGAGCAGAGCACCGTATCCTTGGGGATTGAGCCCGATACACTTGTTGGAGAGCCAGGTTGACATGGCTGCAGCACCAGGTTTACTACTTGCTATCAGCTCCCTGAAGTTGCGAAATCACCGATATTGCGTGAACATACCTGCCCTCGACACCATAAATCCCCATTCCAGTCTCGGAGCCTTGAGAGAGCACCGGAGCGGTCCAAGTGACGAGATATCTCATTCTTCCATCGCGGTACACTAAGCTCCCACCGGGGTATGGGATATAACCTGCCTTATGCGGGTCTACAGTGATGGAATCCGCGTATTTCAGTGCGAGAAGGTCTTCTTGAGTTTCCAACTTCAAGCTCAGGTCTGGAACAAAGCCCTCTGCGCCACCATCAAAGCTATCCTCCGGGTTGCTCACGCTTGGTCCCCGTGGCATGTCATACAGGTTCCGTGGAAGCATTGTGGCAAAGTAGCCTCCCCACGCAGCGTCAGCATGGACGAGGAATGACAGCCCTTTTGACTGGAAGCGCTGACGCATGGCTAGAATGGCACTTAACCGATCAACAGCCCCTTCTTCAGTTGAGCCAATGATAGCTACAACAGCATAAACCGCCTGGCCCTCGTCAAGGCACTGCTGCAGGCGTTCTTGAAGCACGTGGAGGTTAATACGCGCAGCATCATCAACCTCAATGCCCTCAAACGCATCCGACCCAAGGCCAGTTATTGCTGTGGCTGTTAGTGACTGCTGCTATCAATAAAGTCGAGATATGGAGTAGCTCACCTCCGCCCTTGGGCCAAGAGTAGTGCCTGGTATTCGAAAGGAAATACTTGATTGGTCGCTTGACCGGGAAATCTCTCTCCAGAGCGTTTTTGCCCGTTGACTGTATGTTGAAATTCTGCAAGGCGGATTCCACAAACTTGGGTGAGATGCCGAACTGTTCATGCAATTCCTGTGGCAGATCTAGCACCGTCTTTGGTCTCAGATTGAGCAGTTCCCACGTCGACAGATCCGTAAACAGCTTCCTTTCACCTTTACAAGTGGTTACCATGAATCTGTCAGCCACGAAATTCAACGGTCCTCTCTTCTCCCGTCCATTCACAGCAACAGTCTCACTCATAGCTTTGCGAAGAGCCAACGGATAAAACTTCAGATTCCTAGCCACCCAAATGGACTCCAGGTTGGCCACAGTTCCACCAGAAGTGACATGGCCCCAGCCAGTGGGTACACCTTTCCTCGAAGGATCAATATTATACCCAAACAGATGGCACAGCTGCTCCCCGACCTCCATTTCCGCCACCGTGGTGAGAGGACTAGCCTCCAGCGCAACATTATTAGGGTTATAAACCATGGTCATGAAGTAACCCAGAAGCGCCGGCATGCTCAAGTCAGTGCACATGTGAGCCTGGTAACGAGGATTCCAGAACGGAATCGAGTGGGAGCCCATCAATTTGGCAGCCTTTTTCACGGCTTGCGCGAAGTTCCGTGTAATGCGCTGGAATTCTTCGGAGCTCTGGATGCTGGATGTGATGAAATTCTGCAGCTAATGAGCTTTGGCTTGGTGATCTTTGTCCGGAGAGGGATGTGGTACCTGGTCGCCTTTGAATTTGTATCTCTTGCGGGCATCTTCTAGCTCTCGCAGGATTGTGGATATGTTGTCCTTGAAGTACTTCATATTCTCGGCCTGAGGGCCTATGAAATAGGAGCTGATGGCTTGGTGAGTGAGGTCGCCGTGGTCAGACATTGTCAAAAGCTGCTATCGCGGATGACTAGAATCGATGGTAGAGGAGTTGGACTGGTATGGTGGATTCTTGGAGGACTAACCAGTACTTATATTGCGCGCGCTCTCAGCGAACTGGCTTTCTTTGCCTGGGATCATACGAAGTGGAGAAATCATAATCAGTGGCGCAAATTGCTTATTCCGAGGTCATATTATTAGAGTAGGGTTGCATTGAGCTTCGGGGTAGAGGCAAATGAACGGTTATAGCACGCAATTGAGTCTTACTAAGGAGTGGCAAGCAAGGATTTCCTTGATTTCCAAGTGGGCCTGACAATATGACAAGGGCTATACCAGGTTTAAGGAAGCTATTGTTGTTTTTTGGCTGTCAATACAAGGATTCATGCATCCTGCACATGCAGCGTTCAGCTCTTGGCAGTCTAAGAGCTCGTGTTTTCATCCGCAAGCAGATGTATCACATTCTGAACACCTATACTCGCAGAGACTCTGTAAACGACTCGACTCTGAAGCAGCTGTGGGATAATAGATCGAGGATGTCGTCGCAGGTAGCAGAGATCAAAGACTGGTCATATTGTGAGGCCTATTGAGAAAGCCATAAAGAGCCATTATATTCAACTTCTTTTTGCTTCTTTCAAGCTCACGATGAGTACAGCCTGTGCCGGGCTGTCCTCATTTGCGAACGTAGGTCGCTAACGTTATCTTCTGGGATAGGCTTGAATATCTCCTTGACTTGATTTGTTTCCAATTCCCATCATCCGCCGCTGGGGATGCAATAACCTTCGGGGTTGGGCCATCGTAGCCGGTCAGCATCAGCGGACATCTAAATCCACGCAGCAGTCTTTTATTGACGACGAGAGGAGTAGTGGCTACAGGATAATGTGGTTTGTAGACCTAGTGTTGAGTGGTGCTGGTGGATTAGTTTGCGCGTCATTGACTGAAAATGTCTCTGTCTACCCCCAATATTTATTCCTTTTTTAAGCAGTGAGATCTCAAGAATCCACAGTGAGGCAATTTCATGATGAGACCCAAGTTACTGTATCTGAGAGCGCTGCTTTAGTGGAAATGGAAGATGCGCAACTGGAAGAGGTTCTGAAAGAGGGTTCCTCTGCTATTAAGAGAAGAGAGAGAGCCTTCTACCTACGTTTTTAGCACTTGTCTGTGTGCGCACTGGCCGTTTTCGGAAGCATGATGGTATATCTTTTCAGAGATAGTATGCCTCAAGTTATCTCTAGTTGTTGACCAGGAGTTAAAACACTCTTTTCATTCGACCCTTAAGTCCTCAAGCAATTCATGCTGAGACTAATGATGGGTGGTGGGCAGTGTGAGGTTTACCGCGAACACAAGAGAGACCGTTAGCTAACGTGGTGTTTTCAGAGCGTACCCTGATGATACGTGCCTCCGGTAAATCGACAGGCGCGGGGAACTTTGGGGATCGATGGGGAGGATACGTTTGTTGTGACGGTCGTTTACATATGGGCTGCTGATTATTCTAGGCAGGTGGCTAGTGTTGATTGCGAGTTAAATTCATTGTGTCCAATTGCAACATCTTCATTTTGTGTTGAACTAGATTAGTTTTCTATCATAACGCTTCCTGCGAGCTACTTCGCTGCTCTCAGAGAAGCCCTCACAAGCAAAGGCTCCTTGAGGTCACTTATGCCCACACTAATTAATTCCGGAATCTTCCCACAGTATAGTCCATTACGGGCATCCGCACGCTCTTGCTCATTGGCTAGCTCAAACTTGAACTCTGCCAGTAACGTGCTCATCAACTTGTAGATGTTGGCTGTCGCAACGGTCTTCCCAATGCATTGGCGTCCGCCCAAGCCGAAATGCATCAGGTACCGCGCTTTAGCGGCGACGTCGTCTTTGTCCCACCGGTGGGGGTCAAATTGATTGTGGTCCTCGCCCCATACGCTTGGGTTATGGTGGAACGCATGGTTGCAGACAGCAACTGAAGTCTAGAATTCGATGGATGAGCTAACTAAGATTTTTTCAACCATGAAAATAGGTCACCTACCCCTTGTGGGAAATGATGTCCGGCAATCAGTACTCCCTCCGGAGCCATTACACGCCGCGCTAGAGGCATTGTGAAGACTGGTGTGACGCGGAAATTCTCACGCATGCAATTCCGGAGGAACGGCAACGAGGTCTCAACGTCGGCAATGGAGTATGCCGCTGTTCCTTCGTCTAGTCGAGGAAGATTGCAGTCAATTTCCTTAACCAATTCTTCTAAGAAGGCCGGATTATGGAGAAGATGATAGAACAATAACGACGTAGTGGCACCAGTCGTGTGCGTCCCGGCAATTCTGGAACTCGTGTCAGCAACGCATCGACACTCTTCGAGGCAGACTTACATGAACCCAAAAGCCTCAGTCTCGAGATCAGTTTGCGTGAGTCTCGCACCCGTATCGGGGTCTTTCGCTAGGATCAGGTTTGTGAGGATATCCTTTCTTTCAGTGACGTCGGCCATTGTATTACCACCATGCAGATGCTGGAGTCTGCGCTTGACACAACTTGATGCTAGGTCTGCACAGGTTTTGCGTCCACAAATCAATCGTTGGAGGCCATTGTGCGGCAGAATGGGCAGAATCCGCTTCAACGTCTTGGTCATTATAGGCCATGCACCAGTCACAGCAGCAAGGAGACTATGTTCCACCACCGGGGGAACCAGAGATTCGTCACTGGCTTCCTGGACGCCAAAGGTCTGGCTGAACGCCAGCTCACCCAAGGTATCAACTACGTAATGATGCAGAGCCTTCTTGAGATCGAACACATCCCCTTGGTGGTAATGGCGTCTGATTTTTTCTTTCAGAATCTGGATGTTCAAGTCAAAGTAGGGTTCCATTTCCTTGACGTAGCTCAACGAGAAGCTATGCGACATATGACGCCTTCTGATAGAGTGCATCTAAGCCATGTAATTAGCTCAGCGTAGTATCAGTAAGCAGCTGCCCAGGGCTCCCTACCGCTTCATTGCGCATGCCGAATACATTTGGCTCCGCCGCTCCATATGCGTCATAAAACTCGGTCTTCGGCATCAGTCTCGAGCCTTTCTGGTAAATGGCCTGGATAGCGCTCTCCTCAGTAATGCTGATTTTGTCCGGCCCATAGCGAACCACGGGACCGTATTTGACATGAAGCTCTGTCAGATGGTATGGTTGTTGCAAAGTCAGGAATTGATTAACTTGCCAGAGGTCTGTCAAGGACGCTAGGAAGGGTCCCGGGTACATAGAGAGGGGGTGGAGATAACGCCAGTAGATAATATATGTGCATATGAGAGCTACAGCCAAGCCCATGAGAACGGCAGTTGGGCTGGCATTGGCTATCTCAGAAACAATCGCCATAATGCAGACTAGGCTTTATGCGTACTAGGAAGGAAGCGCAGTTGTTGATAGAGGGGTGCGGTGGGTTGTATTTATGGTCCATCGCCTTTGCATCTGCCTGAAGTTTGAGGAGTCTAGCTTGTTCAGTGATCGTCTTTATGCATGCTTGATGGTGGATTGCGTGGCATACATCTCCTTGCTTCGAGGACGGGGCAACTAATTGGACCCGTGCGGACGTGCAGCCAGCAAGTAACCAAGAAGCGGGGACTATGTCATATCGTGGGGCCCCGTGGGGAAATCTGATTATCAACCGGGTTAGTATCTGTCCTAGGTACATCCTCGCATATAGCCTATGGTATAAATCCGCTGCTGCTCCAATTCCCCGGAAGTTCCTGCCGCAATATTGCGGGGTAGGGTTTAACGGAAATACTCCGAGTATCCTAGTATACCGGGTATCTTGCGAATGCTGTTCACGCCATATCGGTTTCAACATAAACATCTCAACCTTTGGACATCCGTCCAAGTTAGAGGACGAGGCTCCATGTTGCTAAGTATCATGGATCGTGGGTTTGGTTTAACCCTAAATGAACACTCACAGTCGCACCGGGTCCAGCTGATAACCTGTACCAGCTCACAGTATTTCGTAGCTCCACGAAACCAAAGGTTCATATAAAGAGTAACAACGTTGTTAGTCCCATAGGTGCAGAGCAAAAGTAGTCTTGCTGAAAGAAACTCGTCGTCGAAGTCATTGCTCTAGGCAAAGCAAGTAAAGGTTGGCATTATAAGTCCGTATCATGAATATGGTTTTTTCATCTTTTGGAGAGATTACCTTTAGAAGCTGTATGGCTGCTCCGGGATATCCTTCATCAACAAAGAGTTGTCTTGTTTGCTCTGAAAGTAACAATAAGTTGCAAAGGCACCGTAAAGCAATATGGCTTATATCTATTCCCGGACGATTAAAACTGTAGTAGCAGAGGATGGATAGAGAGCGATTTGTAGTGAGAGGGCTCAGATCGCCGCCACCGGCAATATAGCTCCTAAGCTGCTCGAGTAGCGTATCGAGACCTGAATATTGAGAACTGACAATCAGCTTTGATCACGGACAACGTATTGTGATGAGCTATCAAGTAAAATGAAGTCAGAACTTACCATTAAGCAAGATATTTGAATGATTGGAATTAGATTCAAGCTGGTTAAGAACCTCCTCGACGTCTCTCTTATCTCCTAAAAAATGTTAATATCCTTGAGAGTACCCCAACTGGTTCATGTCCTTCAGGCAATGGGAAATTTATGCATACTGAGGTTAGGAGGCGGAGGAACAGCCACCGGCTTGGTGCTTGATATAGCTTGCGATTCCATAGCAGTCGTGGCGATATGCTGAATCTGTTATAATTGTCATGGCTTCAGCCGGTTTGAGTGAATAGTTACAGTTTACTTCAAGCTACGTACTCCGTATGTGGCTTAGTGTTACTGGATGCCCCGGATTTAGAATTAGAAATCTAGCCATTTACGTACTAGCGTATCTAGAGAACAAGTGGGGAGCACATGACCAAGTCGAAGGCAGAGGCAATATGACAGATGTAAGGAGGATTGATTCATTGCTGACATTCCTGGATCTTACTTGGTATAAGATTTAGCTTGACTGGTTAGTATGGAAGCTTTAGGCCTCTATCGATCTTTTATATAGCGATGGCATTATCACGGCCTTCCCTGTCATGGACGGTAGCTCCTTACGCCACGATATATCCTAGCGAATGCGACGTTCAACAGGCTCTAATCGGCATATTTTCTTAGATATACTTTCAAGAACCATGATAGATATTACTCTGAATGCCCTAATTAGTCTTAAAAATAAATGTACCACATGTACATGGTCGATTGGATCATCAAGGTTTTTGTAAAGCCAAATCACTCCAGCAGCAAGGATCTACATCCCTGGGCACACCGTACCTGAATTTAAGAGTAAGACGTTCCTATTATTTCTACACTCAAGCACTCTACCTATCTTACTCAATCCAACCTAGCAAAATAAAAATCTTACTCTTCAACTCAAGAATGTTGTCATAGCTCGACTGTGGCAGTGCTGCGCCTCCGCCATGCTGGAGAGCCTCGTCTGACACATCGCCGCAACCCTTATCAACGATCACTGGATCCAAATCCTAAAACAATCCCCAGAAACTAGAGATAAAAAGCCTCGTATTCCCCGAAACCTCCACCACATACCTAACTATTAATATACCAGCCACCGTGGCCTGTTTCAACGCGTTAGGCAACCAACACCGTATCCATATACCGCGCAACGGAACCCTATTTAAACCGCGTATCCAACCATCACCCATCACAACATCAATATCAACATCTACATCTATATACCAACACAACCAACAATGGACGAAACCCCACCCCAGAAACAAATTCAATCCCTCACATCCCTCCCCACAGAACTCCACCTCCACATCTCATCCTACCTCCCCTACCCCGACGCCCTGGCCCTAAAACACACCTCGCGCCACTTCTACGCCCTCGTCTACACCGGTGTCCACCTCAAAGTCGACTGGTTCGTCGAGCGCTTCGAGCGCAAGCTCGAATGTCCCATGGAGAAGTGCTCCTTCCGCACCGACGAGGCGTTCTGTAACCTGCGCATCCGCCGCATCATGGAGCGCAGACGACGGCATCTGGAATGTCCGCGGCGCACCGGGGGGTGTTTGGTGGTCGGGGGCAGGACGTGTCAGGCGGATTTAGTGCCGGGTTGGCTGAAAGGGAAGGGGGGTGTTGGGGTGGTTCTGGTGTATGGGAATGAGGTTTTGGTTCTTGGGGGGTTCTTTTTGGTGGTTTATTTGTTGTGGGGGGTCGTTTTTGGGTGAGTTTTTCTTCTCTTTTTTCTTCCCTGGGTTGGGTGGAGGGCTGATTCTTGTAGGTGGTTTTCTGCGTGATTGTCTTTGGGATATGGTGTTGAGGTCGATGCTAGGCGTTGTGATCCTGATATACCGGGATGCCTGGCTACGTTTGGCTGCATTGATAACTTGAAGTGTTTATTTTCCTATCAGCGGCATAGCGATGCATACTATGAGGATACGGACTTGTGTTGATGATTTTTTTTTTGGGTTAATTATGACGATGACACATATATATACGAAACTAATGTATAATGATAATTCTCTCGGGGTCGATCTAGGTTCCCGGAGGAAGATAGACTATGACTCGGTGTATACAAATTGGAGTAGATTCATAATCACGATCCCGGAGTTCGGAATCTGGAATAATATTTTAGTTAAATCAGACTTAGTCTGCGTCATATTTAGGTCAAATGAAACATATAAAAGACAGTATGAGCAACAGTCTGATACATGTCTCTCCTCACCTTACATTACGCAGCTCGAGTACCTCGGGCATTGCATACATCTTCAGAAGATAACATACTGATCAATCGATCCTCCAAACTCCAGCATATCCAAGAAATCCAAATCATCATTTTCGATCATACACGTCCCCGAATCCGCCAATATATCTATTTCAGGCCCGGGGAGAGTTACCGCGACACGCGGCTCCAAAACCTCGTCGATGATGCTCGAGAATATTTTACTAGCGCGGTGAAAGAGCTCCTGATTCGCAGCGCCCGGCCGGGCCATCGACTCTAAATGCGAGATAAAAACGCTCAGATGGCGGATCGATTCAGATCGCGAGCCCTGGTAGGGGATTGGTCGACCGGTACGAGCTTGTTTCTGGAGCGCCTTTATCAGAACCGCAGCACTGGGGAAGCCGTACAGGAGGTTCTGAATCTGAGTTAGCTTCGTTTACAAAGTGTCTGAAAAGGGGATACAAACTGTCCACATGAAGTCTGGCCGAAGGTCAACCATATCTTCTCGCATGGCGCAGAAATCTAAAACGGTCGACAAGATGGTTGAGCTCACATCGAGTAAAGCAGAATAAGCCTCCGGGTCCTGCTGAACAAGGAGCCTTTGAATGAGGAAGTCGTTGTAAAGGTATGCGAGGTAGGATACAATAAGCATCATACGCGTCGTGTTGGATATGTTTTCATCCCGAGAATCTGTGCTGTAGTGCAACTGCTTCGGCATTGAATCCCATGTTTGATTACAACGCATAGAAATATCCCTGTTCGCCCCATGGCCGAATTCTATGAGCTTGGACTTATAAATGCGGATCTATGCAGTGACTCACCTCAGCTTTTCGGCTGTCCTACGATTTTGGGTCTCTAGTGAGACCTCTAGAATCTCTTCGCGGAACGTACTGACTAGGAATCGTTGCCGAAGAAAGGTAGATCGATGAAGGCTACCTTGAGTATTCCATCCATCACTGTCCAAGCGCTGCAAGGCTAATTCCATGTTCGACTGATCGGCCTCCAATGAGCTATCATGGAGATCAAGAGGCAGTCGACAGTCTGAATGTCTTAATGAGATTCGTGGTGGTCTGCCAAGGAACGTCGCAATGCTCTTGTCGAGTTGATATGCCGCTGCAAAGAGTCTTCGGCGAGTCTCGACAAGAAATACTGGAAGAGAGTTTGACTGTTGGGAGTCTCTGTGCAACCCCAGCTCGAATATATGGGTTGACAGGTCCCCGAGCCTGCGCCACTTTGCGGAGCCTATTACATGGTAAGCAACCATTCTCCAACCTTGCAGTTGCTTTCGGTATCGTGAGGCGATTTACTCACTAGTATCACCATCTGCCACCTTTGACAATAACAGAATTTCATACAGCATCCATATCGTTAGATCGTTGACTGGGGCAATGATCTGGCAAATCTGCAGCACCGCATCACTAGCCGCCAGCATCTTCCGAGAGAACCGTTCACGAGCTGCCATTCCATTCAGTCTGGGGAATCTATCGTGAGCCAGGCCGAAAATACTAAGTCGGCCAGCTATCGCATAGAGAACGCCCAAGATCTCCAGGCGTAAATTGGACCCTGTAAAAAGCTCATGGAAATGACTTCCTGTCGTAGTCGATGATATAGGGAGCATATGCTTTGTGTTTTGAAGAACCCGCGCGACTTGTTCTGGTGGGCTTTTATGCAGCTGGGCTTCCTCAATCGTAACCTGTATTGAAGGTAGTGCGTTAAGAACGAGAGATGGTATGACAGCCGCCTTGCTTAGTCCGTAGTATTCACAGACTAGTTGTTTAATGGTTGGAAAATCCTGCAAGCATCGTAGTATTTCTGCTGTCCGCTGGATCCAGTACAAGGGCAATTCCGATGGGAATGCGGTTCCTGCGTCGTCCTGTAACTGTCGATCACTGGGACTAGAAACAAGCTCGTGGTCCTCTTCCAATGCCGCGACAAAGCTGGTCGGACCTAAGTAGCCAGTGGGCAAGGAGCGAGAAGTGATCAGCATATTCAGCCCATCGTCCTCGGTATTCGAAAATGTCGAAATCGGCGTGGACGCTGGTCCGGCACGCAACGGCCTAGAACCAGAGTCATCTTGCTCCGAAGTTGAAGGAGGGAGAGAATGCGTGCGCCCAGCGCCAGATAAGATGTCTTTTACAGTGATGTTCTTTGATCTCTGCGTCAACGGTGCTGGGTGATAGAAGCAGCTGGCCGTCCGGCGTTTCTTCTGACAACGAGAACAGACCGGGAGGCGATGATCACAACGGACTTTTTCCTTGCGGCAGGGTTCGCAGGACGCGGGTTTTCCATTGCGACGACGGGAGTTCATCTCTAACTAATTATTCTCATGGCTTGGAGCTACTTCTAACATAGTAGTTGAATAAAGGAAAGAAAGAAGGGGCGGGGGCTGACATGATACTTTAGGGCTATTCTTGGGTTCGGAATTCATTCATCGGCATTCGGAGTTTATCCAGATAACCTCGCTCTTCAGGGCGTTATATTAGACCAATAGCCTAGTATATTTCCGGATGAAAGGTGAGAAAATGAAACAGATAGAAGAGGAACAAGTTCGATTTCCTAGAAATGGCAAATAGGCAGACGAGATCTTTCATAGTAGGGAATTCCATAGGAAGAATTTTTGATATTCTGAAAGGTATGTATAACAAGGTACCAGCAAAACTTACTAATCCAATGGGCCTCTGGCGCAACGGTAGCGCGTTGTAAGTTCCCACTTAATCAAGCTAAGTCTTGAGAATTTATTCTAACATCATCACAGCGACTCCAGATCGAAAGGTTATCCGTTCAAATCGGGTGGGGCTCACACCACATTTTTTTTGATGATTTTTCAATCATCATACATACCTTGTAGTTAGAATCGTCGATTCTATTAGCCAAAATTGTTGTTTTACTTCAATGGTTTCTGAACTTAATAGAATACCAGCAACATGAAAATCATCCTCTTAGTTTTCATTCGCACACTGGCGTTAACGGTACCATGTTACTTTGCATCGAAAAAGGGCAACTGAGCAACATAGAAGGACAAACAAGAAATATGAAGGCTGCAACCATATGGCGAAGCTTGGGATTAAGATAGGGTTTGGAGAGATATTGGGCATGCCAATGGAAACGTGAGTAATCAACCCTAATTGGAGAGGTTCCTACTAAACACTGACTATAGTGTTAAAGAAAAGTAAGATGGCCTCCTGTGCTCGACATAATGAGACTAGGAGTTGTACTTCTAGGTAAAAGACAACGGCATTGTCCTAATCTGCCATAGAGTGTGGTTCTTACAATTGAGTAAAGTACAGCTTGTCGAGTAGACAACAACATTCAAATAGGGTATCCAAGATTAGCATGAATTAGTGCATTTTGCATAGTATAACTAGCAATTCTCAACTTAGAATATACTATAACAGGGTTAGAGGCGTTATCGGGTGGACTAGAAACTATGTGTTTCCCTCGATAAATCGTTTCCCAGAGGGTTGTCTCATAAATCAAGGGCTAATTCTTCTGGACTCATGTATTATTATGCTATACTAACTCAATATTTTCAAACATCCTGCACAACATAAATATAAGTGACTGACAAAACGGGATGCACCGACGAACAAGGAACGACAGAACATGTAAGAAACCAAATCAGTCACGACACACCCAGAAAAAAGCGCCTAGTAAAACAGGTGCGATATCTCTCGGCTATAATGTCTTGTTTAGAACCCACAAGCCCCGTAAGCGAACCAGTACTTTTGTCAGAAGAAGGTGAGGTTGTTCATCCCTGTCCTATATCCTTGCACCGGTCCACACTCGGACCAGTGGCAAGCGCCATTTATTAATGCAACCCTACTAGTACTGGTAGTTTCTCTGCAGAGCAGCTGCACCTAGCGCCTTAAGAGTCTCAGATATTGTTGCACTGCAGTCAGCTGGAGACTTGTCGCCAGAGGTCGTTGCCCCTCTTGGACTTTTTTTTTTCCTTATAAGGAACTTAGTTTGCTTTGGATGCTCCCATGCTTTCTCTTAATCTTCTGTATTTGCTGTGTAGACGCAATAGCAGGATATGTCTTCTATAATTCTTGGCCTCGCCAGCGGCATCATATGTCTTTATTTTCTGAGATCTTTCTTAGCTAAAAAGAAGGCGCTTGGGCCACTCCCTCCTGGTCCCCGGCCGAAACCGATTATTGGGAATCTATGGGATCTTCCATCGCAGGGCACTCGGGACTGGTTGCACTGGTTAAAACACAAAGATCTCTATGGTATTTACTCTCAGCGTCGGCATGTTGCAAAGATCCAAAAACTAAGAAAGAACCCTCAAAAGGCCCAATTAGCTCCGTCACCACCTTCGGTCAAACAATCATCGTCCTAAACGAAGCGCGTCTGGCATATGAACTCTTGGAGAAGCGGTCTGCCATACACTCGTCTCGACCACCATGCACCTTTGCCCGCATGTAAGCAGCATTCTTCCACTATGCACAAGTTACGTGGCTGATAAAGAAGGGCCGGCTTCGGTGACATCATGACCGTTCTCGAGTACTCTGACCGATTTCGTACCTCACGTAAAGTGGCACACCAGCAGATCGGCTCCAATAGAGCTGTCTCCCGGTTCAATCACATCCAGGATGCGGAGGTTTGTCGGTATCTTTTGAGGCTGCTTCGGGATCCCGAAAAATGGGTCGATCATCTCAGGAAGTAGGTCTCTTTCCAAGTCAGAGGGATGGCAAAATAACTTGTCGTCAGGGAGACGGGTGCGGTTATATTGAAAATCACTTACGGATACACTGTTGAACCCCATGCGCGTGACCCTCTGGTTGATCTTGCGGACGACGCCGTTGGGAAGTTTTCTTTGGCAATGGTTCCGGGGACTTGGCTGGTGGATTCTATTCCTATTCGTGAGTCTTGTTTACAATATGGCTGCACAGTGGGAAGCTAACATGGTATGTTCGTAGTGAGATACTTCCCTTCCTGGGCACCAGGCGGAGGCTGCACACGAGTAGCAGAGAGTTTTCGAGGGGCTGCCAATGATCTAGTTGAGATCCCGTATGCGTTCACAAAGCAGCAAATGGCCCGAGGTTGCAATGAGCCGTCCATCATTTCGTACTATCTAGAAGGAGAGAATATCCAGCCGGGCTCGGAAGAGGAGCATCTTGTGAAGTGGGCTAGTGGCACTCTTTACGGTGGCGGATCAGATACAGTAAGTAACGAATGGCCACCAACTGTTGTAGATACCTTGAGATTCTAATAAGCATATAGACAGTCTCCACGATGATGTGTTTCTTCCTGACAATGGCCTTGTATCCGCATGTACAGCGCAAAGCACAAGAGGAAATCGACCGGGTCGTCGGAACATCACGTCTTCCCGGGTTCGAAGACCGCGAGAACCTTCCATACATCGACGCTGTCCTTAAGGAGGCCCTCCGTTGGCATCCCATTGCTCCCATGGGTGTCGCCCACATGTCTACCGAAGATGATATGCTTGAGGGATATCATATCCCGAAGGGGGCAATTATATTGGCCAATATATGGTGTGTTAGATTTCGTATTTGTTCTTTCTTTTCCTTACTAAACTCCACTGTAGGGGATTCGCCCACGACCCCAACGAATACCACGACCCAATGACCTTCAAGCCTGAGCGTTTCCTGAGTGACAACGGCCACACGCCTGAGCATGACCCCCATTTCATCTCCTTCGGGTTTGGGCGTCGAGTCTGTCCCGGACGAAACCTAGCAGACTCAAATCTATGGCTTACTATCGCTCGCACTTTGGCTGCCTTCAACATCGCCAAGCCCATTCGCAACGGCAAGGAGGTGGATATCCAGCCAGAGTTCAAGCCCATGCTCATCAGTCATCCTGATCCATTTGATGTCGACATTAAGCCTCGTAGTGCAGGTCATGAGGAGCTGATTCGGGCTGGTGAGAAGCAGTATCCTTGGGAGGAGAGCCATGCGGAGGAATTGCGGAGGGCAATTGCCGTATCGTAGAGATATAGATTTGTTTCTCTGCATCTCTCTGTCTTGGTCTCTGTCAATCTCCAATCATTTTTCTTTGCCTTCCTTATCAGCTGTTTGTCAGTGTTTTCTGCTGTGTTGAATGGCTTAATGTTGACTAGACATCCTAGAAGATGGGAGTAACTTTAGTTCATGGAACAGTCATGTTGCTGAATTCCGAGCTCCGGGTCTATTCCGAACATGCTGATATTTCCCCCCAAGCTGCAATCGCCTCGCTTTTTCTTCTTCTTCAATCTCAATCGAGGACTAAATTCAGTTCATGTTGAGCCCTCCATGTTGAACAACACCTGGGCACAAAGCATCTCCCAAGTCTTGGGCTGGGCCTATTTCGTCCTGTGGTCCCTGTCCTTCTACCCGCAAGTCCTGCATAACCACCGTCGCCGCTCGACGGAGGGCTTCTCCGTCGACTTTGCCCTGCTCAACCTCCTTGGATTAACCGCATACACCATTTTCAACGCCTGTCTCCTCTTTTCGCCGGTCGTGCGCGCCCAGTATGCTCAGCGACATCCCCAGGGCCCCGAACCAACCGTCCGATGGAACGATTTCATATACGCTCTCCACGGATCCCTGATCTGCTGCTGGATCAGCAGCCACTTCCTCTGCACACAGTTCTGGAACTTCAAGTCCAAGTCACAGCGTGTAAGTGTCTCGACTCTCGTAACTATCTGGGGCTGCGTGGGGGTAGTCACCCTAGCCATTCTGTGGGCCCTAGTTTCAGCGTCTTGGGAATGGATTGACGTGGTGAGACAGCGCACCCCGACTAACGAATCCACTAAACCGCTAACTGAGATATTTCGCATGGAGGTCTACATGGTTGGCATGATCAAGGTGTTCCTAACGGCCGTCAAATACACACCCCAGGTGGTGATGAATTACTGGCGACAGTCGACGGCCGGGTTTTCCATCGGAGCGATCCTGCTGGATCTGGCGGGCGCGGCGTTGTCGCTGATGCAGCTGGTGCTGGACTCCTCGTTGCAGGCGGACTGGTCAGGCACTGTCGGTAATGGAGCCAAACTCCTGCTGGGTAATATAACTGTTCTATTCGATATCATCTTTATCTTTCAGCACTTTGTGCTGTATCGCGAGCGGCCGCTGAGGGGGAAGCAAGGGTTATCGGAGCACGATCCTCTCTTGGATAGTGGGAACGACTCAGTCATTATTTCAACATAGATAAACGTGAAGTGATATACAGAGTAGGTTCGAGATGATCTTTCTCCCTGATGCAGGATATATGTCGAAGACGAAAGCTAGTACATTGAGAAGCCTAATCTATACAGTACATACCAGGTCGCATCTATTCAAGCATTGTGGTCCATTTGAAAGTTGAAACGGCCAATTAGTTATGCTAGGTATCTGAGCACCCTCTTGGAGTATCTCCGAGCAGACGACTCGCCTGTTGGGGAGTCCGAGTTGGATTCGCTCGTCGTACCTCCCGTGGTGACATCTTCTATATCGAATGCATAGCAAGACATTCTTCGGCTGTTCAACTTTCAGACATGTGGAAGGCTAGTGACAACATCTGATACAAGATAGAAGCTTAAGATTTTTCTCGATTGTGGGTAGTAGTAAAATTAAGAGTCTCTTGTACTACTTCTCTACGTACTTTGTATCAGAGACCACCACCCTAACCCTAAAAAGGCCTAGTCGCTACCCGTCACCCTAACCCGAATCCAGGCTAGCCCCGAACCCCAAAGATGATGACATAGAATAGGTACCTACATTCCAAAGGTACTTTTACTTCTACTACTCCACCACAATCAATCTCCATACAACCAAACCAACATCTCAATCTCACACCAGCCAAAACCACACCCCACCACTCACCCCTCCCCCAAAACCACCAGAATACAAGGAAAAAAAAGAAAGAAAGAACAGAAATGCCCCCCACCCCCCAAACAGTCCGTCTCCCCCTCCAAACCCCACCTCACCCCAAACCAAACCAAAACTAACCCAAGAACCCAACAATAGACAAAACTAACCTCAACGCTCCACCTCCTCATCCCGCGACTGCGGCTCCTCCAAAAGAAATCCACCGCCAGCTCCGTCATCCAACGCCGCGAACTCTCGCAGCTGCTCGCCGAGAACAAGGACGCGAGCGCCCGCATCCGCGTCGAAAATGTCATCGCCACCGACATCGCCGTCGAGGTCATGGAGATGGTGGAGCTGTACTGCGAGCTGATCCTGGCGCGGGCGAACGTGCTGGACCAGAATGCGTTCAGCGAGAAGGGCGTGGAGGCCCGGAATCGGGCGAAGGAGGCGTGGGTGGAGATGAAGCGGAAAGAGCAGGGTTTGGGAGCTGGTTCGGGGTCTACGCCTGATGCTGCGGGTGCGAAGAAATCGGGGTTCGGGTTCGGGGCGCTTTTCGGTGGGGGGTCGAAGAAGGAGGAGGATACAGTGTCTGCGGCGTCGACTGCGGGGCTTCAGAATGCCGGGGATGCGGCGTATATTGATGCAGCGCTCGATGAGGCCGCGGCGGCGATCTTCTATGCATATCCGCGGTTTCCGTCGGACGTGAGGGAGTTGACCATTCTGAGGGGGTTGTTGGCGGATCGGTATGGGAAGGAGTTTATGACGCTGGCGCAGGATGATCGGTTTCCGGAGGCGGATGGGTTGAGGGTGCCGGAGAGGTTGGTGAAGGGGTTGCGGGTGCGGCCTCCGTCGCAGGAGTTGGTGGAGAGTTATTTGAAGGAGATTGCGAGGGCGTATGGGGTTTCGTGGGGAGGGGATGCGGAGGAGCTGGGGGACGCGCCGACGGAGTTTGTGGATGATGATGACGATGCTACTGCTGGGGGTGATTTGCCGGTGACGCCGCGGAAAGAGGGCCGACCAGCTGATGCAGAACGGAGGATGTCTGAGACGGCGGAGTTGAATCGTGCGACGCCGCCCAAGGGCTTGCAGTCTGGAAAGAGTCCGGTCAGTGTTGCGCCGCCGGGACCCCGGTCCGATAACCCGAATCCGCGCGTGAAGGTTCCGGATGGGAATGGGAAGGGGGAGGCCGAGGTGCAACCCAGGAGTCCCTCGAAGACGAGCAAAGGAGGGATACCGGAGCTGGACGAGTTGACCAGACGCTTTGCGGCGCTGAAGAGGTAGTCTCCTCGTTCCATTTTCTTTTTTTATCCCTTCTATCTTCCTGCCTGCTCTATATGCTTATGATAATGATATCCTGAACGCACTGTCATGAGAGATTCTATGTATTATGTATCACGATCTATCGAACCACTCCCGCGATTTTCTTTTTGTCATCATGCATCAGAGAAGCAAGCGAGCCTATGTCACAGAATAGAAACGAAAAGGTATCCGAGCAATGAAAGCACCACTTTGAACCGGCCGGCGCAGTGGTAAAGAAAACAAGAGAAACAACCGGGCACCAACTATGCATGTGTCCCCATATGTACAGTAAGCAGAGACAATGATGAAGCCAATATGTGACGAGACAAGATATAAGCCTAAGAAAGCCAAGGAAACCTGAATGCAAATGCGAGGAAAGAATAAATAAATCGGATCAGTGACGATCACGGAAATCGTCCTCCTCTCCGGGGAGGATGATCTCGTGGCCGGATCCCTCGTAGACGAAGATAGCAGCCACGCATCCAAAAACGGACACCAGGGCGATCAGCCACCAGGCAAACCCGACCATCCCGATCTCCAGGCCGTATCCGTACCATGACCCGGAAAAGATGGGACCAATAGTCCGGAAGGCGGAGGACACCGACTGGCCAATCCCGTGGATGGTGCCCAGCACCGAGGGATGTGGCGAGCAGTTGTTCAGCAAGATGATCGAGGTCGGCAGCGTAAAAGTACGGGCCGTGACTTGCAGGAAAAGGACAACAATGATAGAAAACCAAACCCACGCTCCGTTGGCCTGTCCCGGGGGTGGTGCGCTGGACGGGGCAAGTGCGATATACGGAGCAAAGGCATAAGCCAGGGGGAACAAAGTCAAGAAGTACTGGTAACTCTTGGCCGTTCCCAAGCGGCTGTTGATTGCGGGATACACGGTGAACTGGAGGAGCATGCCGATGACACCCAGAATAGCCGTGGCGAATCCGACGCTCTGAGGCAACATGCCCAGTCCGCCGGTAAAGATGAATGGCAGCCTCTGAGCAGGGGCGGCAGGGTCGTTGGAATCATAACGAGGAGATGACAGGAAGAGCAGCCAGAGGTTGTTGAATGCGCTGCATTGGTCAGCAGATGTACGAAGTGAACGCAATATGATTGAACCTACCCCATCTGGAAATCGAAGAAGGCCTGCGCCAAAAGTGTACACAACACGTTCTTCGTCCAAAGTCTGCGGAACGGCAGCGAGCGCTTGTGGCGCAGCGGCTTGGCCGCCTTCTCCTCCAGTTCGTAGCTCTCGGTAGGGTCGCGGTGGTGGCTCAACAGAGGACCATCCTCGTCGTAATCGGCAAAAGGCAGACGCTGGTACAACGGTGACGAAGAGGGAACGACGGCACGGATCCCGCGGGCGAAGATCCTGGCGGTAAAAACACCCAAGCCCGGTTTGCCCTTGCAAGCTTCTAAAGTCTGATCCGAATGTTAGCGCAGTTCATTGCCCGTAGAATGATTAGCCTCACCTCCTCCAAGCCCATGCCAACACAGAATGCAGCAAAAGAGAGGAAAATAGCATTGGCCAACATTGGCAATGCATAAGGATAGCGCACAAGCCATTGTACACCATCCGCCCCGCCAAAAGAAGAGTTGGGGCCAAACAACGTTGGATAGCTGCGCACTGGATCGGCGAGCATACCACCCATGACTGAACCCATTAGTTGCTACTCATACACACCAAACACGGGCCAAACTCACCAGGTCCGAACAAAGAAGCAATGTTAAATCCAATTGGTAGAATCAGGAACGCCCGAGAATGGTATTTCTTCTCCTTGACGTTCTCCGCAATCATGGTCCGAATAATACCGACTGTACCGTTAATGGCACCGCCGAATGAACGCCAGAACACGGCCTGCGCGAACGACGTAGCAAAAGCGACCCCCAGACACGATACTGCCGTACCCAAAAGACCAACTAGAAGGACAAACTTCCGTCCACCCCATTCGGCATCAGCTACTCGACCCCAGGGAATCGCCGTGGCGAACTGGGCCGCGGTAAAGGCACCCTGGAGGATACCGGCCTGGGTGGACACATCTGCGTCGGAGAGGCTCTCATCAAAGGATTTGAGCTGGTAGAACATGTAAGCCTGCAACGAGGCAATTTGCAAAAAGTCAAATACACGACACAGCCCTAACAAGGCCAATTGCTTCTTCCGCGGCAGGGTCATCCAAGTGACCGGCCCTGGGCGCGGCGGCGGGTGAGCGGAGAACTGCTGCGGTTGCATGAAGGAGACCTGGGCGTGGCTCTGTGAACGGTTGCGGGCATGGCCGGATTGCTCGAACGAGGTGTTTCTCAGAGCCATATTCTCGTCGGCGTCGTCGCCGTATCGGTCTGATGAGCCCTCGGAAAGGTCGGCGAGGGAGATATTCGACTCACCACGACGACGCTGCTGTGAAGAAAAATCTAGCGGAGAGGGTTCGCCTCCGTCGTGACCGGATGTCCAGGAAGTAGCCCGGGTGTGATGGGCATTCCGGTTTTTGGTGTTCGAGTGCGACGAGGTACGTTGGTGTGTCGGCGTCAGCGCGGGGGTGGGCACGGGGGAGGTGCTGGACGTTGAGATAGATCTCAGGCGACTACTTTGTTGTAGCTCAAGCTTTGGCACAGGCATCGAGGGCTATGATAGGGTGCCAAGTGTCGGAGCCTACGTCAAGGAGTGAGACCGTGGGATTTGAGAAGAGGGGCCCAAAATAGTAGTTTCGGTAGTATAATATCGATGTGAAGATAAGCCGGACTATGCCCGCGCATGCGTGTCTATCTTGCTTGATTGACGGAGATGAACACCTGCAACTAAGCCGAAAAGTAAAACCAAATCCAATCAAAAGAAATGACAACAAATTAACCATCCCATAAAAGAGTGAATGGGAAAGAGGAAGAGAAGTCGCACGATAAGGGAAAACGGAAAACGGCAAAAAAAGAAAAAAGACTGAGGTTGGCGATGTCGTAAAGGAGAAAGATTGAAATCCAATACCATTCGTTACTATACTTTACTGTACGCTGTCGATCGACAACCGCATGGAGATTGCGACGCTCGTCTCCACTGCTTGGCTGATGGATATTGATGGGGTTCGGACTTTGCATTATTTATTTATGTACTTATTTTTTGAATTTTTAATTCTTTTATTTTTTATTTTAATTTTTTAAAATTTTCTGTTCCTCCCCCAATTTCTTCTCCTTAATTAATCTATAACTCGTTTCAATCACGCTTCCTTCCGACCAGTAGCCGAAATGCATCCACGGTTCCCATTCGTACTTGGAACTCCTCATGAGACGCAACATGTTTTCAGAGCTGACATGATCGGACTACCAAAGCATACGTATTTCCTACCCTCAGCACAGGAACGACTACGACATGGCATACATCATCCACGACGTAGGCAGTAGTGAACCTTTTCTTTTTTTTTTTTTTTTTTTTTATTTATTTATTTTTGGCTTTCTGCAGGTTCCAGTATATCCGAATGAGCCACATTCTGTGTCCAGTCAGCGGAAATCTCCATCCGGAGCGGCGTAAACAACGAACTTAAAAAAGAAGAAGTGGTTCGGCCCTGTGTTTTGTCACCCGGTGACGCACGTATGTAATCTATCCCTGTACCGTATTGTTATCTGTGCACCGGGAATCCGAGTGTCGGTACAGAGTATACTTCAGTGTTTTCTCCTCACGATCATCAAAGCACGCGATACATGGATGATATTGGGGTATACTACATTCAACACTAAGTTACAAATTAAGAATACAAGTAATGTAGGGTATCAAGCTACGAAGGCCTACTCCGAGGGCATATCTCCGTTCCTTCTCGAACCCGGCTCCGTCAAGGGGAAGTAGCGAGGCCCGTCGGATGCTCCGGCCCATCGCCGCCAATGCCACCACGGCATGTCGCTCATCTGTTTAGGCTCGTCGATGGAATCGTCCAATGGCTCTAATGATCGGCGCTCTTTCACCGCGTAGTTATCAGGTCGTCGCAGTCGGCACTTTCGAACCACCATGTAAACCCCGATCGCGGCCACACCAACCGCCAAGATAGGGACAAACCATCCGCGCTCTGGGAACATCTCCGTGGTTAGTTTCCAGCTCTTTAAATTGCCATTCTGGAGTAAGGAAAGCTCACCGTATGCAGTCTTCAAAGTATCCTTGGCATCATCCAGTGGTTGTGACCCGGGCTCTGAAGACTCACCCCAGTCGTAATGGGCTTCCGGGTGCTCTGGGTCAACCCACGGCACAGTAACAAGGCCCAGCGGAGGGATGAATGCACCGGCTCCCTCTTCGCCAGGAAGCCCATACGCCGGAGCATTCTCGCACATATTGTCCGCGCAGTATTGTTGCAGTTCTCCGGAAGGTGTAAAAGTAAACTTATGCCGCGACTTGCCCAACACCTTGCCCTCGAGATCTACAGCCTCCGCGTACGTCCATGGGTAGTAGTGCGGAAACGTATAACTCGTCTCGAAGCCCTTCTTCGTCACTTGGTTTAACAATGCATACGGGCCTGTCATGTTCATGGCACCGTAGAACCGCCAATACCTCACTCGTGTTGCACCATTCCAACTTACGTACAAGGTCAATGAGGAGAAGGGCTCGGTCGATCGAGAATATGTCCACAGAGCAGGCACGTCCGTCGGCATCCCGTCCCACTGGAACTTTTGAGCGCGATAGTTCATGATTCTGTCCTTATCAATGTATCCCCACAGCACCAGGTTGCCGTTCTGGTCGTGTTCGGAGACGTACGCATTGTTCCCCCATCCCATGAACACATGGTGATTAGGCAGGACCTGCATGTTGCCCTGACTCGAGCTAAGCATGTCCATGTTCAAAGGGGCATAATCGCGCACCTGAGTGGCCGTCTTAGCCACATGGTCGATCAAAATGATCATACCGGAGGAATATTCGTGTGTTTGGTTGAACCCATTGTAGCCGTTGTTATACAAGGATAGTAAGGTGTGGGTACCGTTTTCGTTCAGGAATCGTGCATCGTGCTGCTGAGAGAAACTAAAGTTGATATTCGTGAAGGACGGGTTGGCGCCATGTAACTGCCAGATCACCGTGCCATTTTGGCCGGAGATTTTGTAGATCGCGCACGTGTGTCGCGACGAGATCAGGTAATCACCATCCTGGTTTTTATCGATGGAATTGATGTGGAAATAATCCCACGGGGAGCGCGGGTCCAGCCCGGTTCCCGACGTGTCAGTGTGGCCAGGATAGGTGTAGCTAGCTGTAGGGTCAACATGGTCAAGCGACTTCCACTCAAACAGCACCTCGTTCGTTTCCACGTCCACTTCCTGGAAAACGCTCTCCATCAACCACCCCATACCAGTCTTGACATTCCATAAGCTCATATCGAACTGTCGCTGTTGATATACAGTCAACAGCGCAGTTTTGCCGTCGTTAATGGGTAGAAACTCGTGCATATCGCTCGACGCCATTCCACCCCCAGGGAGGACCGTCTTCACGGTACGATATTGATTGTTCATGATGACGCCATGGCCCCGGCAATATCCATTCTGTTGAACACCTTGGAAGAAGCAAAGATGGTCTTCCCCTTTGTATTTGCACACATGCATGCCGTGCGCGTTGCCGGGACCGGAACTTCCCCAGCCGCTCCATACTAGATTCTGCGACGGTGTCAGGGAAAGCAGCTCGATGGACAGGGTGATATGACTTACGCCGTCATTATCATAAATATAAGGACCTGAGTTAGCCGCCTCATACGGCCCAACAAAAATATATCCTGGAGTAACTTTGTCGGGGCTGCTGCGTTCTATGGTGAGGACGGGGGGGTATAGGTCAGGTCTCTAGAATGCGACCGAACGAATTAGCTAATTCTAAGGATAGCCCCATGAAGCCCTTCATGCACAAGCTGTCTTTTTGTTAACTTACCGATCGAAATACTGAGTCGATTTCTGCGACGACCCCCGGCAGACAGCATAGCAACCAGACCAAAAGAGAGCCCATTATGCGGACGGAAGACCAAGGCGCAGTGGAAGGGGTGTTGCATGAAGAGAGGATCCGCCGGATCGTAACTCAAAAAGCTGACCCAGTCAGGAGTGTTTCCAATTGGCATCCACTTTGCCCAAGTGGACCTGGACCTTCGGGTTCATGCGATTCATTGTTCTTTGGGCCAGACGTGAAGCATGCGCCAGCTTTAATTGGTGAGTGGCCAGCAGTTGGCTCACATACCCATTCGACAGGTGCAGTCCCGAGTCCCGACTCTGCCAGTCCGTGCGTCTTATGTTAGTTGCTCCTTTGTGGATGTTATATTAGCATCGTTTCGTCCATTGCGCGCAGTCTCTTTAGTGGCCCCCGAAGTTGGCCATGGCATGATGTTCCGACCCTCATCATACAAACAAAGAGTCGGTTTCTATCTCCGGATACTTCAATCAATCCGAAAGGTTTTCAAACAGGGTTCCCAATGCCTAGATCTTCGCCTTCATAGAATGAACTCATCCCGGACTATCAATAGATGCTGACGAGGTCGGTAATTAGTCCATCTCACTGACTGCAGCTCTTCTGCGTCCCTCAAGCAAGTCAACGTCATCCATTTGGTGTCTCATAACGCACGCAGAGAATAGTGGCCTCTTAGTCTCCCTCAGGTGCAAACTCAAACTGGGGTTTGTCACCGCGTGAGAGAGAGAAAAGGATAAAATCAGATAATAGCCGGTGCAAAGAATACGTAGTCCTCTACGTAAGGTCCGGTCGTAGGTCAAGGTGGGTGATATGTCGAAGCCATCCTAAGCCAGATCAGTGCTAGAACATGTTAGTACGGAGGAAATACACTGCCGTGCAGTCGGTAATAGATTACTCCCTGTACGAACCCGTTCCAGTAATCCCCACCGCGAAACAGTTTTTTTTTTTTCTTCTAAACGCCGACACTAGGCCCCTATCAGCTAGTCCAACCGTAAAACCTAGTTTGAAGTAATGCTGAGGAGCGACGAACAAATGAAATTCGAATGCACTCCCTCCGACTGTGGCTTTCTCCCTACGCGCCGCGGGCTTGACTCTTGAGCAGGAGCTCCAGCGCCACGTCACGGCCAGACCTGGGGAGTGGGGTGAGTATCCACTGGCAAGGTCTGGCTGTGGCATCGCTTCGGTGGCATGCAAGTTACGCACAACATACAGGTTCCAGGGGTCACGCAACTTACATCTATAATTATCCATGTTGTCAAAAATGGCGGTTTCCAGGAGACGAAGATGTACAGTTATGCTGATTTTGGGTTGTGATCTGTATCAAAACTGCCTTGTAGTCCGCCATCCATCCATCCATCCATCCAGAGTCGATACACACTAGTCTATACGATAACATGTAACAGACGGTCGGACAAGTTCTTGGATTATGAGATGGGTCGTTTGCCCCTGAGAGTCCTAGCCAAGGTCCGACAATTATCGATGCGCTTTGGACACAATCCATGGGTTTGTTTCTCCACAGGGAGGTATCGCACTGGGCACCCTGGTCTTTGCAGCTTGTCACTGCATATGTAGTTCGCCATGTGCTCTCACAAAGCACGCGCTATGGCTATGTTTAGAAAAACAACCAGACAACCCCTGTTACTATGTATAACACAAGAATTAGCGAAATCGACTTCTCCTGGTGACATTCCGCCGCCACATTTGGTCAGTGTCAATGCCGGCTGCCAAGCCCGCTGTTTAATAGGAGGTCGGTTCGAGAAACGAATACAACCAATTGTAGTATCTTGACCATAACGTTGATCCACTTCCAATACCCTAAGCCGCTTCTATCCTGGCCAAGCAACCGGCTCCAAAGCCACTGGATCTTGGCCACCCACTAGACCCCTCCGTCTCTTTTTTTTCGTAGCAGGGAGCGAGCGTCGAAACATCCCGCGGTCATTGTCTGGCCTTGTAGGGCGCTTCAGCCCTTTCAACTATGCCAAGACGGCTCCTTCCTTCGGTTTACACAAAGTTTGTGAAAGATGTTGTGCGACATCCCTTCCCGTGCCTGGTGGCATATCGCAGAGGATGCCAAGATGCGAGAGACCCCTCGGCGCCAGGCAACAACCATGGCCATAGGGGTCCTTGCGGCAGGGGACCCCCTGAGGCCAAGTGCCAAGAGATACGTCCTCCCCAGTACTCCGTACCAAGGGACTAAGGATCGAGGAGCAAAACCGACACGGTGGTCAATGAAATCATGTGGTTGGATATTATATGTACTAAGAAAAGACAAAGACGCTAGCCAAGAAAATTATACAGGGACCATATTTTCAAACAAGAAAAGCCATGAGTTGCGCCCAGCGCACACCATAACACCCAAGGAAGAAACAAAGAAGAAAATACGTTCACCGACAGAAGCGCTTGAAAGCCATAGTAGCGGCCAATCCGGTCGCCAGGAGGGCTCCACCCATCGTGACAGCTTGCAGGGCAGCATTCATCATCTGGTGCCTGTTGCGGGTACGGCAACGCTTGAAGAAGTCGGCCATATCATTTCCACGGGGGAATGGAGTGTCGGGGACGTCTTCTCCCAGGAATTCACACAGAGGGCCCCAGCCATCGCTAATCTTGTACTCCAACAGACGCTCAGGTGGAACCAGGCTGCGGACTTCGTCAACGTGATCCTGGTACACCTGCTTGCCCTTGTTGGGGAAGTCCCCGCGGAAGAAGGTCTCGAAGAACTTGTTCAACATAGGGTAGTACATGCTGGCAGCCCAGCTGAAGTTCGAAACGAAGCTGTGCTCAGGATCGCTCACACGCCAAAACACAGTCTTCATGACGGATCTGCAGGAATTTCAGTTAGCGGATAAATCGCCTCAGGTGTATTCCAGTGTCAACTTACGCATGCCACGAGTCCACTTCACGAGTAGTCAGGATGACCTTAGCATTCGGGTAGGCTTCAATCAGCTCTTTAGCAAAAGCACAGGCGGGCCAGTCGCAGACAGCCTATACACGCAAGATCAGTTTGAATCCCGTTGCTTGTCTCGTTGATAATCCGAGGCTCACCTGGCACTCTCCCAGCAACTGATCCCATTCTTTCCTTCCAAACTCACCCACACCATCATACTTGGCGATGAGGGCATCGTGCCACATCAAGCAGTCGGGAGGGTTCTCCACACTAGCAGACATCATATGGTAGCATTTCAGGTATCCGAGGCGCTCCAGAGCGATGCGGAGAGACGCTGTTCCTGTTCTCCCAACGCCGAGTGCCAGTACCTTCATAGGCACCGTCCGGTGGCACTTGCGCCGGTCAATGCAAGTGTCGTCGGTGAAGATATCGGTCATGGGCTGGGGAGCAAGGTTGTCCGAGTAGGTCAAAGACATAGTGACGGATGGGAAAGTGAGGTTCGTATGATATAGATAAACTGTATTGCAATGCGTATTCAAGAGACAGTGGGGTCTTCAGAAGATGATGGTCTAGTAATGGAGCAAACGAAGGATGTTCCCAAGACTCAAGGGAAAGAAAGAATACGAGAGAAAAGAATGGATTTTCTGAGGGCAAAGGCTTGATTAAAAGGAAAGAATCAGAGAAACCGAAAGTGTTGAGGAAGATAAAAAGGAGACTGGGAAGTAGATTGATAATAAATGTCATATACTGAAGAGGAAATAAATGTTAGCTCATTAGCGCCGCGATGTCCCAAAGAATCCCCATCTCAAGTAATTAAAAACAACAGTGGCAACTCTTCGTACTTGTGTACGCGAGCTGTACATTCGATATGGATACTCGTGGTCGTAATCAAAAAACGAAAATAATTTCCCTCTCCTGAATCTTGGCAAAACCCCATCCTCCTCTTTTTTTGACACCCGTTTAGGTTTTTTTTCTAATTCTGTTTGGGCACTTTCATCCTTTCAGATGCTCGCTGCGGGTCTCCCGTCCACGTTTGGGCCAAATCGGTTGCGGCAGTTTAAGCGTCGAATCCATAGAAACTCGAGAGGCTTTGCTCGGCAGGGCGAACCAAAGACGTCAATGGATGACGCCCATCGAAAGCTAACGATTGTCAGGGGGTGGGGTTGTTCCTTGGTTGATTCTATACAGTGTCGGTAGCGCATGAAAATCATCCAGGATGGCCGGTCCTCATCGTGTATTGGCCTCCAGAGAGTAGGAACAGTCTCCTGATTGTCCTGTTTCTGTAACGGAGAGGCGGGGCGAAGAAGGAATAGAACACCATACACTGGGGAATGGAAACCGTGCCAAGATTTTCCGGCGAGAAGCGGCCGCGTAGCACTTAATTCGCCGATCGCTGGAAGTCGGGGATTGGATGAGGAGGCCTGAGGCTTCTCTGGTCTGGAAGCCCTGAGAAATTCAAACCCGCCCACTTCGTTTTTCTAATTGGTGGATCCTCCAACAAGACGACGCGTACCTTTCTCCAGACATTCAAAATCCATGCATAATGCACAAGCCTGAAACGCACTCGCCTCTCCACAACCCGCAACAATCGCACTCGCTTTTTCATTTCCGTTTTGCTTCAGTTGTTCCATTATTTGACCCCCCAATCTTTTCTTTCCCCTTTTGTTACTGTTGTTGCTAATTAATGTTCAAAGTCATTGCTGGAAAGTTGGTGCTGCCGAGGCCGTATCAGATGTGTGTCAAGCCTGTGCCCGCGGGTCCGTTCGTGGTTTGGGGTATGTCAACGACGCTGATCGAGATAGATAGTCCATCCACTAACGTTAGGATGCACTGTCCACTTTCCATAATCCACCTAAGCGGTCAATCCACCTCGGTGGAAACCACAGCCGTCGGACCTCGTAGAAATCCCGATGACGACAAATCAAACCGAATTCCTATTCGACAATAGCGTGTAATTGGTAGAAACTTGATCCCCAACATATCCAGTGGCCAATTTCCTGTACCAAGAATCGTAATCCTAATTGGCATCGTTGAGCATGACTCGTTTAGCCGTGTAGCCTATCGGTCAAACGATCAATCAATCATCGCTGGATCAAGTTAGGCTAGAACTGTGGTATTCAGTCGGAAATGGCCAAGATGGCAAGCCCACTTATTGTTTGTGGCAAATTGAGCTTCATATCTCCGCTTGGACACTTTCCACCATACTTTCCAGCAGTGTACAGGTCCTTCCAGTAGATCACTGGCAACAAGGTATCCTGTGATTCCAGGTAGATAGACCGTACAGGGCTTGTTTCTAAGTCATTCAATCAATACCCTGGCGGTAATCATTACCCGACGGAGATCGACTCGGTGTTCCGAGTTAAGCAACTCATCAAGTGCCTTCAATGCCAAGACGGCCTATTATTTGAGATGAGCTCTGGGACCCGATCAACGAGGCAAGTATCCTCGTCTTCTTATGACGATCTTCGCCAACTTCCCTACTCCGTACGGAGTCCATCACTGACCCGCCGGTGAAGACCGTTTTCGAGAAGTGCGCCGTTCTTTCCGCTGATTAAAATGCTCTGGAAACTTGGAAGTATCCGTATGTATCCAACTGTACAGGTATGTATCATGGTTGAAAGGAACTCGCGTGATAGTATGCTGGTGTTGGTGTTATCTCTTGGACCCTCTTGCTGCAGTGGTGTCGCATAGGCATGTGATGGTCGACAGTTTGGTAAACAAAGTAACTTCCTTATCGAGAATGGGTGGTCAGGTGATGCAAAGCTGGTAGTACACACTACTACTCAATGTAGTTGTATGCATTGTCGGATGCTGATGGAATGAGAACTTCACTTGGAAAGATGTTAAGAGTAGTAAAGAAAAGAAAGAAAGAAAGAAGACATCAGCACGAGTCATCATAACTAGCAATTCAACTCATGCAAGGAGGTCGTAACCCTTTTAAAGGAAATTGATGCCAAGAACTAACACGACACTCGCAATCGCACGTCTTGATCACCTCACTGTAACTATGTCCACTCTAGTATAATCTACCAAGGGTCTGAGAACTACCAAGAAACACTTTAGACGTTATTTGAGCTTAAATGACAGTTATGGTCAGTCTCGTGCAATGACTGGACCGATGTGAGATATTGTCTCCGCTCGCAGGCATCACGGCAATGATTTCGGCTGTTGATTTATCTGCTGATTTTATATATGTCCCACAAACTGACATATCATGGCGGAAATAACGTGACCCAAGAGCCTCTAGTTCCTTACGGGTCAGTCATACGTGATTCATGATGTGATATTCTTAGGTAAACCAATGTACTTGCTTTCCATAAGGTATTATCGTTGAAATTAGATAAACAAAGCCATCATAGAACCCTCTATCAACATGGATGGCAACAGTTGCAAGCGCAGCGCCCCGATATATGTTAACCCTCGAAACCAAATAACTCCGGATGGCCATCCCGTGACCATTTCAATGCTATAATATCCAGAACAGATTCTATCCTACCCACGCTTCCATAAGGCTGAAAGCTGTCTCACTCCAGTTTGTCCAAATGCTCGAGCCTCGTCAATACGACCTGCTTGCTCGTCTCTTCAATCTCGCCTGCCAGAAACACTTCGTCCAGAATCGCGTATACCTGTACCAATCATTTGTCAGCAGTGGCTCCTTGTCGCAAGTGGGCAGCATCTCAATTCATCATAATATTTTCCAATGCCCACAGCAGCCGAGAGTGCCCAACGCACCTTGTAGAAATTGAACACCAGATCTAGCTCGCACACATTCCCAAAGAACTGATCTAGAACTTCGACGAAGAAATGGATGGCCTCGAGGTACGCCAATTCATTATCGGTAGCATCGACACAGGCGCAAAAGAACAACCCCGCATATCTCCGGTAAACGACTTTCGTACTCCGCTTGAACTCGACAAAGTTGGACTGATACTTCTGGTCTCTTGGTGCTACCAGGCGATGGACCTGAGGCAATTGGTCAGTTTTCTGGCCCAGTGGTAACAATGGTATTGTCGCAAGTTGCCACGAACCTCGCCTTTCAGCTTGACTTTCTCCTCATCCTGCGCAAAACCGGTATTAGCTAATGCTACATGATTTCTAAAGAGTTTTTAGAGAACTTACGCTGTACGGCGCATACCATTTTGCAAGGCGCGTTTTGCCCCTATCCACTAGCTTAGCATTGTAGATCGCTCGATTTATGTGTATACACAAGCACTCACTGCCGGTTCTGGACCAAGATGAATGAGAGAACCATCCCGCCTTGATGAGGAGCGGTAAGCCGATATCGATGGTGGCGTTGAGCTATGCCGCAGTTCGGTTCATCCGAATGTCTCCGCCTGGAGTCTTGGAGTATTGAAGATGTCAAGGCCGAGACTCAATATTGCCGAATTTCACCGCCTTTTGTGTAATCTACGTCGAACCAATGACGGGGTTTTCAAGGAACAATGAAAAGAGATATAATAATAATAATAATACTAGGGACTTGTTCGTCAGTAATCTTAAGGTCATCCTATATTTCGACAGTCGTCCCTCATTGATTTGGAATTGGTTATATAAATAGTTCCGAACTGTCCGTTAGCTATGAGACGGACCTGTCAGCTGTGCCAAGTGCCCTTATCCGCTGGTAAATTGAGGATCAACTCATGTCGCAAACACACATTTCCTGCAGTCATCGTCACACGATGAGCGCAGCAGTGTCTTTTTTCCGGGCAATATTAACATGACAGCTTTTATTGAACGATCTGGTTTACTTAACCACTGCCTCCCCCATTAGGATTTCCAGTCGCTACATTTCCAGAACTTCGCAATGCCAGTCTACATGCTGTACGGCTTTAAGTGGCCGCGCGCTGGCTTCACGGGCATCCGAGTCTACATTGTCCTGCACAACCTGGAGGACGCAACAGCAGAGTACCTCCAGGCGCCGGTCACTACCCAGCTGCTCCTCGAGTCGTTCGCGAAGACCGAACCGGGCATCGTATCCCGTCTACCCGAACTCCGATTTATCGAACAGTATGATCCCGACGATACCACCGATGAGGCTGTCAGCAAGCCATATGCCTATGTCGCGGGTAAAGTGATTACGATGCCAGAGTCGGGGGCACTTAGTTTGGATGCTGAGGAGCTGGTTAAAGAGTCAGGGCTGGATAATGATGCCATGGCGGCATTGACGGAGATGCGAGATAAATACGCCGCCGGTGAGAAGATTGGCTGGTATATTGTGTATAATGGGGATCCAGAGAGATGGTTCCCCCAGATTGAGGAAGATGACGATGAAAGTATGATGTACGAAGATGAAGATGAGGAGACTAGTGATTATGGTAGCGCATCACAACCCCCGTCAACTCCTACGGTAAGTGCTTCTTACGTGGTTGTATGTTCTGGCTGTTGGCACAAGCTGATATTGGTCATGTCTAGACATTTTTCCCCCAAAAGTTGACGCAGTTCTTTGGCACTAAGAAGATCACTTGAGACGATTAGATGAGTGATGTGTGGCTATGCAATTTACCCAAAGCCCGATGGCTGTTATTGTGCTCGTGAACATTGATTCTTGGATATTAGAATCACGGCGTATTGGATCTATAATTCATTTTCATCTCGTTATAAGCTAAGCTCTACTTCATGAACTAGCGCCGTATCCCTTCTGCCAACTAGCATCAAAGGTCGCTTTGTCCACGGCAAATTCTCGAATGTAGTCCTTCTCCAAGTCATGCGCTCTCCTTCCCAAGAGAACGAGACTGTGAAGAGGCGGGCCCATCTCGACCTCTGCCAATTCCTTCAGAGTTCCAACGACCAATTTCTGATCCGGGGCTCCAACTCTCGCAGCTCCGACCGCGAGGCTGTCAGGTCCGTAAACACCTTCCTTGCGCTCCTCCTCGGTCTCCAGCATCTGACTGGCGCACTGCGCAACGGTCATGTATCTCGGAGGCTCATAGATTAGGCGTCCTCGGGCCATATTTTCGTATGACTGCTCCTTGACCTTAATGTCCAAAAGCACGAGGGTGTGAAGACCCAGTGATATGTTCTCCTTGATCTTATCGTAGTATGACGAGGGCTTCCAGTTTTCTGTGAAGAACACCATGCTGACAGTTTGACCGAAGTTATACAGCTGCAGCCCTGTGCAACCAATGCCAGACATGATCGATGCGTTCGGGATGACCTTGGATTCGATGCCCAGTTCGCGGGCGCGCAGAACTAGGTCTGTATGGGTAGTGGCGCTGCACACACATTAATCCATGCCTCTTATAACAATCGCGCAGAGCTGACACCTACCCAAAAGGATCACCGACGACTAGGAATGCAACATCTGTTTTATCTGCCCCAGCGAGAATCTCATCGCTTCCGGTCTCGACCTTTTCACGGTCTGCTTCAATAACAGGACGTCCATAGAAAGCTTCCTACTGAACCAATCGATGATCTGGTTAGACAATTCCGTAGCAACAAATAACATCTGTATTACACAAGGACACTCACTAGCTTCTCTTTGTTTACGAGCAGAATACTTGTGTATGCTTCGAGGTAGACCCTTTCGGCCCTTTTCACCACCTCTAAGCCTTTGACAGTAATGTCAGTCTCATCGGCAAGACCCAACCCAACGAGGTAGAGCATTTTGAGACTACGCAAAATTAAATCAGTGAGTATAATAACTGTGATATTCACGATCAAAAAGTTTCTCTATCACCCCACCAAATGCGGCGGGATGACGGAACGCGGGTGAAGAGTTGTTCCGGATATGGGGGAGGTCACTGGATATCAAGTCACGGGGATGGATCCTTTGAACATCCCCATTGTTGCCTTTCGCGACCAACTTGAATTCACTCATTTTATTGTTTATAGTGTTAACACGCTCACTTGACTGTATTGTACCTTTTTCTTTGGCTGTGAATGATGTTAATGTGTCATTCTTGATTCGCCAACATGTCGACCGATCGAACTCCGAAGTATCGGCAGGAAATCCAGCAGGTAAGCTCATACTATCTCCTTATCTTACCCATCTAAGCCTCATCTTGTTTGTCTTTTCTTTTGTTTCTTGCTTTTTGGGCCGCTTGCGTACATTAAGCTACGTTAACATAGCATAATCGTTTGTATATTTGTCATCATAAGCTTAGTCTTGCTGCTCGCATGGCGCAGTAAGGCTCCTCGTGATGCGACTGTTACTTGTCATCTATAATTCCCTATCCGGCTTGATATGTACTCTATGTGGCGCTACTTCATGTAATACTTCATTCCCACAATTGAGTTCATACTTGGACTTGCTTCGCCTCTCAAATAATTGGGGTGTTGCAAATGACCCGCTATGCTCCATTTATGCGTCTTCCCGATCACAACAAATCGAAGTGGACCATCTCAGAAACAATATGAAGACAACAAGAGTACTTCCAGCCTCACTAATACTATGAGCAGATGATGTTCGTCTCTGGAGAGACTGCCGAGCCATCAGTGGAAACAACTACTCTGATAGAAGAGATCGTTCGCCAGCAAGTCGTTGAGATTGTATGAGTACCTTCAGCCATAAAAGTACAGTTTGCTCACATTCACTACAGCTCGCTCGAAGTACAACGTTGGCTACCCGTCGAGGAGTCCGCTCTATCTCAACTGATGATTTGATCTTTCTCATCCGCCATGATAAGGCTAAGGTATCACGCCTGAAGACTTTCCTTTCCTGGAAAGATGTCCGCAAGAATGTCAAAGACTCGGATGACAAAGGTGGTGCCGACGCCGCCGAATTTGCAGGAGCCGATGACCCCCTTGCGGGAGGTGTCGTCGCCGGTCCGCAAGATGTCGCTTCAAAACCGAAGAACAAGAGGGCCCGTGTTGGTCTCGCATGGGATGTGAACAGTTTCTACTCGGTCCAGGTTCCAGAGCGAGAGGACGAGGAAGACGAAGAGGAGGAAGAACAGAATTATGCAACCCTCCAGCGTCTTGCTGCAGCAGACGAGCGAACCAAGCACATGACGAAGGAAGAGTACGTGTTCTGGTCCGAATGTCGTCAGGCATCCTTCACCTATCGTAAGAGCAAGCGTTTCCGTGAGTGGGCTGGTTTTGGTATCGTAACCGAATCGAAGCCCAACGACGATATCGTCGATATCCTCGGTTTCCTCACGTTCGAGATCGTCCAAACTTTGACTGAGGAAGCCCTCAAGGTCAAAGAACGCGAAGACCGAGAGAAGAATCGGCGAGGAGGCGCTGAAAATGGCTCCGGTGAGAATACTAAGAAGCGGAAGCGCGAAACTGGTCTCTTCGATCCGCCCGAGGAGGGACGAACACCAGTTGAACCGAGGCATATCCGCGAGGCATACCGTAAACTTCAAGCTACTTCGAACAAGAACATCGCAATGCTTCTCCATAATGGGCGCGTCCCAGCACGGATGCCTTTGAGACTGGTAAGCCCATTCATTCAGTTTTGATCGTTGGTACTAACATATTCTAGATTTAATGGGATGGCTTTACTTTGGGCTTGTACCGGAAATGGTTGGAGTTATATACACAAGATACCCACATGATGACTGTACGATATCGAGACTTCTTTTTCAGTTCCTTTGTTTTCTATCTAGGATATACGGTTTCGTTCCTTCAGCAGCTCCTGTACTATTTCGAACATCAATCATTTTGATTATCTCCACCATACTAGGCATTAATTCCTCGATTTATTTCGCACCCAGTCCCTAAGCGAACCGAGACTCGTCATTACACATGTACATAATCAATCATAAGAAGGCCTTGGCCCAGCGAAAAAGAAAAGCCCTTATTTATGCGTCCGGCGCCCTACCAACAAACCAGTCAGCACGTACGGAGTACATCCAACCCCCAAATAAAAAAAAAACGCCACAAAAGAAGAAAGAGAAAAAGAAGGGAATAGAGAAAACTCACACTCAGCCAACTCCCCTTCACTCAACTCCCGAATACTATTGATAGCCGGTACATCGCCCTTAGTAGCACTCTTGATCGTCTCAATGGCCTTCCCAAAGATGCCCCTCGTAGCCACCGCATACGTCGCCAACTTCGCCTCCAACCGAATCACCCCGATCCTCGGATCCGACGGACTCCCATCATGAACTCCGTCACCAAGATCGCCCAACCAAGCCGGCAGCGTCGGCGAGTAATACTTTTCAACGGTAGCCTTGTCAGCAACGATCGAGGCAGTCCCCGAAATAGACGCCCAGGACCCGCTGACTTGGTCCAGGAAGGACATGTTGACTTCGCTGGGGTGCGTGGTCAGGTCTAGCGTCTTGCTGGAGAAGAGGTTGATATGGAAGAGCAGGTCAATGCCGCCGTTTTCCTTTTTCATATCAGTCCAAAATCAGTATACTGATACAACAACTTGTCTTGGGTGCGAATCATGACCGGGGAAGTGAGTGTGTGAGAGAGAGAAGTAGGGAGGGAAGGGAGAAATACCTTCCCAGCCAACGCCATGCATCTCGACGTCAAGTATTCCGAGCCGGCAATCTTGGTCGTTAGCATGCCGAATTTGGCCTCGGAGATGAAGTCCACCAGGTCCTCAACCTTTTGGGCCAGGGGCGGGTCCTCGAGGCTTTTGGCCTTGTAGGGGTCGATGGGCTGCTCGCCTTTACTGGTGTTGATTGTGGCGGACATTTTGGGTTGTTTTGTTTCAGTTGAGGGGTTTATGAAGAGGATTGGATGTTCAATAGTTGTATCTTGTGGGAGAGATAGCCATGGCGATCATTGTTTATATAGGGCTTTTTTGTATACTATGATGTAGGAGATGCCAAGTCTGGCGTAGGCATGACGTCAAAGCCCTAAGCGGCATTCAGGGGACTTGAATTTACTATGAGTTGCTGTTGATGACGTTTTTTGTGCATGTTCTACCAGGAATGACTCTAATGTTACTTGAGTAATATTATTGCCTGTGTAGGGTGATGATGCACGGAATTCATTTAGGAACAGGGCATAATCCGGTAGGTAGTTATCCGCGTTGTTCTCAGGATAGAATGCTGCCATTATCTATATTGCAATTGGTTTTGTCTGAGCAGAATCAGAGAACGGGACAAAAGAAGAATGTGTTTGAGATAAAAGTTACAAAAAGCGTTTTTCGCTTAAACTTAGGATAAGACTGTTCTCGAACCAATACTTTCTTGCCATCTGTCGGGATTTCGCCTCACTGTGTCCGTTGTCGTCGATAATGTACTGCGGCCGTTCGCGACAACGATCAAACAAGAGCAGGCCCTGATTAGAGCGGCATTTGCTCGATAATTATCAGAAGCAAATGCCAGATTGAATTTCGTTTCTAAATCGACAACCCAATCTAGGATGTATGTCTGACTGTGGCGAATTAATCGGCTCGGTATGTGCTTTGAATATAAAATAATAGTCAAACGCAGCATGCGTACCGAATCAAATCAAATCAGGGAGAATAGATGTCTCATTGTTAATTAGGAATGACTGCCGCGACATATTTGACATCCCCTTAACACAACCTCCCTGTTCAGACCCAGGGGCCTCCCGCACCTATCCGAGAAGCTGGCCATATCAACACCAGCGAACAGACCTGATGACCGGCTCGCGGATTAACCGTCGCTCTCGGTTAGGCAGGGGTTGTGAGCGGACGCCGTCAGTATTGGAGAGTATTGGCCGCCTTGACTTGAACTTTCACGTTTCAATCAGTGATAGGAACGTCCAAGGAGCAACCATAGGGCTTCCGGTTATGATTAATCAAGTTAGGTTAAGACCCATGATGAGGTACAGTTTTATGGTAAGCTGCAGCGTGGGCACGAGCTCGTAGCCTCATCCTTCATTGCCGTATCTCGACAATCGTAGTCGGCTCCATTGTTATATCCACATTGACATCCCGGCAATCTCTGTACTGAGTGAGCTCAGTTGGTAACCGGAGACATAAGGGAGCGCAAGAGCACTGTCTCGGAGGAAGCCGCACCGTAGGACGCACATTGTGCGCCGTTACTAGAGGTGCATCGCCCATGTCAGTATCATGGTCTTCCTCGGTGTGGGTCCGCAGCAGCTCAGAGACCTCAGTTGGGTCCCGTGTTTGAAAAACGGAAGGTGTTTCCGTTGGCGGGACAAGACCACGACCGATGGACCTGAAGGTACACCTTCGATATCACCAGGTTGGTCGTGGGAAAAGTATTGGACTGACCCTGTAGGGTTTGCCACCGTCACGGTCTCCGGCCTCGCCCATGTCAGCGAATGGCAACTTGCAGTGACGTCTCTGAGGAGATCTATGAAGAATCTCACCCATTTTCTGACTGATCAGTGCATCTTGTCAATGCCATCGTTATTCCAGTCCCTCAGGTTGCCAATGATTATCATGACTCTTTCTTGGCACGACTAAGGGCGATGTTAAGCCGATTTGCGTCTGCCATGAAACCTGCGCTGGCGACATTCTGCGAGGGCTTGGTCATCAGAAACACCACGATTGGTGCCTCTTGGCCCTGAGCGGCATCCACTGTAAGGTTGTCGCGGTATCTAACCTGGTGCTGGCTCAGATCCGTTGTACAAGAACTTTCTGGTCTTTGTACGCGCTTATTATCATGACGTCCTCAGGGCGGACGCTGTCGCCGTTGGGCGTCTGGTACGAGTACAGGGACCTCAGAAGCTGGCAGAGCACGTACACCTGGCTGTCATTGGACCAGGACAGACTGTTTTCCATGCGCCTAGCTTTTCCCTCGACGCTAATAAACAGTCGACGCACGCCCTGAACGTTAAGGGCTCGAAACCAGTGACGGGATCCAGTAAAGGAATCCCACGCTCTGCCAACCCGCTCGAGCCTGTCATTTTCGGGGCCGGGGACGAGCTCCCCCCTGTACATCCCACGGTTGAACAAATCTAGAATCTGGCTATGATTCCGATAGTTTGTCCGGAGCATGATGCAGGGATAACCGGCTCTATAAAGCCTTTCCATGAGAGAGCGTTTAAGAAACCTCGCTCCCTTGTTGGGCCCATGCTCAGAGATTACCGTGGGCGAAAGTTGGTCGGGGTCGCCAATCAGGACAACACCTCGGACTGGCGTCATTGTCAACGCAATGCAATGATCCCCTCGAGGCACTGCCCTGCCTCGTCGCTAACGATGAACGCCGGCTTGAAATTTGACAGGCGCAGGACGTCGTGAGAAGCGTTGCTCAATGTCGTAGCAACGACGCTGCAGCGTTCGAGGTAACCCAATAAGGTATTCTCATACGACGAGCGTAGCTTCTTGGTACCATCTCTGCTGAGGCCCTTCTCCTTGTCGATGGCCATATATTCAAGGAGAGATTTGCAGTGCTTATTGTCCGGGTTCTGTTGTGCGTGGGTGACAACCAGGTTGTGCGCTTGGACTTTTTCCAGAGTATGATTCGCCCGGCTGTCATTTGTAGCATCTGCCTGCGCTCTGAGCCTGGCAATAGGATCACTAGCACTCTTTGCCCGGATCTGGCTGAGTTGATAGGCAGGTGTTCTGAAGCGAACAAACTGGCCGCACCAGGCACGTAGGAGTGAGTCCCCTGCCACTGCAATAACCAAGGATTCCAGAAGGTTATCCACGGCTTTATTAGAACCGGCGACGACGAGGACTTTTATCTTCAGTGCGGTAAGCGCCAAGATGATTGCCACTGCTGTCCTCGTTTTACCCGTACCGGGGGGTCCTTGGATGAGGCTGAGGCCGCAGGTGACCCTAGAGGTCGAATTGACAAAGGCTTGCAGCTGAGCGGCATCCAAGGGAAAGAGACGGTGTATATGTTCTAGCCGCTCTTCCTGGAGGTGCGGTTCCAAAGGGGACACGCTTTTAAAATCCAGAACGAAATAGTGTGGGTTCTGGGGGGTTAGTTCGGAGCCGTGACCGAGAACGGTCCGGCGAAGGGAGAAGCCTTGTCCTGCTCCCTGAGGGGAATCACCATAGACAGTAACGTTGGTGACTTCATTGAGTGCGTTCAGCTGCTCATCGATAGGCATTGTGTTTGGCTGAACGGCGGTCACGATCTGGAAGTTAACATTGGGCTTAACTTCGGTGCCTACGCTTTCCGTTGCGATGACCAGATCTGCCGATGACTCCACCTCGACTACTCTGCCCTTCATTAGCAAGTCGCCTTCCTCATAGGTGCGATCTTCTTGGGCCATTTGAAATTTCACTTCCGTATTCTCATGAAGCTCGGGAACATTGACGTTGTTCTCCGACGGCGAACACAACTTGATGTGAACGAGAGCGCCCCTGCTTACGCCATCAGTCGTGTAGAAGGCAGTGTGCCGAAGGCCAGGATTGAAGACCTGCGTAATTACGTTGCGCTGGGTCTCTCGCTCACGACTGGAGGTCGTTAAAAGTCTGTACCTCTGTTCGCGGTCGTCGATGAAGAACGGGTCGATTGGATCCCATTTGACATATTCTTGATGCCCAGCGTCAGACTTCGTCCAGAGCCAGGGCATAAGGGGGTGGCACCCAGTTGTTGAATCAGCGGGGTGACTGCGGTACCACCAAAAGGACTTGCCGCTTAAGTTGCCCATAACCTTGATACATAAGGATTGCAACATACAGATGCAGTCCAAGGATGGAGCAACATCTTTATATTGTGGCCTGTATTCCAGGAACACAGTGAACTCGGGACAGAGCCATTCGGTTGTTGTATCACCGAGGATTGATATCAAGAAATCCCAATCGGCTCTCTGACCGGCGTCGAGTTCGCGGGAGGGTTTGGGAATTACCGGACGACTGCAACACCATACTTGGTAGTAGTACACCTTATTCCAATCATTAAGTCCGCTGTGATTCTGACGAGCCATCATGACGTAGTCTGAGGTGTGCTGTCCCTCGCCTTCGATCCCCGGATTTACTGGGCAGTCGGCCATGGGGAAGATGATCTGTCCATATTCCTTTGCCCTGAGACAGATCACCAGTCGACTGCTGAGAGTCAAGTATTACTTGAGCCTTGCCCGGTATTAATCGCATGTCGATCGCGATTTTGCAAGGACGCCATTTTCTGCATTGCGTCTGAAGGGTTGAGGGGGCAGCGACACCTTGTGGATGATTAAACCACTGCGAAAGTTTTGTGTTCGCCGTTGTTAAATTGTTGCGCTTACATATAGTAAGCAGGAGAGCCTAGCGCAGTGTACAGTTATGACCTACAGGAGCTCGAGGAGATAGTTGGAAGGCAATTTCAGGAGACGGAATTTGTCAAAGTGAGCCGAAGTCTGCCACCAGTCCGCCGAAATCCGTATAGGGCCCTATATGGGTTCATACCGATTGTAGAGTATTGTAGAATAGCCGAAGCTGAAGGATTCGTAGAGCGTGCGTGCACGTAGAAATCGAAACTCTCAAAGAGAGCCGGCAATAATAACCACTACTGCCTGCTATTATCCCGTCGGTTTATTCTTGCCCTCCCTACTTTGATGCAGAAGCAGGCGTGGATGGTTGGCATCCCATTCTCCGGCATCCCTTGCATCATATGTGTAGAAGTCCTTATCGCGTTGTCCATCAAAGCTGTGTTCACAATTTGCTCATCCTTGGTGGTCGCCAGAGACCCCCTTCTTCTTTTCTTCAACTACCAGAAGACTGCACTCCATTTCTTGTGGTGCTTGATACCAAAAGGAATAGTTTGTGGGCGGTAGCTACCTATTCGGTAGTCCTGAGGGCGATGATGACCCTTCAGCAATATAATCTGTATCCGGAAGAGCCCTCTCTATCCCACCCAGAGGAAGTAGACCATGAAAGTCATACAAGCTTGGTTCATGGCTTCGAAGAGCTGACTGACCAGTGACATTTTTGAAACGTTCCAGTTGTTCAGGCGTCAATCACTTAATTCATGGGGCACGGTGAGAGCGTTTAGAGAAAAGAGCATCCACAGCATCTTTATGGAACAGTGAGCTCCTGTGGTGGGAAACGTCGCATGTCACTTTTCTCAGTGAGGTCATCAACTCATCACATAAGGTGATGTTCTCGTTACCATACTGTAAGATAAACCGGGTACGTCTTCACCTCGCCCTGTACCGGTACCTGTAGGCAATTCTGTTGAAACTGTAAGGTAGGATAAATGCTGGTCTTCGTATCCGTCAGACAGACCTCTGTCTAATTTGAGGTGCCAACGAGATTGAGACAATTTGTAAATCAAGGTCATGTGGACAAAATATAGCACTCGGTGCAGAGTTGATAGTGGAAATAATCGACGGTATCATAGGGCTCCAACGCTTTTGCTGGGTAGTGCCATGCCTTATCATGACTTCAATCGTTTGTATGACACGTTCTGACTGACCGTCAGTTTGCGGGTGTGTAGCCGTAGAATACAGCCATTTAGCACCAAGAGAAGAAATAACTGAGGACGTTGCTGTTCTCATAGAAGTATGCTGTGATCTATTTCTTCAAAGGGGTGGAATAAACGACAAAAGGTATTGCCTCGCTTCTTCTGACAGAATTCATTGTGCTGATTGACCAAACTTCTGCTGGGAGAGCTGGGCAGCGCCTTATAAAGAGCCTTGGTAGTGCTTAGAAAGGCGATTTCATCCGTTTTGCTCTCCTCGGTTTCATATGCTGGATAATCGGTGGGTGATCCATTGGCTGCTGACTCCAGGCTGTGTCCCAGGCTATCTCGTCTTCGGTATAGCTCTCGTGGACTGGACACGCACCACGAGCGGTTGCGTATTCTGAATTCAAGTGGCTATTGCATTGAATTGCGAGGCAGCGGTATTGACTATGTTGTTCCCCAACGCGGTAATAAGGACTTGATGCCACTTGCCAGTGTGTATGTCCGTGCTTCTGTGGGTCCATAACCTCATGAGGTTGTGTGATCGATATGCCAAGATACCTGAACCGTGTGTATGTTCCTATGGCTCTCTGCGGTGGTATAGATATGATAACAACCACAAACGGTCTGCCCTTCGTCACATATCTGTAGGAACGCAGACTGAATGCTTCCTGCAAATCCTGTCACGAGGATAGCCTCGCCGAGCTGGGCGCGAACAGCCAACTGGAAGTCAGCTTTCATCAGCAGTGAACCCCATATCTGCGAAGCAGTTGGCCAAGGCTTGTTGAATATGAGAGAATGGGAGAAGATGACCGTCCATCCTAAGGTTGGCAAGATATCAAACCCCTTCCTTTGAAGACTACGTAGCCCGAGGATTTCCTCCCGGAACTGGAGGCTTGTGGTAACCTCATGCGATACAGAGTATTCTTCGCCGGCACCGCATGGGCCACGAAGTTATATGCGGCGTGGATAGGCTTACTGTGAAGAGGCAGCGATCGATCGAGGGACAGCGGGCATCTGGTAATTATAAATGTGATTACCATGTCCTATGTAGAGTAGCGCTAAGGCTGTCCCAACTGCAGTTGCCACGTCTAGTGGATACATAAGAGGCCTTGGGACTCGCGTAAGATGTCGATGAGTCGACGCTATCCTTAACTGAAGAGGGAGAAGGCATGCTTGGATGGATGGTCTCAATGGGCAAGGCAAAGAGAGGCCAAAAGGAAGCCCTAATGTATGCAAAGCGAGTGCTTTGAAAGGGTCTATTAGACAAGAATAAGAATCAAAATCAAAATCAGGGGGGATAGGGCTTCTATATATAAGGGGCGGGTGGCAATGTCATTCACGGAGTTTTTCTTTGTTTGCCTTTTCACTGCCATCTTATTCTTTAAGGGGCCCGGATATTACCTTTCTGTCTTTGTGTGGATGAATGTAATGGAGAGAGAAGTTATTGAAGAGCTTTACTTCTGTGAAGTGGGATCATTCCAAAGCCCGTGCAGAGATGTTGTGAATTCCAGAATTTAATATTCAAACGCTATTTGCAAGTGAAAAATATACAATAGACTTGTATATTATAGTAGTAATATAAGTTCTCACATAGAATAAAATAAAATATCCACCCATCAATCGTATGAAATGCTGAAGAGCGAATCGTATACAATCAGTCAATCAATAATAATAATAATAATAATAATAATCACACAAACATCAAATCGTAAACGGGTATCCCGGAGTTAAGAAGGTAATAAAAAAATAGTAGTGAGAAGTGAAAATGGTGAAAAGAATTGCGTGCGTCTTACGTGGTGTCTATAGCACCATTGCAGCGATGAGGCCAACGACCAAGCTCAACATAGACGCGCCCGCAGTGGATGCCGCATTTTCTTTGTCGACTTGGGTCGGAGAGGGAGATGACGCAGCTGCTCCATCGGTGGACATCGCATATGATTGGGCATCGGTCTCCGCCAGCACCTGTGGGCTTTGGCTAGGCCAGCCGCTCGAGGCCAGAGCTGAGCTAGAAACCCAGCCGGAAGAGCGGGACACGCTAGGGGTCACGCTGGGGGGTGAGATGAGAGTTGAAGTGGCCGTTGAGGTCGGGGTTGGGGTACTGGACACTGTTGTGGATGGACTCGTCGAAGTAGTGCTGCTTGTGCTGCTTGTGGTACTAGTGCTGCTCGTGGTCTTGACGGTGGAGGAAGAGCTGCTGCTGACAGTGCTGGAGCTAGTGGAAGCGGCCGTGGAACTAGAAGATCCCCCACCACTGCTTCCACTCTTTTCAAATACGACAATATTGGCTTTCTCACCCTTCGGCACCGTCACCACACAGAACGCACCACCACCGGCGCCCGTTGAAGAGCTACCAGTAACCTCATTGACATTGTTAACCGCCGGGTCGATCTTGCATGGCAGACCATTGCAGCCATCACCCTCGCACTCAATCTCGACTCCGAAATCGGGCACCACATCACGGAAGGGGGTAGTCTGCTCCAGATAGATTGGGTTCCAACCAATCTTGACGAAAGTGTTTCCGTCGCCGTCAGTATTGGCACCGGCAACATAAGGCGTCCAGTTGCCTAAGGGCTTGTCCGAGGTCCCCCAGACACACGCGGTCTCAGGATCGTAGCCGGGAGGGTTGATGTAGAAGCTAGGGTTGTCAGAATATTCCGTTGCATGCAAGAAGATCGGAGTACTTACTGGGCGGCAGTCTCACACCAGTAGCTGAGATCAGGCACAGCGAGCGTGGCCAGCTCCTCGACCAGGGTCGGAATCAACATGGCTTCATTGCCAGGCAAGACGGTCTGACAGAACGAGACCTGGCTTTTACACTTGTTGCGCGCGCCCACAGCACCAGTACCATCCTGACAGTAGGGTTTGTTAGGGAATGGCTTCTGGATTTTACCATCTTCATCGCAGTAGAGACCGCCATTCTACCAAATCCGTCAGTATCAACTTCTGTCACGACACAAACACCGGGACACTCACCATTGACATGGGATAACTATACGAGGTAGCCTCAGGATCCCACTGCATGGACACCTGACCAGGAGGGCAAGCGTACGGGCAGTAATTACCCGGCTTACATGGTTGATCCGGGCTCATGGCCCAACCGGCATTCTTGAGGTTCGGAGTGACGGCCACCAAACCGGCATCCTTGGGGAATTCACAGCTTCCTCCTCGCTTCTCCAGTGGTGCCTCCACTTCTGCGGCGGAGTTCACATCTCGTTGGTGATTGTGGATGTGCCCGTGTCCGTGCTTGGCAGCTTCGACGGCGACAATGAGCCCGAGAAGTACGGACGACGAGATAGTGAGCTTCATTTTGGACTAGTTGTATTTTCTTTTTATCTTATATTGAACTTATATACGGTACTGATCGTGGTTCGGACCGGTAGAGAGCTTGATTGACACTACGGAAGTAGGTCAAGAAACGAAAGACTAGGGTGAGTATTAAAACGAATGACTGAAAGTGAGGAAACACCACGATCCACAGGCGAGAATTGGAGCCTGAAGATGGGAGAAAGAGAAGAAGGAAAGGAAACAGAAGAGGAAGACGAAGAAAGAGGCAGAGGCAAGACCAAAAAGGGATCCTGGGCATGCGGTGGTCGGCCTTTTTTCAGCCTACAGCAAGACTAGAGGATTACCCATTCGGGATAACCTCGAAGCTATTGACAACGCCTTAAACTGCTTTGGGAGATGACTCCGCCTGGAAAAGGCAACGGGGTTCAGGGGTAAAGCCAATCATCGTTGGCACTTGGCCCTTTTGGCCCCGATGGTTCGTGATAAGAGGATCCACTTGGTCCGTGGGGAAAACTTATTCATGCGGTTTGATTGATGCAATTTTCTGGCCTGAGGACCCTGTTTGTCTCACTCCCTGGGCGACCTGAAGGTTGTTAAATTAATTACGGCGTAATTTAATTGATTGATTGGATTGAATTGTGGGGGTTGACAAGGCTGTCACGAAGCATCATCAGTAACGAGTCTTTCTACCGACAGCAGATCCATCATCTGTCCAGGACCACTGTAAATTGGTTTGTGCTGGGCTGGGATATGTTGATCGGAAGGGAACCCAGTGGCAGGTGCTGATCGTCGAAGAACCTGGTCCAGACCACACAATTCTACAAAGATCAGCAGAGCGACCCGACAACTGCAATTTTGTTTTATTTTCCACAAAGCAGCGTTGAGGGCAAACCTATGCGACAGAATGGACCCGAATGCCAGCGTTGAAAAGGGGGGCCAATGGCGGAAAGAGACCGGCCAAACTTTGTTTGCACACTACTTTCGCTGGGTAGTATTCGGCTAATGGTTCGATAGTCTCTTGAGAGGGAGGAGGGGTACCACTAGTAGTAGTACGTTGTGCTTGGCCCTAAGGATTGCACTGGTACCGATGCGCGCAACCGCCAGCATCCAAGTCATGCCATTCGACGCTAGTGGACATCGTCGACTTCCAAGGCATGGCAGCTGTCTGCCTGCTAGGTCAATCCGCTAATTGTCCCTGAATCCCTCTCCACCTGTCAAACGCTCCTACAGACCCCTCGCGCCAGCCCCATGCGATACAATAATGTTGCGCCAGCAATCTCCATTCTTCCATCTCGTCCAGCATCTCAAGTCCGGACACCCTCTCCTTTTCCTCTTCACTCACCCATCGTTCCCAGATGAAATCCACATCTGCCGCGGCTTGGCCCCCGCTGAAGCCTTGTTCTCGCAACCGTTTTCGCTGCGCCGCTAGTGATGCGTACTGATGGAGCGTTTGCAAGTGGATCCCGCGCGTCGCAAGGTTGGACACCATTGTTCGTCCGAAAGCATCATCCGGACGAATGGGCTCGTAGAGAATCAGGCCGAGTGGCGTTACTGACTCGGTCCTCCCGGTGTCACCAGAGGTATCAGCATTTGACTTACCACCCGCACCAGGAAACAAAGTTTCCGTAAAGTAACCTACAACATCTGCTGCTTCGCTCGGAGAGAGATACACCAGGCAGCACTCCGAAATCAAAAGTGTAGGTAGCGTCGTGTCCACATCCCGCAGGTATGCCCTTGAGTCAGCCTGCGCCGCATCGGCGGAGACAGGCATGCGCTTCAGACAGCGCAGATCCAATGGGTGAAGATGATACACATCTGTGTGCAGCGCATCCCCAGCGTCAGAAATTGTGGTGTCTTCCGGTCGCCCAATGCCCAGTGCCTGTTGGAGGAGAGGCGTTGAACGAATAAATTTAATCTTGGCGGCTGTGTTGACGGCGAAATCAACCTCGTGATAGATCAGATTCGGGCGTGACTGCGATGCGAAGAGTCGAAAGGCGCGTGTATCTGTACCGGCACCAAGTGATATAATCTGTTTCTTCGTCTGGGGCTCCTGAGAGAGGAATTGGGCGACAAGGTGGTCGATCGCGGTGGTTCGGACATAAGTACCTGCAGGCGGTTAAAATGAAATGAATACCGACAGTCGTTAAACGGCATACTGAGGATCGGGTACCTCTGTTGATAATTGGCAACCTTCTTGTCTCGAAACCCGGACCAAGTACGGCTTTTGCGAAAGGATCGTGCAAATAACCCAGTGCCACCGCACTCAGCCGGGAGACACTGGCGTCATTGTCAGTACCTTGAACCACACGGTCTTTACTCGTTGTCCCGCGCGGTCCATGTCCTCCACCAGAAAGGCTGCCATCGGCACCTCCGCGTCCTCTGAAACGGCCTCTCCCACCACCTCGACGAAGGGTATTGAGGTTGGGGATCTGGGAAGCTGACATGTCGGGGAAACAAGTTCTTTGTGAGGGGGAGTGCGGCGGGCGGTGGGGTTGGGGGATTTAAACTCTTCATTAATTTCGATTTATGCCCGCTTATGAAACCCTTCATGTCAGCAATACATAATCTGGACTATGACGTGATGCAGAGAATCCATAATCCTTAATGCTATTTATCCCTACCTGTTGACTACTATCCTTCTAATAGTATCCAAACCTGATCTGCCAAGACTGAGCACTACTAGGAGGTTTGATGTTGATAGTTGAGCAGAGAAGATGGAATCCAGAAGAGTACTTGGCAATTTGAACTTTTCTATAAGCTGATAGAGATATATCATACATGCCCATAAGGCCATACGTACCATGCAAAGTGGCCCCTCTTCTCCATAACAAAAGGGCAAGAAGGCCTTGTTCAGACTTCAATACCCAAGATACTAACTACTATACATCGATGTCATCATACATAAACAAAGTTGTTCCGGCACAGCGGACAAGTGCTCTGGTTACTGCTCTTGAACCACCGGAACAGACAGACAGAGTGGAATGTGTTCTTGCAGGTGGCACATCTCTTGTTCGGAGTCTGCATGTCCGTCGATATGACGGAGTAACAGATCGCGCACTCGCTCTGCCCCTTCAAGGCACCTTGGACATTCTTCCGGAAGGCCAGCAGTCCGTCCACTATGTTGCCGTTCGCAAACATGATCACACCTTGAATGGTAAGAAGCCAGCTCTTCCATTTTCTCTCGTCGACCAACACTCGACTCCGACCAACCACCAAAGCGGGTTGTAGCGGATAGGCCGGCGGAAGGGATATAGACAAGGCAACCGGGGGTGACTCTTCATCCACTGGAATGCTAGCAATGATCTCAGAAGTCTTTGGTGAGATTTTCACGGCCAATGCCCGCTCTTCATTCGGGTCTTGTGTTGCCATCCATTCGGTAATCCCTTGCAGGGCATCCTCAACGATCAGTGGTGAAATCTATACTCAGTTAGATACATTCGCCTTAACATGTGTTATTCTGCGCACTCACGTATTTTTCAGTCCAGGCTTCCACTGGTCCTTTGGTGCGCTTCTTGGTGTCAATCCACCAGCTCTTGGTCATGTTCGCCAGGTACCTCAAGCACAAGAAGTACAGGTGGACGAGGAGCCATTGGATTTCCTTCTCCTGAGATTCCGACTGGTCTAACTCAAAAGAGCGAATAACGAACTTAGACGCGTCCACCATTTTTTGGTGAGACTGCTGGAGGAAGTCGAATGTGAATTCCAGTAGTGGAATCAACACATCATTCTCCTTGATGCTCGATACGTAGTTCTCTTGCACGGCAAAGGACTGTTTTTGTCGTTAGCCACGGCATAATTCCAATAAGCACCGGCGGATATACATACTGCATTAACGAAATGATCGAAAACTATCTTCCAGCTTAAAAGGTATGATCGTATCTCCGACCAGACCTTGTCATCACCATATGATAAGGATATCGAATCCATAGTGGGTGCTTCGAGCAACAGAGACAGGAGCTGATCGGGTAATTTGACGGTCGTCTTCGACAATGCCACATCAAAAGAAATCTGCTCTTGAACACTTGGAATATACCGGTGTAGAACAGTATAGGCGGCGCGTTGCACAGCCTGACTCTGCGCAGTCAGAAGTGGGAAGATCCTGCTCACGTCTTCAAGGCTCTCAACTGATATATTGTTGATCAGTCGGCACAAGAGATCTACCGTGACATCGCGAGGTTGGTAGAACGTAATAGAAGAGTCTGTTTCGTTAGCTTAATATGTCCATCCATCATCGAGCAGATACTAACCAAATTCCTTGATCGTTGCTGTCAAGTCATTGAACAACGCGGCCTTTCGATCTGACCAAGCGTCTTTCACATCGTCGTTGCTGTCTTCGTTGCCTACAATGGATTTCAGGCGAGCAAAAAGTCTGAAGGATGCTAGCAGAACTGGCAAAGCTTCATCGCTGCCACTGGCTTCCCTCCAGGTTGTGCTGAGAGCATCCATGCAATCCTCCCAGTGCGAGCCATACATCTCATGAATGCAAGGTAACACAAACGACAAGGTTTGCAATACCTCGGATTTGACACTAAGGGAGATATTCTCCGATTGCAGACATTGTACGAGGTGCTTGACGAGAAAGACGACGCGCTGGGTCGGGATTGACTCAAACACTTCTTCCGATCCTACTACGAGAAGGTTGAGCAGTGATAGCTTTCGAAGGCCTATACGCAATATTAGCATGTACAAATAACGAAAGTTCTTTCTCACTAACCATCTTTTCGCTCATCATGAGGTTTCAATCCTGTGGATTCTGCGACAAGTTCATTGCATAGCCGTGTCCCGGCAGGGTTTGAGAGGATGGAGTGTCGCAAGATAGCCACCCAAGACGCCGAGCGGATTGCATTTGCTGTTCGCACATCCTTGCAAAGCTTGGCAATGTCTTCCGATGACTTGGAATTTGCCGAGTCCTGACCCTCCATAATCTTTACAAAAGCCTCGCCAACTCGATAGTCAACGGCAGAGGTTCCAGTTAAGCTTTCGAGTTTGCTTTCCCAAAACGCAGAAATTGATGGTGCAACGGATTCTTCCAAATTTGCCCATCTATTGATCAAACTACGGCCATCATTGACAATTTCCATGTACTCTTCTCGTTGCTCAGGTAGCAGTACTCCAGTTATGCCATTGCAATTGTCGATGCTCAAATCATCGTCAATCAACTGCACAGCCAGAGGCAAGTAGTAGAACAGAGTTTGAAGCTCTTCTGCACCAAGCTGACTAGTGATATCAGAGGATGACAGAGTTCTAATGGTGAAATAGGCGAGTCGGAGAGCAGACGAACAATGGCTGGAGTCGCATGGGACCGTCTCATAGCGCCTTCTAGACTCGTCCGATATATGGCGGTCGATGATATGAACTGTCCCTTTAAGCGGACTTGTAATAGCAGTTGATAGCCGGGGAGGGAGTGCAAGAAAGGGATCGAGCGCATCTTCCCAATTCTGGCGAGAAGGTAGGATATCATTAACCACTTTCTTGAGGTCCTCGGGCTTGGTGTTATGTAAAAATTCTTCTGCAACACTCAATAAAGACCCAATCCTGTTTATATTAGCCAGTCTATCCTTTTCACTTGTAGGCAAGACACTCACGAGAGAGATTCCTCGTTTACGTTATTGAAATTGTGCTTCAGAATTTCAAAAGTTGACCTAGCACTTGTTTCACTGACTGCTGATTCCTTCACCCTTCTGGTTAATGACTCCGCAAGACCGGCCACTTCTTCTGATGGCGACTCAGCGAGGAACAGCAACTTCCCTGTTAATTTCGAACCATGGGGACCACTTTGGAATTCTCTTAGTGCAGTTGGGACGGTATTTGCAATTTGAGAAACTCCGTGTAAGGTATCGAACACTTTGCTTTCATCTGATAATGCATCGATGATTGACAAGAATATCGACTCTGTGAGCTCGCCATGAGATGTTTGGTTTTGGAGCACCGCAGCCACAATCGACCAGTGTAGAGAGCTACCTCTACAGGCCCTGTCTAAAGCACGCGCGATCAGAGAACCAAGACCACTCTTATCATCTACTTCCTTGAAATCGAGTGTAGAGAGGAGTTTCTGAACAGCATGCGCATTTGACGACTCGGGTTCAGACTGTGCTACCCTTTCAACGACTTTCTCGAAACTTGGGCCAAATCCATTCCATGAACGACAAGACAAGATGATAGAGATTAAACGATCGGCGGATGGCGAAGACAGAAGTTCTGGTGCATCCTCCTGGACAAACCTCAATAACTCCTGGGAGTGTTGTGCAATCTGTGCAACTTTCTGAACCATTCCTTCAACAACTGCAGCTGCTCCATACGGCTTGCCGTTTCGGGTTCGTAGAACCTCCAAGCAGTGCCTAAGCAGCCCCAGGTTTGTGTCCTCGAAGGCTTTCAGCAGCTTGCATTCGCGGTCTGTATCTGCTACACGTGAAAGCACCGAAGCCTCTAAAGCAAGAAATCGTTCGGCCTGAGCACATACTGCGTCTTGTGACGACCTGAAGTCCTTCGACTGCTCTGGAGATGAAAGCTTTACAGCTTCAAGCAGGTTGTCCGACAGCTCAGTCCACAATTTATGCAATTCTCCTTCGTGGCTATGTGTGGCTAAAACATCAAGATAATCAGCGCAGAGAGCTTCAGCTGACTGAGCAGGAAGTTCCCACTCAGAACGGTCTTGCTCAGGCTTGACATATTGGACTAAAAGTGGAGACAGTCGTTCATGTAGAAAAGGTTCTTGGTCAATTTGGGGGAGCTTATTTGTGAGCCACATTCCAGTGTCAATATAAGCTTTCCAACCAACTGCGCGGTTCTGCCGAGGTTCATCTCTGGAGTTCAGTCCGTCTTGGAAGGATTGAGTCAATTTCGTAGCGCTTGACAATTCAACACTGTCTTCATTTGTGGATTTCGCATCAACTTTTGCTAAAGTCTGCGATGGGATAACCTGCAATAACTCGTATAGATTTTGCCAGAAGGAGGCTAGACCACCCTCTGAACCTTTCTGGATATACTGAATGAGTCTTTTAGAGGAAGAAGACTTGCCCGTATAGTCGTCAGTCCATAACTGAGGCCTTACAGTTGTCACCTGCAGCAGCAATTCGGACAGGTCCGGGGAAGATCCTAATTGAGATATATGCAAGGATTTGCCGATGATAGCGGCACTGATGAGCTTCCAGTCAAGCTGCTCTGGGTCTTTAGAGACAGCAGATCGAAGAAGGACATAGACTGATCTGCGAACAAAAGGGTCGTCATGATAGCATAAGGACCATAACGATTTACTACCCAGAAGGTTTTCAATCGTAGCTATATCCTTCTCAAGAACTTCGCGCGTCGAATTTCCTGCATTGACACCCAGTCAGAACACTTACAGGGGATTATAGGGTGTATAGAAGCGCACCTATAATTCGATTAAATAGTAAAACCGCAGTTCCTACAACGCGAGCATACTTCGCTTCTGCATCATCAGACTTGACAGTCCTCTCGTCGCTAAGAGTCTGTGGAGTCTGCTGAAGGATGACATCATCTACAAAATCAAGAATAGAACTCTGGTAGATCTTCCACACGCCGTTTCTCTTCTCTTCAGTTGAGAAAACCCGTGTGAAGGACTCAAATGCGGACCGGTGAACCATTCGATCATTGTCATAGAGTCCTGCAAGCCATGCCCCAATTACTTTCGGTAAGAAACGGGCAATCCGCTTGCCCACTAGAGAAGCAATAGATCCTTGTGTGGAATGGGCCGTTTGCCTCACTCTACGAGACAGATCAATCGATGCTCTGGGATAAATTTTAATCTGCCGAGGAACAAAATCTAATCAACATATTACCCCGATCCGCATGGTGTAGGTGCAGACATACCCAGGCTTCCAGGAACCCGTCATCCAGAGTCCCACTGCGACTTTCTACAGTAGAAACATAATCCCTCAAATCATCCAGTGCTTTGGTCCTCGTTACTTCATCTTTCTTCAGGAAGTTCTTGAAAGCAATTGCCAATTGTGCTTCAAATATCTGCGAAAGGTCCGGCGGCTCAGCCACATAAGTAAGAGACGACGGTTCCCTCCCAGAACCAGAGAAAGAGCTGGAGAATCCACCAAAGGAGCCAAAGGTGCTAGCAGCGCGGCTGCTTGATGCCTGAGACTTGAACTTTTTACTCATAATAAATGTGGGGTAAGTGGGATGTGAATCAGATCAAAGGAGTGAACAAAAAGGGGAAAGGGAGGAGGGGAAAAATGGAACGAAGGGGAAGAATAAGAGTGCAGGTCCCTTGTCACTCAGATACAAAGAATCAACAACTTCCCAGCCCGAATTATTGCTTTTACAGTGAGAGATTGTCTCAATATCAATTACTTCAAAACGGGCTTGATAATCGGCGTCCATATCGGGACGGGTCACGTGGGCATGTGTCATCATGTCCCGATAAGGAAAAGTTCGTCGCGAAGTCTGGCCGCGGCCTTAACTCCGTCTTAAGTTGTAAGCTTGTCCGAGAGCTTCCTTCTGTGTAGCCCAACTTTGGAGCACGTCGCTCGATCGTCACAATGAAATTTTTCATTGAGTAAGTGCGCCGTATTGAAGCTCTTTCCAGTCAAATTTAACCTTCCAACTTCTATCGATAGTGACCTTCCAGTCCTTTTCCCGTATCCTCGTATATACCCCGAACAATATGCCTACATGTGCGACCTCAAGAAGACCCTCGATGCCGGGGGTCACTGTGTCCTGGAAATGCCCTCGGGCACCGGGAAAACAGTTTCTTTGTTATCCTTGATTGTCGCCTATCAGATGCATTATCCAGAGCATAGAAAGCTTATCTACTGCTCTCGAACCATGTCGGAAATCGAGAAAGCTTTGGCAGAGTTAAAGGCGCTAATGAAATTTCGCACTCAACAACTCGGGTACACAGAGGACTTTCGCGCTTTGGGGCTTACTAGTCGAAAGAACTTGTGTCTGCATCCGTCTGTCAAAAGGGAGAAAAGTGGCACTATCGTTGATGCCAGGTGCAGGAGCTTAACGGCCGGCTTTGTCAAGGAAAAAAAAGAGAGAGGCGAAGACGTTGAGCTCTGTGTCTACCACGAGGTATGCAAATACTGGCTAATAATCGACGAGCTGATTTATGACTTGGTATAGAACCTTGACCTCCTCGAACCGCACAACCTTGTACCTCCAGGCGTTTTCACCCTTGACGGACTACTCAAATACGGCGAAGACCACAAACAATGTCCCTATTTCTCAGCAAGGCGGATGATGCCGTTCTGCAACGTCATAATATACTCCTATCACTATCTTCTCGATCCCAAAATTGCAGAGCGAGTATCTCGGGAATTTTCGAAAGACTGTATAGTGGTCTTCGACGAGGCACATAACATTGATAACGTCTGCATCGAATCACTTAGCATCGATATAACGGAGGATTCGCTGCGGAAAGCCACCAGGGGAGCAAATAACTTGGAACGGAAGATTAATGAGATGAAGAGCTCAGACGCGGAGAAACTACAAAGTGAATATTCCAAGCTCGTTGAGGGTCTTCGTGAAGCAGAGCAAGCCAGGGAAGAGGATCAGTTTATTTCAAATCCTGTTCTTCCTGACGATCTACTCAAGGAAGCCGTACCAGGCAATATACGCCGAGCAGAGCACTTTATCTCCTTCCTGAAAAGATTCATCGAATACCTCAAGACTCGAATGAAAGTCACTCATACCATCTCCGAAACACCTCCCTCGTTCTTAACTCATGTTAAAGACTTGACCTATATCGAGCGAAAACCTTTGCGATTCTGCGCCGAACGGCTAACATCATTGGTGCGAACGCTGGAGCTTATCAACATAGAAGACTATCAACCGCTGCAGGAAGTGGCAACATTTGCGACTTTAGTCTCAACATATGACAAAGGGTTTCTCTTAATTCTAGAGCCGTTTGAATCGGAGGCAGCGACAGTTCCAAACCCTGTGTTGCATTTTACCTGCTTGGACGCGGCTATTGCTATCAAGCCTGTGTTCGAACGATTCAGCTCCGTCATTATCACTTCTGGAACTCTATCACCTCTTGAAATGTATCCCAAGATGCTCGGGTTCACCACTGTCATGCAGGAGTCATACAGCATGACACTTGCACGACGTTCTTTCCTACCCATGGTCGTTACTCGTGGTTCAGATCAAGCACAAATCTCCTCCTCATTCCAGATACGTAATGACCCGGGTGTGGTGCGTAATTACGGGAACATCGTCCTAGAATTCTCGCGAATAACACCAGATGGTATCGTGGTTTTCTTCCCTTCATACTTGTACATGGAGTCCATTATCAGTATGTGGCAGGGTATGGGCATCTTGGATTCTATATGGAACTACAAGTTGATTCTTGTCGAGACACCGGATGCGCAGGAGTCATCATTGGCGCTGGAGACATACCGAACAGCATGCTGCAATGGACGGGGAGCCATCTTAATGTGCGTCGCCCGAGGAAAGGTCTCCGAAGGGATTGATTTTGACCATCACTATGGTCGTGCCGTGATATGCATTGGTGTGCCGTTCCAGTACACCGAATCGAGGATATTAAAAGCGCGCCTTGAATTTCTTCGAGAAAATTACCGTATTCGAGAGAACGACTTCTTATCTTTCGACGCAATGAGACATGCTGCACAGTGTCTCGGTCGGGTCCTTCGTGGCAAGGATGACTATGGAGTCATGGTTCTTGCTGATAAGCGATTCCAGAAGAAACGGACTCAACTCCCCAAGTGGATCAGTCAGGCCATGCTTGAAAGCGAGACTAACCTCAGTACTGATATGGCCGTGGCCACCGCGAAGAACTTCTTACGCGGCATGGCTCAACCTTTCAAAGCCAAAGACCAGGACGGCATCTCGACATGGAGCTTGGCAGATTTAGAGCGACATCGAGAGAAGCAGATGCTGGAGGATCAGAGAGCACAACGAGAAGAACTGGCTCGTGGACATAGTGCAAATGGTGTTGCCAATGGTGCTGTCGTTGTTGAGGATGAATTTGATGACGACATTGACGACACTCTCATGATGCTGGATGCATAGTGAAAGCCAACTCCGGGACAGTATTGTTTATTTCCATGTTCCGGGCATAGTCATCCACGCCAATACACCAGGATGTTGACATAGCCAAATATGGCTTTGGGACCTCCAGACCTTTCCCAGACCGCACATAAAGACCCCCGTGTCCTTCAATACCCAATACCCACGATGCAGATGTTATGGTGACGGCCTTAGGGTTGATACTAGATGTATTATACTACGTGCTATCTATCTATGAGGGAACGGGGCATACAAGATCCGGCTGGACTTTCAGGGTGGACAGTTTATATTCCCCACCGCTCTTAGTGGCCTCTGCAGTGCTTGCTCCGATTAATAGGACAAGAAATAAGCTCCTTCTCCACTTCGGTAGGGTCAAGCAAACAAGAAAAGGGCGATGTGACCTGGGCATCCCTACTTACCGATGCCAGTAATGGTGGCCTATACCCTATATTTAGAAAGCTTGATGACAATTTTAGAACAAGGTTCTACCAGATTGATAAGATGAGTACATGTTTAGAATGTTGCTTCTACATCGTATGCACTAGCTCTACCCAACTCCAAGTAGTCAAATGGGGCGTGCATCCAACATTACATTCCCCCTTCGGATATCGTGGTCAGCTCTGTTTAGAGGCGGTTGGAGTGGCTGCGGTCAAAGGGCTTACAGATGAAGAGGAAAGATATCGCTTCCTGGCTCGATAGAGTCCAAACGGAACCGAACATAAGCCCTCCCTCAACACATACAGACGAGGATTATCGAAGGAGACGGCGCAATATATCACGTAGCGGAGCATCAAGTCCCAGAAGGTGGTCCAGACCTGTACATACCGATGATGTCGACAGCCTATCTACTGATCTGACGGATCGTACAAGATTCGATGCTCCCACTCGAAGCTCTGCACCAGCACGTCAACGAAGCCCTGTGCGAGAGCTTCTTAATGAACTCCCCTTGTCAAAACCATCAATTAATTGCATTCGACCGAAGTCCATCCCTCTTCCGGATTTTGTGCTGTCTCTGCGGAAAACTCTAGGCCATGACTTTGGCTCCAAGATTATTCCGATTGGGTTGAGGTAAAGTTGTCCCTTTTAAGCACGCTGAATCCACGACTGACGCTAGCTCTACTCGGCGCCAGGACAAAATCTACAAGACCCGGAAGGGGCTGTAGATGTACCTGGCTTTGCCTGGGACGACACTACTGACTGGACTTCCGGGCAACTTGAAGCACTATGGGAAGACGTGATTGATATCTATAGAGAGGCGGCGGAGTGCGATGAGCACGGCCAAGATGAGAACGCTTGGGGCCCTGGAGTGAACCTACAGATCCTAAGAAGGGGTCTTAAACGACACCCTACGCTTCAGGTCAAACCTGTGTCAGTCTCAAGGTTTCTCCTAAAACCTCTGGTCTATCTATTGATTTTAAGCTCCAGGCAAACCCAAGCAATCGACCCCAGCCTCCTTCCACGCACACCGCATCAGCTCCTGGTAAATAAAAGGATTGGCTTCACGTTTGCGTTTGCCCTTCGGACATTGAATATTGTAGGTCGTTCTACCCATGATACTCGTGGTTCTATGGCGGTTGTTTCGTCTTTGCGCAATGTTCGGTGTCATTTTGTAAGCTCTAGCCAAACCCAAGTGGGAAAAAGGGACTGGTATCGTTTCAAGGGACCAGGACCACCCTGACTACTTAATCTACTGAAGACCTCTCTATTCCGGCGGGTGGTCAGTGCAATCGCAGAATTATAGATTATACGCCCTTTCAATTTCCATAGCCAAGGATACTTTTCATATTTACAAAAAAAAGCTCCGTGAACGTTCCGCCGAGCTGCCCAAACAACAGGGGGATTCAAGTAGGCCGGATTCAGGTGCTGAACGATATCTGAAAAGAAAAAAGCATTCTCTATTCATGTATTCTATCATGAAAGGTTGCTCTAGAAGAAAATGAAAGACTTTTCTTGATTTCGCTGAGAGAAACTCCAGAAGTCATAGAACACATCAACAAGGAAAATGCATAATAGATACACGTTTGAGTCTCCTCATATACAATAAACCACAATATAAGATGCCATACATCACACATACCTACCCATTATGCCACTGGGGCAAGGACATCAAAAGCACCGGTACCAACATTTCCAACACGGCCAACAACAATTCTACTACTCGGGGACTTGAGGTTATCATAGTCTCTCTCCTGGACAGCGTCCCGGAGGAATCCAACGGTGGTTTCGAAACTCATCTTGGCAAGAGGAGAGGAGGCATCCTTGACAAGACCGTTGCGGTTGAAGGGACGGAAGCCACCGGACTGGGTCATCACATCACCAATCAGGTTCAGATGACGGTTGTCCACGGAGATACTGTGACCCTCGAAAACTTCCGTCATTTCACGAACGATGGACGCGCGAGCAGCCTCGACACCATACAGGTTAAGCATATGGTGAATGGAATTCGTGTAGAGGGAATGGGGCTGGATGATGTCTTGGTAATCCCGCATGGCGAGGAGGTTGACACCGTCCGTGATGACATGGGCAGGTTCGCCCTTGATAGGGTCCGCCTCCACGTATGTACAGTTGCCAAGACCAGGGATAGACTGGATGACAGCACTGCGAGCGGCCGCCTCAACCAGAGGTAGCACGAGAAGTTTAGGAGTAGAAATGTCATACTGCAGCTGAATAGTGCACGAAGAGCCCTGGCTGGGGTTGAACTTGAATTGGGTAATCTCGCCGAATTTACCCTTGATATCCTCCTCGCGCAACTTGGTGTCTTTGGCTTCATCATCCGAGTCGTCATCAGAGGCATCATCCATGTCAACATCCCTCGTTTGCTTCTCGCCACTATCCTCAATATCGTCATCGTCGTCAGCATCTTGATCCTGAACCATTTTCTCCTCTTCACCCTCAGGGCCTTCGTAGGAGACTTGGTTTGAACGATTCTTAGAACCACTGGCGCGCTTAGCGTCGTCCTGATCCTCCTCGTCATCATCGTCAGCGGGCGCGTCGTCGTCGTCAGCACCCCGAGGAGCTTCTTGGACGGTACCAACAGAGACACCAATCTCCGGCTGGGCAGTTGAGTAGCTCGACAGTTTCTTTTCATCCTCTCGTCTCTTGAGTTCGGCTCTGGTAAGCTTCACGAGCTTGGGGATGAATTTGTTCTGCAGGGCAATCTGCACATCTTTTGTCTTGATTGCATACTCTGCGGTGTATTCCTCGGGGGGGAAGAATGAGACTTCGATATCATAGACCTTAGCCTTTGTGCTGCCAGAAGTGATTCTCTCCCTGATTTCAACCTTATCAACAACCTCTGCAATGCTGAGCTTGCTAATAGCCTTGGCGAACCTCTCGGAGTGCTCTTTGGACAGTTCTTCGTTCAAAACCAATGTCATCGTGGGAGTCATAATGTGAGCACTAGCCGTCATCACGATTTCACGCAGACGGGGAATACCTAGCGTGACGTTCTTCGCAGAGTGACCAGCCAAGTGGAAAGTGTTCAAGGTCATCTGAGTTGATGGTTCACCGATAGACTGACCGGCCACAATACCAACGGCTTCACCAGGATCGACCACAGACTTCAAGTACTTCATATTCATCATGTTACTGAATGATTTCTTGCTGAGGATACCTTCAATGCTCTTCTTCTTGTCCTTCAGAAGCTTGTCCGGATTGGCGTCCTCGTACTGTAAAGTATTAGTATATACTGGACAGAAAAATGGATGTTGGTTAATATAAGCATAAGCTTCGTCTTACCTTCTTAACAGCTTGAGCAAACAGCTCGGATGTACTACCCAGGTTACCTCCGGGGTGGTAACGAGACAACACAGGGTCCATAGCATCCACCTTTCCGGTCTTGCGCACCTTCTTCATAGCATCCTTATGCCATTCACCTACTTCCTCTTTCTCCAGGGTGTGGAAATCGCTCGAATTGACTTGGGAGATAATGGACTTATAGTTAGATGCCAAGAAATCGAAGTCTTTAAGGTGAACCTGTTTCGTGATATCCAGACCGTCTTCTCCGTACAGGAATTGAACGATGGAACCGTCGGTGGCTTCACGGACTGAAGTGTCATACTCGGCCCTTAAGCCTTCCATGCCCTTGATCAAACAACGTTGCAGATAACCCGAGCGAGAAGTCTTAACAGCAGTATCAATAAGACCTTCACGACCAGCCATGGCGTGGAAGTAATATTCTTGAGGCTTGATACCGGTCAAGAAACGACCACTGACATAACCGCCAGCCATAGGATTCGTATCGAAGGCTCTGAACGACGGTAACGTCTTACCGCTGATCATTACAGGCACACGTCGACCTTCCAAAACTTGCTGACCCAGGTTACAAGAAATCAGGTTGGCATTGACACTTGAACCCTTGGCTCCGGAAATTGTCATCGACTGCATTTGGTTCCACGGGAAAGGCTTGACCAGACCTCCGGGAAGACAGGCCTTGGTGATCTCAGTGGACAAGTTCGCTGTGCGAGCGTTGGAGACGCTATCAAGGCCACTTTGTTTCTCATCATCACGGAGAACATCTTCCAGACGGCGTCGCAATTCGGCGTCCTCATCAGCAGCCTTCGTTTGGTCAAGGGTTACATACTTCAGTGCAACCTGACGACCAATTTCAGAGGCCTTGCTAAGTTTTTCTTTACGGATACGGTCACCCTCCTTAGTTAAGCGAAGATCATCGATGCCGCAGGTAAATGCACGCATGTTCAGGAATCTCGTTAGAAGCCTACCAAGGATACCGATGAGCCTTCCAGCAATGGTATGTCCATAAATTTCGTGGATAGAATCGATGAGACCGCCGGCCGTAGGACCGATCTGCTTCTTATCGAGAATACCACAGAGCAACTCTCCATCCTTGAATAGAACAGTTCCTTCTTCGTTACCTTCGCCCCATCTATCTCCTGGTGTCGAGGATTTGCTCTTCATATTGAGACCGGCTCTGTTTGGAGGCATGATGTTCTTGAGGATAGTTGTAATGATCTGCTTTCCGGTCCAGAGACGCTTTGGTTTGATCATTGTCGGGGCGACAACCTGAATACGCTCTGTGATTGTGTGGGAATTCTCGGGTCTCAAACAACTGTAGAGCAGCTCATGGTAGTCCTCCTCGTCGAAGAAGCTATCACGGCAGGTGAACCACGTAGACATCGAGATGTGATCTTGAATCAAACCTCTCAAAGGTTTACCAGAAGTGGCAACAAGGTACTGGTGGTCTGCATCTGCAAGCATCATGGCTTCAGCACGGGCAAGCTCGTTTTGGGGGAAATGCATATTCATCTCGTCTCCATCGAAATCAGCGTTGTAGGTATTACAGTTAGCGTAGTGCATGCGAATGACACGTTCGTTAGCGAGTACACGAGCCTTATGACCCATGATAGACGGCTTGTGAAGCGTAGGCTGACGGTTCATCAAGACAACATCTCCGGTGGTAAGATGACGGTACACCTTCTTGTTGCGCGACCCCTTCATACGCCAGTTCGATGGTGCGAGCAGCTGGTTGGCCAAGGCTGTCCGCTCATCGAGGCTCTTGAACTTGAGGTTAGTGACTTGTCCAAACTCATTTTCGATCGCAGCGGCACCTGGGTACTTGTCCGGACCGTTGATGACAGCTTGCTTCATTTCCCAGAAGTTGTGGTTAGTCACAGGCTCCGGATACGTCAGTTTCTTTGCAAACACAAGCGGAACACCAATTTCGTTGGTTTCGATGTTGGGGTCGGGAGAGATGACACTACGGGCAGCGAAGTTCACACGTTTACCCATCATGTTCTTTCTGAACAAACCCTCCTTCTTTTCCAGGATCTGCTTGATGCCATTGGGGGCGCTAGCCGCCGCGGGGCCGGACAATCCACTCCTATCACGGTCAATCAGACCGTTCACAGTATCCTGAAGTTGTACAATGGCGTGTAGCAGATCCCTGTAGTCGCGCACACGCATGGCAGAGTCGGACCCTCCATTCTGTCGTTCTTTGCTGATTTGATTGATAATGTCACAATTCTTCAAGATCTGCGTAAACACCGTGTTTTGCTGGGCTTCAACAACAGCACCGGGCCCTTGGGCAGCGACAGGTCGATATTTGTTCGGTGGCACCAAGAGGTTTTTAATGAAGAACATGCCTGCATCAACACGAGACTCGTTCTTTGACATCGGACGGGATGTATAGACAAGGTTCAGAATCTCCTCTTCTTTAACGAAAAGCAAAGTAATTGCGGCGTGGACTTCTGGCGAGGGCATGAATTGGCCGCCATCACCAGTCTTCTTGTTGTCCACCTGT